TTCGGCACAAGCTGCGCCCTGCCGCTGTCTGTGCTCCCGGTTGCTTTGTTGCTTCTGCTACTGCAGTCATTGCTGTCATCGCAACCACCAGTCGCTGCAGAGAGGAGGAGAGGACAGGAGAGGAGGGGTTAGGGAGCTGAGGAGAGTGGCATGATTATCTGACAGCACCGCGCTGCAAAGAATCATGGCACCGAGGAAAGATGGTAGACAAGAGAGAACGGAACACGGAAAGCAGGAAGATGGTGAAGTGGTGAACTGCTTGATTCACTCACTCACATCCTACAGCCACTAGTGATCCCCGTCCACTCGCTGCCAACCCTGTCCACTCGCTGCCTCCCCCATCCTCTCGCTGCCACCCCCATCCTCTCGCTGCCACCCCCGTCTACTCGCAACCTCCCCGTCCGTCTCGCAGGACATGAGGCACAAACACACATGGGGAGAGAGAGACACACACGAAAACGGCACACCAAGGGAGGGTTAGGAGCAGCAGGAGAAGAGGCGAGTGGTGGAGGCAAGGGCAACAGACATGACACTTGCCTCTGCGCGGCGACACTTCACGGCCCCCCTGCAAGCACCCCCTGGCACGTACCACTTCTCCTCCTTGGCAGAGCCTGCTGCTCCTGCACCACACATTCGCCCCAAGCAGCACCCTGCTGTGGCCCGTGCTCCACGCTCCAGGCGTGCTGCTCCACGTTGCTCGTGGTCTGCTGCTGATACCCGCAATAACAAGGAACTGTGGCTTGTGAGAAAGGCCAAAACCAACCTGGCAAGAGTTCAAAGAAGAAAGCAATGAAGAACATGCATGACAAACGATGACCGCTTGGCATCACAGAAGGCAAAGCGTTCGGAGGAGAAAACACTTGGCTGAAAAGTCAAGGCACTGTTGCTACTGCTGCTTCAAGTCACCAGCGCTGCTGCATTCACCAGCGCTGCTGCATTCACCAGCGCTGCTGCATTCACCAGAGCTGCTGCATTCACCAGCGCTGCTGCATTCACCAGAGCTGCTGCATTCACCAGCGCTGCTGCATTCACCAGCGTTGCTGCTGTGTCTCGGGCAGGAACGAGACCCGCACACTTGTCACTTCTCGTCCACTCTCTGCCATTTCCGATCTCACAGGCCACGAGGCACACACACGCAAAGGGAGAGACGCACGCAGACAGAAGCAGTGGAACAAGGGAGGGTTAGAAGCAGCAGAAGAGGAGGCGAGTGGCGGAGGCAAACGCAAGAGACACGACTCTTGCCTCTGCGCGGCGACTCACTACGACTCAATTCACGGCCCCCCAGCAAGCATCCCTGGCACGTACCACTCCTGCACCAGTTCATTTCAGGCGTGCTGCTTTGAGCCATGCCTTCACTTCAGGCGTGCTGCTCTGAGCCATGCCTTCACTTCAGGCGTGCTGCTCTGAGCCATGCCTTCACTTCAGGCGTGCTGCTCCAGGTTGCTCCCCTTTCTCCCCTTTCTCCTCGCAGGACGGTTGTCTCTCGTGCAAGCCAGAAACGGCAGCGGTGTCGATTCCCCGTCCACTCGCTGCCATTCCCGTCCGTCTCGCAGGCCGTGAGGCACACACACGCACGGGGAGAGGGACACGCACACACACAGAGGCGGTGCAACAAGTGATGGTCAGAAGCAGCAGGAGGCGAGTGACGGAAGCAAGGGCAACAGACACGACTCTTGCCTCTGCGCGGCGACACCCTACGACTCAATTCACGCCCCCCTTGCAAGCACCCCCTGGCACGTACCATGCTCCAGCTGAATGTTTTCCCCTACTTGGCAAAATCTGCTGCTCCTTCAGCCCAAGCGGCACCCTGCTGCGGCTTGTGCTCCAGGCTCCAAGCGTGCTGCTCCAGGATGCTCGTGGTGTGCTGTTGATACCTGTAACAGGAGGGGTCTGTGGCTTCTGAGTTGAGCCAAAACCAACCAGTGGCGAGATTTCAAGGAGAAAGCAGTGAAGCACATGCAATACACGTGATGAGCGCTTGGCATCACAAAAGGCAAAGCGTTCGGAGGAGAAAAACTAGGCTGAAGAAACAAGCGCCGTTGCTACTGCTGCTACGACTCACCAGCGCTGCTGTTGTGTCTTCGCACCGGTGCAGGAACGGAGCCCGCAAGCTTGTCACCCCCCGTGCACTCCCTGCCATTCCCCTCCATCAAGGGGAGAGATGCACGAGGACAGAAGCAGAGCAACAAGGGGAGGTTTAAACGCAGCAGGAGAGGAGGCGAATGGTGGAGGCAACGTCAACAGACTCGACTCTTGCCTCTGCGCGGCGACGCCCTACGACTATCTTCAACCCCCCCTTGCAAGCACTCCCTGGCACGTACCACGCTCCGTTTGCCGCTCGCCGTCCCTTCACATGAGGCGTGCTGCTTCTCATGTGACCGAGCAACGGCAGCCCAAATCCCGTCCACTGGCTGCCATTTCCAATTGCCTTACGGGTCGTGAGGCCACACATGCACAGGGACAGGGACAGGGACACAAACAGAAGCAGCGCGACAAGGGAGGGTCAGAAGCAGCAGGAGGCGAGTGGCAGAGCAAAACTCAACAGACGTGACTCTTGCCTCTGCGCGGCGACGCCCTACGACTCCCTTTGATGCCCCCCTGCAAGCACCCCCTGGCACGTACCACACTCCGCCCACCCCTCTGCTGCTCCTGCGCCAAGCTTTCACTTGACGCGTGCTGCTCCAGGTTGCTCGGTTGCTGGTGCTGCTGCTGCTGGTGCTGCTGCTGCTGGTGCTGCTGCAGTCATTGCTCTAGTCACGACCGCCGCAGTGTCGCTGCCTTTGACTTGCCAATGTGCCGTTGCTGCCCCTTCTCCTCGCTGAACGGTTCACTCGTGCGAGCCTGCAACGTAAGCCCAGTCCACTCCATGCCATTCCGCGTCCACTCCATGCCATTCGCATCCCTCTCACAAGCCGTAAGGCACATACACGCATGGGAAGAGAGACACGCACACAGAAACATCCAACAAGGGAGAATTAGAAGCAGGAGGAAAGGAGACGAATGGTAAAGCCAAGGAAAACAGACGACTGTTGCCTCTGCGCGGCGACGCTCTACGCTACTTCAATGCCCCCCCTGCAAGCACCCCCCGGCACGCACCATGCTCCGTCCACCACTCCTGTGCCCCGTCTTCACTTCAGGCGAGCCAGCAACGGAAGTCCCGTCCATTCCGCGTCCACTCTGCGCCATTCCGCGTCCACTCCGCGCCATTCCCCTCCACCTCGCAGGCCATGAGGCACACAGACGCGTGGGGAGAGAAAGCACGCACACACAAGCGGCGCAATAGGAAGGGTTAGAAGCAACACGAGAGGAGGCGAGCGGCAAAGACAAGAACAAGAGACACGACTCTTGCCTCTGCGCGGCGACGCTCTACGACTCACCTCACTACCCCCCTGCAAGCACCCTCTGGCACGTACCACGTTCCGTTAGCCACTCCTGCGCCTCGCCTTCACTTCAGGCTTGGTGCTCCTGGTTGTTCGGTTGCTGCTATTGCTGCTGCAGTCGTTGCTCTCGTCGCGACCGCTACCTCGTCGCTACCTATGATTGCGCAAATAGCAGTGACGTCGCTTTGAAAATGGATACAGTAGCAACGCTGCTCTGACGGCGGAAACGACAGCGGAAGCAGCAGCAGCGCCGTTCTGACGGCGGGAATAGCAGCGACTTTGCTTCGACGGCGGAAACAGCAGCACGTAGCTTGACGGGTGAAACGACAGTAACGGAGGAAATAGCAGCGACTTGGCTTCGATGACGGCGGAAGCAGCAGCGCCGTCGGTTTGATGGCGAAAACGTCAGATATGTTTCGTAGACGCCGGAAACCGCAGTTAAAGTTCTTTTGACGGCAGGAACAACAGTGACTTCGCTTTGCCGGCGGAACCAGTAGGACAGCTATTGCAACGAAGACGTCGCTTTTCTAGCGGAAATAAGGGCTACGTCGCTTTTATGACGTAAACAGCAACAACGTTGCATTGACGGCGGATGACGTAAATGGCAGCGACTTTGCATTGACGGCGAAACACGGAAATGTTCATACGATGGTCGAAGCAGCAGCAGCGTTGTCTTAGCGGAGTGACGTCGCTCGACTGCTTGATATCCGTCTCTATTGAAACGACGTCCTGCTATAAGTCTCAGCTGGAACGCCATCTGAATTAGCATCTTAACATCGCATCGTCCTGCTATCCATCGCAACTGACGTACGAAACCTCCTAAACGTCCTAAGAACCTTTGAAATTCATATGTTTATCGATTGCCAGAAACGTCGCGGCTAATAAGCTATGACCAAAAACTAAGGTTAGTGCAGGTATGCGAGTGAACTAGGGCTAGTGCGACTAGCAGCTCACACGCCTTGACCTGGAGGTCGGGGCGGAGATAAGGAAACGGCGGACCTGACTGCAAGATAGTGCAAGTGGAAGGGAAGTGAAGAAAGGAGTTGAGCTCTCTCCTCAGCGGAGAAACCAAGGGAACATCCACCGCTGAATTTCACACCAGGTAAGGTAGCAGAAAGGAGGCTCGAATCGAAGCGGCGTGGTTCGGCTTATCAAAGAGAAGCGGGGATTGGCTGTCGAGGCTGTGGCAGAGGTTAAATTTGAAAACTTTGGAGGGAAACTGAAGGCTTGGTGCGAACAGACGAGACGAATGGAAGAGAAAGGGAGATAAAAGTGTAAATGTTTCGATCTGGCAATGTTATGTGTGTTACTCATCAACATAAGTGGGGTGCGAAAACTAGCCTTCTAAGAATGCAAATTTTCTGCAAAACATTCGAACACAAAACCTACTCTAATTAGTCTGACATATAAACCCTCGACGTTTTGTGGTCAAAGTTCCTTCTGGGAAATCAGAGTGACTGAATCAGCCATTGTAATCACAAGATGTCAAGGTGAACATACTGGTTCCTCGTTATCACCACTCTTCAAGCAGCAACTCTCTTGCACGACTGTGAAACATAGTTGAGTAGCAGCGGCTTTAATCTGGGTTGATACAGGGCATGTGACAACTTGTGGACTAGCTCAAACCCTGTGAGACGAGGCCAGTGCAGAGTGCACTGCTGCCTGCAACCTCTCGGATAACACTCTCAACCACCCTCTACCTCCCACCACCACCCCCATTTCCTTGACTCCTCCACCTGCTGCTACCGCCGCGGCAGCTGCGGCAGCCGCTGCTGCTGGTGGTGGTGGCATTTCCTTGATCGCCCTGCCAATCAGCTGCTTACACCTGTCCCAGTCCTCTGCCTTACTCCAACACGCTTTCCCGCCGTGACTGCCATCAACGGCCAGCAGAGACAGCTGCAGAATCAACGGCCCTCGTGCACCGGGAGCAACAGAGGCAGCGCCTGCACCAGCAGCTGCCGCATTGGCAGGGGCGGCGGAGAAGTGCAAGCGGAGGCGGACCGAGATGCAGTGAGCCAGCCAGCCTGCGCCGCCCGCGATTTGGACCGGCAGGTGGGCGGCAGAGAGGGCGGCATGGTCCATGAGCAGGACAAGAGAGAAATCCACTCGGCTTTCTGCCCGGCTGTAGCTGATATCGCTGCGGTCGGCTGTTTTACCACTGCCAGCTGCATTCCCGGCTGTAGCAGAGCCTGGGTGAACCTGGCCTGCAGATACACCTCCCCCAGATGAGCCTCCACTGTGTCTCCCAAACGAATCTGGGAGATCCCAGCCTAATCCGATGCGATTCTCAAAGCAAAGGTCTACTGCGATCCGGGCGGTGGGGGGAATGGCAGGGATGTTACCTGCCCCAGCTACACCTGCAGAAGTACCTCCCCCTGATACTGCCTCCCCTGCTGCTGCCCCGCCTGTTCCAGCAGCTGCGGCTGCAGCAGCAGCCAGCAGTCGCTGCTGCTCCCGTCTCAAGGCCAGCAAGCCCATGAACTCGCGAATCACAGCCAATGGGAGCATGACAAGCGTCACGAAGGAAGGCAGGCGGGACACGTCGAAGGGCTCCACCGCCACCTTGCGCGTGAAGAGGTCGCTGATCTCCGCCAGCTCAGCAGGGCTCATGTCCACATCAGCGTCGGGTGTCATGGCGGGCGGGCGGCGCTGTGGAGCCATGCGGGCGTTTACAACCTGGATGGGGGGTTGCGGGGCAGGAGATAGAATTGAACACGCCCTATGCCTGCCTGACACACTCTAGCTACTGTGCTGGTAGTGCACACGTGGCATGATATGCTATGGTATGGCATGGCATGAAATGGAAAGGTATGGTCTATGACAGCACAGCATTGACCTTCACTACAGCATGAGGTGTAGGGATGGCATGATGTGACATGGCATGTTACGACATCGTACCAAGGCTATGGCATGATATAGAAGTGCATGGCATGGAAGGGCACTCACTTGAAGCATGAGTTGCAGCTGGTCTCCAGCAGTAGGGCGGCGATGGCGGTGCAGATTCACCATGTACACATAATTGCTGGAGCGGAGGAGACGGAGGTTTGGCAGGAAATCGGGGGAGGGGGATGGGGGAGGGAAATGGGGGAGAGATATGGGGGAGGGAAATGGGGGAGGGAAATGAGGGAGGGGGATGGGGGAGGGAAATGGGGGAGGGAAATGGGGGAAGGAAATGGGGGAGTGAAATGGGGGAGGGAAATGACACAAGTGCACAACTCAGCATGATATGATGACAATACAGATTTTCCATGCGCACTTGGTTCTTAAGAAAGGGGAGAAAGAAAGCTGCAGATGAAGGGTAGCACAAGGACATGAGGACTCACCCGATGAAGAACCGTAAAGCAGGCTGCTCCGGATCCTGCGACAGCAGCCCAGCCTCCCTGGTCCCCATGGCCGGGCCCAGCACAGCCGCCAGCACGGAGGGGAAGCGAGCGAAGAGCGCGATGGTCCCAAGGTACCGCAGCATGCTGCGCAGCACCCGCTTCAGCAGCACCACGGGCACCCACGCCCCGCCGTACCCGCCATCGTCTGACAACCCCACCATCGCCGTGTGGGACTCTGCTCGCACTGAGGAGGCGAGGGATGCTGCCATGTGCTGCCACCGCAGCATCTCCACCCTCTGCTGCTGCTGCTGCTGCTGCTGCTGGTGATTCTGAGGATGCATGCTTTGCTGCTGCTGCTGCTGCTGCTGCTGCTGCTGCTGCTGCTGCTGCTGCTGCTGCTGCTGGTGATGTGAGCTGCTGGGACCGGCCGAATGCTGCCCTCCTGCTCCCAGGCTCTCCATCCCCGACCCTGTCCTCCCGAGCCTGCCAGCACCCGGACCAGCAGCAGCAGGAGCGGTGGAAGCAGGAGGAAGAGCAGCAGCAGCAGCGGGGGGCAGGTCAGGCGCATGTGAGAGCTGTGAGAGCAGCAGAGAGACCTGCTCCAGAATGAACGGGCGGAACTGTGGGCAGGGCAAGGACCCTCCCAGAGACAGATCCCCTCGAATCACCCCACTCGCTGCTGCTGCAACACCAGCAGAACCACCACTGGGTGACCCACTCGGATAGCCAATGCCTGGAGTGGGTGCTCCCAATGCCCCACCTCTCCTGTTCCCACCACCCCTGTTCCCGCTCCCAGCAGCACCACTGGGAGTTTCCGCTGCAGCCAAAACAGCAGCAGAGCCTTCAGGGAACATCGCGACGAGTCCGGGCGGCAGGTCGTAGGATTTGGGCGGCGGGGCGGGCTGCAACCAGACGAAGTCGGGGGCGAAGCAGCGCATGTGGATGGCAAAGTCGTGGCGGTAGACGATGCGGAAGGAGAAGGGGCCGCGCGGGATGATTGTGATGTCTCCTGGGAGGAGAGAGCACAGTGTTGCTCCCACCATCAGCCCTCGAGATGCCCCTACTGCTGCTGCTACTGCTGCTGCTGTTGCCGCTGCCGCTGCTGCTGATGATGCTCCTGCTGGGGCTGCAGTGGGTGCTGCAGTGGCAGCGGCTGGGCCACCTGCTGAGGCTGCAGCGGAACCAGAAGCTTCAGGTGGTGGTGCTGTAGTAGCAGGAGGAGCAGACGCAGTAGCGCCTGCACCAGCTGCTGCAGCATGTGCAGGAGCATTAGAATGCGATGGCTGCACGTGTGGCTGCTGCTGTGCATGGTGGTGTAGGTGCGAGGGCGGCAGGGCGGAGGGAGGGACGGAGAGGGAGCGGAGGGGGCGGATGGCGGAGTGCAGGGCGTGCAGCGGAGCTGCTGTGAGGCGAATGGCGTCCAGCAGCAGCCCTGCATCGTCCATTCGCACACACTCCTCTAGGTACTGCCCACGGACAGAGGACGAAAAGGAGGGGACAAAGAATAAATAGAGAATGGGATTCGGATGAGCGGAAAGGAGCGAGAAGGATTGGGCTGCTGTGAGGCGAACAGCATCCAGCAGCAGCCCTGCATTGTCCATGCGCACACACTCCTCTAGGTACTGCAAGGGGTAAAGGAAGACAGGGAAAAAAGGAAAAAGGAAGGACAGAGTCGGTTTCCAGGCTCTGGTCGGCGCTGCTGTGCGGCGAATGGCATCTAACAACAGCCCTGCATCGTCCATGCGCACACACTCCTCTAGGTACTGCGAGGGACACAGGAAGACAGGGAGTGAAAGAAAAGTTCTGAGAGGTCTCAAACCTAGATCGCTATCACACTGCTGTGCGGCGAATGGCGTCCAGTAGCAGCCCTGCATCGTCCATTGGCACACACTCCTCTAGATACTGCGAGGGACAGAGGAAAAGGCGGAAAAAGGGGATTTGGAAGTAAGGAAGAAATAACAGGAGAATGAAAGGAGGAATTGTGGTTGCAATGAGCACAGGTGAATGACAGGTTCTGGGAAGGCCACCACATGTGTACCTGTGTGTGCGGCCACAAGTCGTCAGGTGAAACCACGACTCGGCAATCCACAGCTAATGACACATCTCCCCAATCGTCACCACCACCAGCGCCACCCGCAGCAGCACGAGCAGCAGCATCAGCGCGAATGCCACCCGTTTCCAGATTATCCTCCCGTTTCATTGCCCCAGTCAACTCAACACCAGCGCTGCCAGCAGCGGCAGAAGCAGCAGGAGAAGCAGTAGAGGCAGCTGGGAACCATTGAATCTGGACGCGCACAGGGCAGCCTGGCATGAGCATACCACCATCGTATGAAAGACAGACAGATGTGGGGCCCACAGCTACCACCCTCACCGTCCGCCTCACCTCCCCCCACCGCCTCACCATCTCCTCCCTATCCCCCGCCACTGGCACTCCCACCACCTCCCCCCCTCGCCCAATCCTCCCTTCCCTTCCTCCCCCTTCCCCTCCCGCTGCTGACTTGCGTCGGCCAATCAGGATGCGTCTGAGCTGGCGGATGAAGAGGAAAGCCTGCCACGCGCACGCCAGGTCACGCACCATGCTGGCAATGGCGGATCGGCTCATGCTGTGACACGTCAGCAGGAGTCCCTCAGGAGTGCATCGCATGTCTGGCGCAGCGCCCCTGGCTCTGATGCTAGACTCAGTGGTTCTGGTAGTACTGGCAGCAGTGGAAGCAGAGGCAGAGGCAGAGGCAGTAGTAAAGGCAGGACTGGTAGTGGTGGTGGCGCTGCTATCACCTGTGCTCTCATCACTGTACGCAACTCCTTCCCGGGCCCACACACACGTGCCAAGGAGGCGTTTCATAATGTGCTCACCCCCTCCGACCCTGCTTGCTCTCGTTCTCCCGAACCTCGTGACACCAGGTTTGGTAGCATCAGGTTCGGCAGCATCACCCGCCAGTTCGGGTGCATGCACAGGTTCGGCAAGTCTAAGGAATCTTCCTCCTTGCTCTATTTCCAACTCCTGTTGCTGCTGCTGCTGCTGCCGCAGCTGACAAAACTCCTGAAGCTGCCACAAGCTGACAAAATGCTGAGCTGGCACCAGCACGGACCAGCTGGCAGTGGCCGGCGAATCGGATCTCAGCAGCAGGGACTGCCAGGGGGAGGCGGTATCTGGGGGCAGTGCAGCTGATGCTGCAGGAGGGGGAAAGCCCGGTATCCGCAGCAGGGTTTGAGGGGAGACGAGGGAGGAGGGACGGACAGTGGATGGTGGATAAGAGGAATCCGAGTGAGAAGCAGAAAAGGAGGAGAGGGAGGAGGAAATGAGGGGCGGCAGACAGGGGAAGTGAGAGGGGGACGAGGTGGAGAGTGAGGAGTAGGAGGAGGAGGAGGAGGAGGGGGAGGAGGAGGCAGCAGAGAGGAAGGGAACGGTGGAGACACCAGCAGAGGAGAGGAGGGAGGAGAGGAGGGAGTGTTTGACGGCAGCAGCAGCGAGGTGCTGGGCTCGGGACAGCACGAGGGGGAAGATGAGGGACACAGGGGCCTTGCCGCGCCCTGCCAGCTGTACCAGCTCCTGCAGCGGCCGGCCAATCAGAGCGCAGTGCAGGGGTTGGGATGGGTGGTAAATGGTGTGGTGGCGTTTGCGCTTCTTGATGGGTGCGGTGTCTTTATCAACACCACCGCTTTCAACCGCTGCAGCGGCAGTGACGGTCCCAACCCCACGATTCGCACCCTGCTTGCGATCAACGGCTGCTGCTTGCTCTGCACCTTCTGCCTCGTCATCTCGCCCCGCTCTGTCCATCTCCCCATCGTTGCCCACCTCTCCGTGCCTGCCATCCCTCTCATCATTCCCCTGACTATCCCCCTCACTATCACTCTCCCAGTCATCTGCCACATCTAGAAGCTCCTCCCAACCTCCCACCATCTCCTTCCCCCCTCCTTCCACATTTCCCCCACTCCTCCCCCCATTCCCCCGATCTAAACCCTCCCTCTCCCCAGAGCCAGCCAGGGCCACCACCTCGGGATCTCCAGCCGCCAACACCAGCGCGCCCACCTCCAGAGCCAACCAGCGCGTGACACCTGGCGGCGCGAGCGACGCTACAAGTGACTGCCCAGCTGCTGCTGCAGCAGAGGTACCGGGAGCACCAGCAGCAGCAGTAGCAGCAGTAGCGCCTACACCGGTTGCACCAGCACCAGCACCAGCACTAGCTCCAGTGGCAGCGGTACTGGTCCCAGCAGCAGCAGGGTGTGGCACTAGAGGGGGCAGTGGCGGGGGTGTGAGCTGAAGCAGACGGAAGGAGAGGGAAAAATTAGCTTGTATGAGAATGGCGAGCAGATAGGGCGGCCATGAGGGGGGGTTGGGAGGTGGAGAGTCGGAGGGAGGAGGAGTACAGTGGGGTGGTGAGGGAGAGGATGGGGTTGGGTAGGGGAGGAAGGGAGGGTGCGAGAGGGAGAAGAGGAGTGTGCGGGGCGGTGGCGGGAGAGTGAGGGGGTGCGCTGGGTCGTCTGATGTGTATCGAATGCCTGCTGGGCCCGCCTCGTACGGCTGGTTAAAAGGGGGAGACAGGGAGGAGGGGGTGTGGCTGTGTGTGTTGAGTGGGTGTTTGAAAGTAGGGTGTGTGGGGAGGAGAGGAGAAGAGTGGTGCGAGGGGGTTGGGGAAAGAGCAAGGTTGAAGGCAGAGATAGTAATTTGGAAAAGCGACAGAGAAGGGAACCAACACGTTCAATTCGTTATTGTTTTGCGGGCAGGCAGTGCAGCCGCAGCAGCAGCAGAACATTCCCGTGAAAAACATTCAATCCACAGCCCAACCCAGCTCACCACGAGACCCAGAGCCATGCCCGCTGTGGTGAGCTGGGCGTGCAGGCAGTGCAGCCGCAGCAGCACAAGACCAGCTAATTCCCTTGAACCCATCACAGCCCCACAGCACCCAGCCAAGCCCTGCTCACCACCAATCCCAGAGCCATGCCCGCCGCTGTGAGCTGAGCGTGCAGGCAGTGCAGGCGCAGCAGCACCAGCGCGTCGCCATGAAACCCATTACACCCCCACAGGCCACAGCCCACAGCCCACAGGCAGTGCAAACTTAACTCACCACGAGACCCAGAGCCATGCCCGCCGCTGTGAGCTGGGCGTGCAGGCAGTGCAGCCGCAGCAGCACCAGCGCGTCGCCAGCTGTCGAGCTCCCACTGTTCAGCGCCCCCTCCACCTCCCTCGCCGCCGCCCAGGACAAGCCCTTGCCGCCCGCCACCTCGTACCGCCCGGTCCGCGTGTTCACGCCGATTGCAGCAAACCAGTCGCCACACGCCCGCACCCACAGCACCTCCCTCCCTCTCGACCCAGACGCTTCCCTGCCCCAATTCTCCCCACCTCTGCTGCTGCCTCTCCACCGCTCTCCACTCCCAGCTGATGCCTCCCCTCTCCCATCGTCTCCCTGCCTCTGCTTCTTGCCTCTTGGCAGGTGATCATGGGTTGAAGTTGAAGAAACACCACCACCACCATGATCACCGGCATAATCCTCAACACCACCACTGTCAGGCATGCCTGCATTGTCAAACGACAGAGCTTCTATCAGCAGCTTGCGCTTCCCCAAAACACTCCCCAGCTTCCTCAGAACGTCATTAAACCCCCCTCCCCCTTTTTCCTTCCCCCCTTTGCCTGGCGTTTCCTTCGGCAGCACTGCACTTTTTGCAGCATCTACAGAAGGATGCAGCGGAGGAGGAGGTGGAGGAGGAGGGGGGTCAGCGAAGGGAGAGTAAGCGGTGGAGAGTGATGAGGAGCGGTAGAGGGAGAAAGAGGGGGGGGGAGGGAAGGAGAGCAGCACGTCTTGGGGCCCGGAGCAGAGCAGCGGAGCCGCCAGCAGGTCTCGCCTTAACCGCGCCAGCTTGGCATGCGCCGAGCACCGGGCGGCAAACAGCACCAGCTTCTCCACATCAATCCTGCTCGGGTCCAGATAGAGACAAACCTCGCCGCCCGTCTCGGGGTCCACCACAGGCGGCGTGTGCTGGCATATGAGCTGGGTGCGCAACGGCTGGCGGGAGAAGAGAGAGGAGGGAGGAGGACCAGGAACAACCGCAGCAGCAGCGGTGGCAGCAGCAGAAGAGCCTGGAGCAGAGGCAGGAGGGACGATGGGAGGAGGAGGAGGGGTGGTGGGGGGTGGGGCGAGGGAGAGAGTGAGGCAGGGTGGCGGCTCGTCCGCGCTTTCAAAGCTGACAATACCCAGCCGCACCAGCACAGCTGAAGACGAGCCCCCTGTGCTCTCACCCTTCCCCGGGTCCAGCCAGTACCACACGTGCAGCACCGCAGGGGATGCCTCTGGTACCGCTGGCAACCCCGCTGCACCCCCGGCCGCTTCTCCTGCCCCGGCTCCTCCTGCTCCTGCCTCTGCTGCCCCGGAACGTTCCCCCTCCTTTGGCCCCCCACTCGATGCTGCTGCTCCTGAACCACTGACCCGCGCTCCCCCCACCCCGCCCTTTCCCCCAAGTCCCCCTGCCCCTGCTACCCCCCCTGTTCCCCCTCCCCCTGCCACCCATCCTTTGCTCCCACTGGGTCCCCCAGACGTCCCCACAACCCCCGGTCCCCCTCTCCCGCCGCCCGCGTCCCGGGCGGCGACCTCGAACTTGACATGATGGCGCCAGCGGGCGGCACAGAGCGCGTGCAGCTGCAGAAGAATCTCGTCCGCTGCCACGCCGCAGCACACCTGGTGGAGCACCACGTGGAGGGCTGTGATTGGGTCCTCGGCTGCTGCTGCCATGCGTCGCTGCAGCTCATCTGCTAGCGCCATCTGCTGCACATCGCTCATGGGAATGCCCTTGATGCCCTTCACCCTGCGTGCCCCTCCGTGCTGCCTTGACGCCGTGCCTTTCCTCCCCTGTGATCGCTGTTGGCCCCGCTTCTTCCTCTCTTTTCTGCCCTCTCCCTCCCCTTCATCCTCCTCCTCTTCATCCTCCTCTTCTTCCTCTTCCTCCTCCCCATCCCCCTCTGCCGCGTTCTCCGCGCCCCGTACAAGAATCTTCACTTTAATCACCTTCCAAAGAGACAGGTTGGACATATACCCAGCAGTGATGTCCGCCTGATACTCGCCCTCCACATACACGCGCACCTTCCCGCCTCCAACCCGCACCCGCGTCACCTCCGCGGGAATAGGTGTTTCCAGCAGCCGCGTTCGCAGGAAGGAGTTAATCTGCTCTATGGCGGCTCGCCTGCCGCTACGCCTGGCGGCTCTCAGCCTCGCGCGCTTAACCTTGGCCGTCTCGGGCATAACTGGGATAGAGTCAGCTGGTGCTGTGGCGTCGGGTGTGGCAGCAGTCACGGCAGCAGCAGCAGCAGCAGCAGCGGCAGCGTTAGAGCCAGCAGCAGAATCAGCAGGAATGGTGGTTCCCTTCACGCCCTTATACTCCACTTCTCCCTCCTCTTCCTCTTTCCCTTTCCCCTTCCCCTCCCTCTCACCCTCCTCTTCCTCCTCTTCCTCCTCGTCCTCCTCCCCTCCCAGCAATCTCATAGCTTCAGCAGCTGCCGTCGCTGCTGCAGCAACCCCTGCAGGCGGTACCAACCCTGCCACCGAAGCTGGCCCGAGCCTCTGCAGCATCAGGTTCGGCGGGAGCTGCAGATCGTCTACGCAAGCGGGTAGCCGGCGGTAAGCGTGCGTGGAGAGGATTTCGACGGCGGTGGGAACGTCGTAGAGCGGCGCGCGCGCGCCTTGGATCTGCGCGTGAGTCATCCATAATCCGTCCGCAGCTTGCACAAACGCTGCGTCGTGATTGGCCAGCGCGGTCCACGCTTGCTTGCACCGCTCGATCACGGGCAGCTGGTTACACCATTTCGTTACAACGAGAAGCCGCAGCAGCTTCTGTCGCGTATGCCAAAGGAATTTCAGCAGAGCGACTTTCCGCTGCTTCTCGTCGTCGGGACCTCGCCCGCTCGCCTCCGCCGTCGCACGCGACGCAGCGAGCGACTCGCTCAGCTGTCGCAGCTCTCGCATGGTCTGCTGAACCGTCGCAGTGGTCAGCAGGCTCAGCGGGACTGTCTCTTCCGCCGTCGGCGGAAGCATCGTTGGTGGGGCACCTGGCGGAGCAGCCATGGCAGGCGGAGGCGGAGGAGCAGGCGGCGGAGCTTCCCCGACGCCCGCCATTTCCGCTAGTCGTCAGTCCCGGAAGAACTACAGAGAACTACTTCAGAAAAGATTCTATACCATTACTCGAGTAAAGACGAATACGTCCGAATATTGGCCGTTCGATTCCCGACTACAATCGGGATCATCTCGATCCCGAACTCCGCTTGCGAAAACACGGGAACTAATTTCTAGGTTTCACGCACACGTGACAGACAAGCAACCAATATCTAGGGTGGGTCTGTGATCCTGTAGTGCGATGCGAGGCTCTGTAGCGGGCGAGACCAATCAGGGAGCTGAGTGAATTTTAATCAGAACATTTGTTTGTATATCTCATTTATCCACTATAAAAGGAGGACATATATTTCTGATGCAATTTAGTTCACACAGATGGTGATTTTTTGTGCTTTGAAAGTACATGTGAACGCATGGACTAGGCTGACATTTTAGCTTCATCGTGGAACACCCGAGGCCGCGACATCTCCCCTTTCTCGCTGAGCTCCTCATACTGATACCAGTCGTTGGCAAACCACCCAACAGGCATGGGAGGCCTTACAAACACCTCAATGCCCTTGGGCACATGCACCACTACCTCCACATCGCTTTCTTGCTTTCCGAACAAACCGCTGCTCCCATGACCATCTTCGTCATTGTAACCCATGCCCAGCGTTTGGTTACCAGGGTCTTCGAAGCGAGTGATACCGCCGCGAGCGTCGTTCGCAGCATCGGGATCATCCCAACTGCCAGTAGGCTCCACGTGTCCAGCATGTGAACTGGTGGTGGCGTCACTTGATGACACGTCAGCATCGGGGTTGGTGCGCTGACGTGGCTTTACGCCAGACAAGGAGACCCACCCGAGGCCGGAGATAGCAATGTCAGCTACCGGGCTGGTGGGTTGGGGCAGGAGGGACAGACCACAGGCCGTTTTGAGGCAAAACCACAGGAAGAATGTATGCCAATAAATGATGGTGCATGGTGCATGGCAAATGGCATGGGACAATAATCACTTGTGGAAGCCCGGCTGGAAACCATTGTCGAAGGACAACTATACATGCAAAACGCACCTGGAGCGCTTGGCAGGCAGGCGGAAGGAGAAGGCCCGCTGCGACGGCAGCCCCTCCCAAGCTGGCTCCTCCAATGGCTTGGATGGCGGCACTAGCAGTCGACCCACCTCAGCCTGCCACGTCAGCCAGACATGTGAGGCACAGAGGACGTGCGGAAGGCGAGGGTATGAGAGAGCAGAGGATGCGAGGGAGGGTGAGATGGAACTGGTGTGGGGATTCCACACATATAGGGTGCGGGGAGAGGGATGAGGAGGTGTGCAGTGCAGTGAGAAGGTGCACGAAGAGGCATGTATTGGCAGGAAGGAGGTAGGAAAGGAAACCAAACCTCATAGAAGGCATTGGCGGCAGGGGTGGGCACGGTGGATACGCGGATGGCCACGGGGCCAAAGAAGGTGAGAGCTGTGCCAGCTGGCGCCTTCACCACATCGATCCGAACGAGGCCGCCCCAGAAGAGAGAGGTGCCTTGAAGCCCGTTCTGCTCTCCACTGGTGCCCTCCTCTGCACGCGCTTCTCCTCCTGCCTCCTCCACACTCTCTTTCTGCTCTCCTTTCTCTCCTTTCTCCCCCCTCTCCGCTTTCTCCGCTTTCTCTTCTGTTTTTTCCCTTCCCTTGCCTGCGCCTGTGTGCTGCTCCAGAGGCCCGGTGACAACAAACGATCTCAGCCGTCGCTTCGGGCCGAGGTGGTGCAGATCCCACGGATGCAGCATGGCGGCCATGCGATGGTGCAGATGCACCCCGGGCGTGTCGTACAGATCCTGGAGAAAAACGGTGAGAAAGGAAGAGGGATGCCAGAGAAAAGAGTGGGAGTACGAGGTAGCTTGGAGTAGAATCAAGAGGCAGGAGATGGTGCAGATGCACCCCGAGCGTTTCATACATCGTGCAGGTGGAACACGCCGGTATCACATCCTGTTCTCTTGAGGAAAAGGTTCACCTAAAGAATGCAATGGATATCTTCTCAACGCAATGGGCTTGCCCAGAAAAGGAGGACGACTTACCCCTCCACCGAAAAAGGCCTTGAGGCAGATGGGTCCCAGCGTTGTCCCCGGCATGGCAGAGGCCACGGGACGACGGAAAAGTGGCATGAGAGCAACAAGAGGACACAGACCAGCTGTACCGTGCTGCACTCACCCCTCCACCGGAAAAGGCCTTGAGGCAGATGGGCCCCAGGGTGGTCCCCGGCATGGCCGAGGCAACAGGGCGACGACGTCGTGCTGCTTGAGAGCAACCAGAAGGACGACTAGTAACGTGCTGCACTCACCCCGCCTCCAGAGAAGGCCTTGAGGCAGATGGGTCCGAGTGTGGTCCCCGGCATGGCAGAGGCCACGGGGCGACGGCGCCGAGCTGCTGCTGCCATGATGTCCCGACTCGCCATCTCATCTGCACGATTAAGGGACACCAGAGGGAGGATGGGTGAATGGACATGTGCGTCTGCATGTGAATGTGAAGGTGCAAGGCAAAGAGAGCTGCAGGTCTTGCCATGCAATGAAGCTGCGACGCTGGCGCGGCATCTCATGTGTGTTTTGAGTCGACTCAAAACACGCTGGCGCGGCATCTCATGTGTGTTTTGAGTCGACTCAAAACACGCTGGCTCGGCATCTCATGTGTGTTTTGAGTCGACTCAAAACACGCTGGCTCGGCATCTCATGTGTGTTTTGAGTCGACTCAAAACACGCTGGCTCGGCATCTCATGTGTGTTTTGAGTCGACTCAAAACACGCTGGCTCGGCATCTCATGTGTGTTTTGAGTCGACTCAAAACACGCTGGCTCGGCATCTCATGTGTGTTTTGAGTCGACTCAAAACACGCTGGCTCGGCATCTCATGTGTGTTTTGAGTCGACTCAAAACACGCTGGCTCGGCATCTCATGTGTGTTTTGAGTCGACTCAAAACACGCTGGCTCGGCATCTCATGTGTCATGTCTGTTCATGATGGCACTGGAATGCAGCGACACCCAGAGAGCACGCACCATTGCGGCAACACAGCAGTCAAATGGGATCGTAATGAGTAGAGACTGAAGCGCCAATGAATGAATGCATTTCTGGCTAGCCTAGTGCTGAGATGTGTCGGAGCGCGTACCAAGCAGAGCGCAGATGAATGCGGACTTGCCCACATTGGCCGCTCCCTGATGGAAGGGATGATAGCCAAGAGAGCGATCGAAACGAGAGGAGGAAAAGAGAATAGGAGACGGGGAGAGGCGGAGACGAGGCGAGGTGGAGATGAGGAGAAGAGGAGAGGAGACACAGGAGCCCGAAGGAAGAGAGAGAAGAGGTGAGGAAAATGAAAGTAGCGGTAACACTTGAACGGGGTCTGAAAGACTTAAGTGGAGAATGCTAGCTAGTGACCAACTGGAATGTGCAGAGCTTGCTACGTGCAGGGAGTTCTGGTTCCAACGGTTTTGCCGGAGCGCATAGGGGCAGAGAAGGGGCAGAGAGGGCAATGCAATGCAGGAAACGCGAGCGACTCTCAAAGAGACAGCGGTGTGGAGAGAACATGCACGCCAAAGGAATGAATCTGTGTTAACGGGGCAGTAGTGGTTGTAGCATGTACTTACCAGGACATAGACGTCTCGTCCCTGCACACAGCACACAGCAAGCACATGAGGGAGAGGGAGGCGAGGAGGAGGAGGAGGAGGAGGAGGAGGAGGAGGAGGAGGAGGAGGAGGAGGAGGAGGAGGAGGAGGAGGAGGAGGAGGAGGAGGAGGAGGAGGAGGAGGAGGGGGACGAGGGGGAGGAGGAGAAGGAAGAAGAAGTGGAGGAATTGAGAGGAAAGGAACTATGAGTTGATTACAACAGGTGGAAGCTGGAACAAGGGAGCAACAGACTCATGGTGAGGAGGAGCACAACAGAACAAACATCTCTTGTAAGTGACATGTGAGAGCAGAGCAGAGCAGAGCCGAGCAGAGCAGAGCAGAGCCGAGCAGAGCAGCGCAGAGCAGAGCAGAGCAGAGCCGAGCAGAGCAGCGCAGAGCAGAGCAGAGCAGCGCAGAGCAGAGCACAGAAGTGCAGAGCAGAGCAGAGCAGAGCAGAGCAGAGCAGCGCAGAGCAGAGCAGCGCAGAGCAGAGCAGAGCAGATCAGGACAGATCAGGACAGAGCAGAGCAGAGCAGATTCGTGCACCTGGCGTTCGCGCTGGATTGTGGCAGCCACTGATGACAGCCCTGTACGGGCCTTGGCACTCACAAAGTGCACCGCCAGCACACTGGGAGGAACGGGAGGGGTAAGGGAGTCGGGGTGTCAAGGGGGAGGGTTGGGCAAACAGGCAGGAGGCAGGATGGCGGGGGTTCATGATGCAGTGGGAGGGTGACCGTCAAACATGCATCTGCATTCACAGAAAACACCGAGCTCACGGAGAAACACTGATTCAAATCTGAGTCAATACTGAGGATTCTCAATAGGCAGCGCTGCGATGCGAGTGCACTGGAAGGTGGTCTGTCTGACGAGGAGTTGCACAAGAGTGCTTTCAGTCAGTCAGTCAGCCCAAACCACACCATTGATTAGCCACAACACCCTGAACCCTAACACAAACTCCCTCTTGACCTCTACGCCCCCCACCCTGCGCCGTGCACAGGGGACTCACTTGAGCTTCTTCTTTGCCACGGCTGCCAGCACCCAGTCCGCCACCGGGTCCATGTGCGTGCCCTCTGGTACCAGATCCACCTGCATTAAAAGGGGGAGGGGTGTGCAGGGGGTACAGGGGGGGTGAAGGATCCCTGTGTGTTCGGGGAAGGGGGCAGGGCGCGAGGAGGCTGCCAGCACCCAGTCTGACACCGGGTCCATGTGCGTGCCCTCTGGTACCAGGTCCACCTGTGGTAAAGGAGGCGGGAGAGGGGGGTTGGGGGCGGTTAAGAGTTCCGAGTAAGGGGATAGACTTGAGGTCCACATCTGTAAGCGACGAAGCAGGGGACCGCGAGGGGCAAGGGGTAGGGGGCAACGGGCAGATGTGTGCATGTCCCTCCATCCCCCACCCTTGGTGCAGATGTGTGCATGTCCCTCCATCCCCCACCCTTGAGAATTCTCATAAGTCCTCTTCCCTCAACTTGGTGATAACCAGAACAATCGGGTTGGGCCCGACTATATCGCGGATCCTTGAGAGGAAGCTTCCACTGAAGTCAACGAGGTCAACGAGCTTCACCACCAGCGCCTTCTCCCCGCGCACGTACGTCAGCTGCTGCCGCAGCGCCTCCGCTGTCACAAACATGTCCGCCGGGCCGGTTACGCGGTAACCGCCGTGGCCCGTGACGGCTGCTACCATGCGGCCGTGGGAGAGCTGCTGGCAGCGCGTGCAGACCAGGGATCGCAGCTGCTTGTGGCGCTTTTTCTGGGATAAGGGAGACGGGGGAAGGGAGAAGGGAGACGGGAGAAGGGAGACGGGAGGAGGGAGACGGGAGAAGGGAGACGGGAGAAGGGAGACGGGAGACGGGAGACGGGAGACGGGAGACGGGAGACGGGAAGGGGGTGTCTGGGGAGAGGAGAAGGAGCTTTGGTTTTCTTAGGTGCTGCCGTGGCCTGTGATGGCTGCTACCATGCGGCTGTGGGACAGCTGCTGGCAGCGCGTGCACACGAGAGAGCGCAGCTGCTTGTGACGTTTTTTCTGGGAGGGTTGAGATGAGGGGAGGAAGGGCATGTAGCATCAGCACCCCACACTCATGCCCTTCATCCTACGACCGTCAACCCATTCACCATCTCACCCCACAATCACCCCAATCTCACCATCAACACCACCATCACCATCACCATCTCACCATCTCGTAGCGGTCAGGGGGGATGTACCCCGGAGCGTCCTCCACGCGTGTTTGCAGCTCTGCTCCGCACCCATAGCACACCAGCACGCCTGGCCTCACACCCTCCCCTGGTTTCCCTGGGGACGGCACCCCCCGCGGCCGCGCCAGCTTCAGCTTCGGGGCGCGCGCAGAGGTGGGGGAGGCGGAGGGGGAGGTGGAAGGGGAGGCGGAAAGGGAGGGGGAAAGGGAGGGGGAAGGGGAGGGGAAAGTGGAGAGGGGAGGAGAAGGGGAACGGGAAGGGGAAGGGGCGGAAGGCAGGGCAGGGGAAGAAGGGGCGGCTGCTGTGAGGGGAAGGAGAGATGCGCCTGCTGCTGCCGTTGCGGCTGCGGTCGCTCCTGCTGCTGCTGCTGCTGCAACCCCAAACGACCTTGTCCCCCGCTCGCCCCTGTCCTCCTCCTCCCCATACTCCCCCCACTGCCGCCTGCTCACGCCCCTGCTGCCTCTGCTGCCGCCGCCGCTGCCTCTGCTCCTCGTCTCCCCTTCCTCTCCGTCCTCCTCGTTTCCACCCACGCGCCTGTCCCCAACCCACCCACCCCCCCGTCCTTCCCTCCCATAGCCCCTCTGCTCGCCCGCCGCCTTCCACCCCTCCTCTCGCGCCTCCCTTCTCACTCCCATCTCACTCCTCTCCTCCCTCCTCCCCTCAGGTAAACCCTCCCTCTCCCTCCTAAACCCTGAACCCTGTGCCAGACGAGTCTCCTCCCTCCCAGCGCCGCCCCTTTCTCTTGCTTCCCCCGCCCCAAACCTCCCCGTTTCGCCACCGCCGTATCCTCCCCTCCCTCCCTTAAACCCCAAACCCCGCCGCTGCTGCGCAATCCCCTGCTCCTCTAAAACCCTGCGCCTCTCCGCTGCTCCCTCCGCCTCCTCCAGTTCCCCCCAGCCATCCCCCCCGCCTGCGCTTCCCCTCATCCTCCCCCTACCCGCCCCCGCGCTTTCCCCGTCTCTCCCGCTCCTTCCCCCCCGACTCCCTTGCACCCCCCCGCGGTCCCCCTGCTGCCGCCTCCCGCGATATCCTTCCCCCTCCCCTACCTGCCCCGCTTTGCGCGGCCCCGCGGATCCCCTCGACCAATCAGAGTCGTTTATCCAGCTCTCATCCGGTTGGTCTCTCTTCCCGAACCGCGCGCCAGGCGGCAGCGCCACGTCGCTGGCAAAGAAATCCTCGTTATAGTCATCTTCGTAATCCTCAGAACGACGAGGGCCGTCCCACTGGTCATTCCTGTCGTATTCGCCGTCGATGCCGCCCCGCGGAGCCGCAGCGGTCGCGGCAACAACTGGGGTAGGTGCAGCCGCTGCACGTGCCGCCCGGAGCGGCCGGGAATATAGTGCCAACGGAGGCAGTAGGTTCAAACGCACGGGAACATTGGGATGATCGTGATGAGAAAAGCGCCTGCGTGGGAGGGAATGGCGCAGGATCAGGTGGGACTGCCGTTGGGATACGCGGAGAAACGCGCTGGATGATCCTGACCTCGGTTTTACCAGATGTGATTGAAACGGGGCTCGAAGCAGCTGCGGCGAGCCGTCAAGCGACGGGAAAACGGCCGTCGCGCTTGCGGCCGACATGGCGGGTTACAACTACTGAGACGACCCACTCAAGTGTCTTGTGAATGGCGGTTTGATATGAAATGGCCGCACGTTGCTGCTGCTCCGAAGAGAACGCAAGGGAAATGGCGGACGAAGGGAATTGATGAGTACAGTAGCCTGTCATCAGTTCACTCTCAATGTCCTCGTTTGTGGGAACTCTTTAATTACTCCCACAATTTCGGTACACCGCATTGATGTAGTCGGCATGTCACAAATTCGATTCTGGCAAAGATTTTCGAGTTCCTCGAGATTTCCGCCCTCCTCACACATGATGAATGGCATGAACCTCGTGGTGAGCGAGCGACGAGGCACGGTGGATTTAGTTTGCATCGACGATGGCGGGGGTCGGGACTAGCGGGCCGCTCGTGCTGATGGTGACGCGACGACCTGTGGATATGAGCAGGCGAATCCGTTTTCTGAGTTGAGACGACTATTGAGGCACGTCCGGATTCTTCTCTCTCTTCTATCCCTCTCCACGCCACGGGGTTTCAGTCACTTGGCGCGTCACGTGGAACCCACCCGCCGGCCCAATGCCGGCTTTCCTCCCGCCCCTCTTTTCCCGCCGGCCGGCATTCCAGCCGGCAGCATCTGCGCCAATCGCTGCTCCGGGTACCTCCTTTCGCGTCTTCCAGCCAATCACGTTCAGCCGACGTGGCAGCGCTCCCGCAGAGCCATCGCCAGCAGGCGGTACGCTGCCACGTGGCCCAGGGGCTGCCCACGTGGCACGAGTCGCGCTGCTGGTCGCCGTCGCTGCTGCGCTCATCGCGTGCGACGTGTGGGGGCTGCACCCGTGGCACAGGAACGTCGCACAGGTCGCACAGGTCGCACAGGAGGCTCGGAGTGGGCAGGGGGTGTCGCAGGCGAGGCATCTAGGGGCGGAAGAGGGCGGGAAAACTGGTGATACCAGTAACGTTGGTGATAGTAGGGGGGCCAGCAGCAGCGGTGCAGTGGAGTACAGAGGGGCGCCGTGGAAGGCTGATGTGGGGCGGTGGCTCCTGGCGTGTAGCGACCAGCTGTCGCCTGTGACTGTAGGCGAGGTGCGTGTATGCAGGATGGTTGGGAAGATGATGGGTGGAGGGACAGGAGAGCGCGGAGGATAGATGGGAAGGTGCATGACGGGAAAGGAAAGGGGCGAAAAGAAGTTGACTTGAATCGTCTGTGTGCCCAAGAAGGGGGCCTCCGTCAAAGTTTTCAGCAAGAGCTCCTCTCAGCCCTTCCCTGCCGCTTCCAGCCCCTCCCGACCTCTCCTGATCGCACCCTCCCCGTCGGGTTGGGGCCGTGGACCGTGGTTGTGTCCCCCAGGCGCTCTTCTCGGGGCGTGTCCCGGCAACTGCAGCGGCAACAGCGTGTTTTGAGGCGCCTCAAAAGCCCTCCCCAGCACTATCCTAAGAGGGCCTCTCCTGATCGCACCCTCCCCGTCGGGTTGGGCCCGTGTTGTGTCCCCCAGGCGCTCTTCTCGCGGGCGTGTCCCGGCAACTGCAGCGGCAACGGCGTGTGTTTTGAGACGTCTCAAAACACTTTTGTTATCACGTGGCCCGTGGTTGTGTCCCCCAGGCGCTCTTCTTGCGGGCGTGTCCCGGCAACTGCAGTGGCAACGGCGTGTGTAACCACGAGCTGGGGGAGTGCAGATGCCGACACGGGTTCTCAGGTGAATCCTCAGGTGTATTGCATAGCATGCACTGATACTCAGGAGTTTTTTACGTGTTGAAACTGTTCACGGGGTGAAAGAGTCCCGACTGTTCCCAATTCATAGGGTGGCGTGGCGTCCATCTGCCTGGCTCCCTCCCACTTCATAGGGTGGCATCCCACTGGTCCCCCTGCTCCTACCTGTCACGCCACGCCACACTCCCTTCTGCCTCTCCCGATGCATCCACTGCAGGCCCTGACTGCTCGCAGTTGCACCTGCACCAGTGCAACCTGCCCGCATCACCCGAGTGGCCCGTGGGTACCTGGATGGCGTCCATCTGCCCGGCTCACTGCGACACCACCACTGCCCTCTGCTTCTGTGGGAATGGCACTAGGTTCCCCCACCGCCCCATCACCCACCCCTGTGGGTTCGTGTACAGGTAGGGCCTGGGTCATTGATGCATGGGTGCACGGGTGCATGGGTGCATGGGTGCATGGGTGCATGGGTGCACGGTTGCACGGTTGCATTGGTGCAGTGCACGCGTGGCAATGAGTGTGTAGCTGCCTGGGTAACATGCGTCTTCCCGGCTCACTGCCACACTGGTCATTGCAATGGCAGCTCTGGCCTGTCCGTGCTATTGCCTACCACTGCACCTGCGTTACCCTCCTCTCCTCCCCCTCTCCCCTCCCCATCTCCCCAGGAGCCACGACTTTGTCTACAGCGAGGTGGACACAGACCTGCTGTTCCACGCTCACACGGGCTATTGCAACGCCAGCTCTGTGACTGCCTGTGCCTCTCACCCACCACCCTGCCCCATCCCCCCAGGAACCACGACTTCGTCTATAGCGAAGTGGACACGGACCTGCTCTTCCACGCCCACACCGGCTACTGCAACGCCAGCTCTGTGACTGTTTGTGCCTCTCAAGACTCAAACCCCATCCCGCCCCCTCCCCCCAGGAACCACGACTTTGTGTACAGCGAGGTGGACACAGACTTGCTCTTCCACTCCCACACCGGCTACTGCAACGCCGATCCCCGAGTGGGCTTCCAGCGTGACTACACGGGGTGTGGCATGTGCGATGTGGACGGGTACTTGGGGCCCTTCTGTGATGTGCGCGTGGAGTCATACTGTGTTAACCAGTGCTCGCTGCACGGCACGTGCCACAGAGGGTACTGTCAGGTGTGTGGGTGGGGGAAAGCGTGGGTGGATGGTTGGCTTCTGTGCACTAGTGGAGGTGCTATGAGGTGGGTGCCCCCCCCCCCCCCCCCCCCCCGCCTTCCACCTGTGGGCGTTCAGCGCGACTACACGGGGTGCGACGTGGACGGGTACTTGGGGCCCTTCTGTGACGTGCGCGTGGAGTCATACTGTGTTAACCAGTGCTCGCTGCACGGCACGGGTCGTGCCACAGAGGATACTGTGCGGTGCGTGGGTGGGTGGGTGGGTGCGTGGGCGACTCTGGTAAAGGGTGTGGTGATACTAGGGGCTTCAGTTGGGTTGGGTGATTGCATCATAAGGACGGCGTTATTGCTCCTCCTCTCGCCTGACCCCTCCACTCTGGCCCAACTCACTTATTCACCTCCTCCTCTGTCCCATCCCATCCACTCCTCCACTCCAGTGTTCACACAGCTTCTTCTCATCTGCTGCAGTGGGCCATCCGCTTGATTTTTGAGTCCTCAAATGTCATCTCGTCCCATCCACTCCTCACCACTCCCCCCACTCCTCTTTCCAGTGTTCTCACGGTTTCTTCGGCATCGACTGCAGTGTGCCGTCCCCCCTCTCCTGGACTCTCTACTCTGCCCCGATTCACTTGTTTGCATCCTCTGTCCCATCCCATCCACTCGTCCCTCCAGTGTTCGCACGGTTTCTTTGGCATTGACTGCAGCGTGCCATCCGCTTTCACTCCTCGTGCGCTCTTCACGCACCCATCTGAATCGCTCCAGCTGGATTCGCCGCACGCTGATGTGGCATCAATGGCTGCCAACGCGTCATTAGCTGGCAAGGACGGGGGAAGAGGCAGCGGAAGCAGCATTGGAGACCCAGATGGTGTCATTTCCACGCCTGGCGATGCTGCAGGCAGCACCCCTCCTGGTGATGTGCAGCGCCGTGTGCTGCATGGTGCAGGCGGGGAGGAGACACACCATAGACTACGGGCCCAACTTGCTGCTGCTGCTGAGGGTTCTTCTACTAAGGCTTTTGCTGCTGCCGCTGCCACTGCTGCTGCTACTGCAGGCGCCAAGTCAGGGTGGCAGACGAGAGTGGTGAACCTGGCAGCGCAGCGGCAGGTGAAGCCATTCGTGAGGAGGGAGTGGGAGCAGCGGCGGGGCAACGCGGCAATGGGCAGCAGCAGCAGCAGCAGCAGCAGCAGCAGCAGCAGCAGGCGGTGGGTGCGGCGGCGGCGGCCGCTGATCTACGTCTACGACCTGCCGGGGGAGTTCACGTTTCACCACATGGAGGCGAGGAAGATTCGTGCGTACTGCACCACTCGGCTGTATGGCATGCGCAATGAGACGCTGTACAACTACTTCCAGCTCTATGGCATGGAGGTGAGTGCATGGTGGGAGGTGAGCGAGCTGCGAGTTCCATGGGACCCGTGAGATAGTGAGATGGCTGTACATCTACAACCTGCTGGGGGAGCTCACTTTCCACCATCTAGACGCGAGGAAGATTCGTGCATACTGCACCACTCGGCTGTATGGCATGCGCAATGAGACGCTGTACAACTACTTCCAGCTGTACGGCATGGAGGTGAGTGCATGGTGGGAGGTGAGCGAGCTGCGAGTTCCATGGGACCCGTGAGATAGTGAGATGGCTGTACATCTACAACCTGCTGGGGGAGCTCACTTTCCACCATCTAGACGCGAGGAAGATCCGTGCGTACTGCACCACTCGGCTGTATGGCATGCGCAATGAGACGCTGTACAACTACTTCCAGCTGTACGGCATGGAGGTGAGCGCACGTGCGGGCAGACATCCGATCCGATCCGAGCATGCTGTAGCCACGTATATGAAGATTTATTTTGAGACGTGTCAAAATAAATCTTCATACACAAGCGCACGTGCGGGCAGACATCCGATCCGAGCATGCTGTAGCCACAACTTGCGGCTGTACTGCATCGCATGGTCTGGGCACCACGCGGCTGTATGGCATGCGCAATGAGACGCTGTACAACCACTTTCAGCTCTATGGCATGGATGATGGAGGTGAGCACACGTGCGGACATTCATTTGATCCGAGCAGCTCATCCTAGCCAGCCCCACCTTACCACCAATGCATCATTCTGTGTGTTCGTGATGGGTGGTTTCTCTTTTCCTCCTCCTCACCCCGTTTCCCTTCCCGCCCCCACCGCACCACCAATGCATCAGCAGCAGACTATTTTCTCCCTTGCGCTCTTGAAGGGGTGGAGAAGCTATACTCTCCTCCTCATCTCGCTCTTCCCTTACCACTTCTCCTCCCCTCCCCTCCCGTCCCCTCCCACCAGCCAGGTGGCAGTCCTGGAGTCGCTGCTGGCCAGTCCCCACCGCACCACCAATGCATCGGCAGCGGACTACTTCTTTGTGCCCGTGATGGGTGCGTGCATCACCGCCCGGGCTGACGACTCTCCTGCCACTTCTATGCAGGTGCGTGGTTATGAGGGGTGTGACATGGCAGGTAAGATGGTGCTGTGTGGTGCTGTGTGGTGCTGTGTGGTGCTGTGTGTGTGTGGGTGTCTGTGGTGTGCCATGGAGCTGCACACGATGCCCGTCATGGGTGGGTGCATCACCGCCCGCGCTGACGACTCCCCCTCCACTTCTATGCAGGTGCGTGGCTGTGCTGCTGTTGTAAGAGCTCTAGTATGGTATGCCATAGAATGTACGCTAGCGTTGGTGTATGTGTGTGTCTCTGCAGTGTGCCATGGAGTTGCATGGCATGGGATGCCCCTGCATCACTGCCCAGGCTGACGACCACACCCACCCCCCCCAACCCCACCTCTCACAGGGCAAGTTCAAGAACCGGCGGTCGTACTTTGCAGCGGACCACTACCAGCGAGCCTATCTTTGAGGACCTTCGAACATACACGCACCACTCCCCACCCCTCCCCATCGTAGGGCAAGTTCAAGAACCGGCGGTCGTACTTTGCAGCGGACCACTACCAGCGAGCCCTGGAGCACATCCGATCCGCCTACCCCTTTTGGAACAGAACACAAGGCCGTGACCACATCTGGGTGAGCAATGAGGGGACTCGCACAAGTGCATGAGTTGACCTGGTTTTGCAACTCACATCTGGACCCGTGAGGGGGCTGTTGTTGGTGACTCACAGCTCGTTCTGCCCACCGTTCAGTCTCACTCACCCACATGCACCCTCCCAAAGCGCTGCCTCACAGCCTCGTGAATGCTCCCCCACAACGCTCTCCCTTCCCGTCGCCGCCCCTCACAATCCTCATCTCCCTCACTCTCCGCTGGCCCATTATCTCCCTCACTCTCCGTTGGCCCCTTATCTCCCTCACTCTCCGTTGGCCCCTTATCTCCCTCACTCTCCGTTGGCCCCTTATCTCCCTCACTCTCCGTTGGCCCCTTATCTCCCTCACTCTCCGTTGGCCCCTTATCTCCCTCACTCTCCGTTGGCCCCTTATCTCCCTCACTCTCCGTTGGCCCATTATCTCCCTCACTCTCCGTTGGCCCCTTATCTCCCTCGCTCTCCGTTGGCCCCTTATCTCCCTCACTCTCCGTTGGCCCCTTATCTCCCTCACTCTCCGTTGGCCCCTTATCTCCCTCACTCTCCGTTGGCCCCTTATCTCCCTCACTCTCCGTTGGCCCCTTATCTCCCTCACTCTCCGTTGGCCCCTTATCTCCCTCACTCTCCGTTGGCCCCTTATCTCCTCCATGTCTGTCACATCTCTCACCTCTCTCGCCTCTGTCACCTCCGCCAGACCTTCCCCTGGGATGAAGGGGCATGCAGCGCCCCTAAAGACGTGTTGAAGGGGCATGCAGCGCCTCTAGAGCGCTGATGAAGGCCACCGGCCGAAACGCGCGTACGCTCAGGTTTGAATGACAATTTCTTACCTATTCAATCCCTACTAGCCTAAGCTCAGCCTAGAGGAGATTAGGACGAGTTACCTGTTGGATCCAGGTCGAAACTGTTTTTCTGTGCACTGGGGCAACACCATGAGCGCTCACAACCACTCCATTCCCCACCTCTCATACTCCCTCCATCACCTTTATCATCTCTTGCTGCATACCTTCCCCTGGGACGAGGGAGCGTGCAGCGCCCCGGGGGACGTCTTCAAGGGCATTATGCTATCGCTCTGGGCCAACACCATGGCCGCCCACAACCACTCCACCACCCACTTCCCTCGCTCACTGTTTCCCCCTGTATCACCCTCTCGCCTCTATCTGTCATCCCTGTCCTGCCTGCAGACCTTCCCCTGGGACGAGGGGGCTTGCAGCGCCCCTGAAGACGTGTATAACGGCATCATGCTGTCGCACTGGGGCAACTTTTGAGTCGACTCAAAAGTCACCTCCTATAACGGCATCATGCTGTCGCACTGGGGCAACTTTTGAGTCGACTCAAAATTCACCTCGTATAACGGCATCATGCTGTCGCACTGGGGCAACTTTTGAGTCGACTCAAAATTCACCTCGTATAACGGCATCATGCTGTCGCACTGGGGCAACTTTTGAGTCGACTCAAAAGTCACCTCGTATAACGGCATCATGCTGTCGCACTGGGGCAACTTTTGAGTCGACTCAAAAGTCACCTCATATAACGGCATCATGCTGTCGCACTGGGGCAACTTTTGAGTCGACTCAAAAGTCACCTCGTATAACGGCATCATGCTGTCGCACTGGGGCAACTTTTGAGTCGACTCAAAAGTCACCTCGTATAACGGCATCATGCTGTCGCACTGGGGCAACTTTTGAGTCGACTCAAAAGTCACCTCATATAACGGCATCATGCTGTCGCACTGGGGCAACTTTCGAGTCGACTCAAAAGTCACCTCGTATAACGGCATCATGCTGTCGCACTGGGGCAACACCATGGCCGCCCACAACCACTCCACCACCGCCTATCTCATTCTCTATTGCCTCCTCTGTCACCTCTCCCAGACCTTCCCTTGGGATGAAGGGGCCTGCAGCGCCCCGAGGGACGTCTTTAACGGCATCATGCTGTCGCACTGGGGCAACACCATGGCCGCCCACAACCGCTGCTTCCCATCCCCCTTCCTCTATCTGTCTTACCTGCAGACCTTCCCCTGGGACGAGGGTGCCTGCAACGCCCCTAAAGACGTGTTTAACGGCATCATGCTATCGCACTGGGGCAACACCATGGCCGCCCACAACCACTCCACCACCGCCTATCTCCTCGACAGCTGGCACGACATCCCGCCAGCGCTGCGCGGGCGGCACCCGTGCTTCGACCCGCTAAAGGACGTGGTCATGCCGGCCTTCAAGCCGCCTAACGCGGAGCACCTCAGGGGGCGGCTGTGGCTCAAGTAGGCAAAGGGGAGGAGAGAGAGATGAGCAGAAGCGGGGGGGCATATGTGAGAGCACCTTTCAACATTCCAATCTTCCCCAGCACTCAGCACTCTCATTTTGGCCCGCGCAGCAATCACTTCCTTGTTGCTGCCCCATGCTCCCCCTTACCCCATGCGTTGCCCTGCTTCCATGACCCTCCTTACCCCATCCCCCCACTGCTCCATGGCAGTCCAGTGGAGCAGCGGCAGCGGCTGTTCTTCTTTGGAGGCAACTTGGGACTCAACTTCTCCCACGGCCGCCCCGAGGCCAAGTACGCACACATGCACACATGCACACATGCACAGGCCAAGTACGCACATGCACACATGCACAGGCCAAGTACGCACACATGCACACATGCACGAGACATGCATTAGCCGCACTTGCCACAGCCCCCATTGCTAGATCCCAGATAGCTTGACGACAGACAAAGAGACCCGTCCAGGGGGCAGCAAGTGGCGCGCTAATTTGCATCAGAGTCTTCTCATCACCCACCTTCTTCCCCTCCCCCTCCCCCTCCCCCTCCCCCCTCCCCCCTCCCCCTCCTTCTCCCCCCCCCCCCTCCCCCTCCCCCTCCTCCGCCCCAACAATCGCTTCAGGTACAGCATGGGCATCTGGCTGCGAGTGGCGCTTTACTTTGGTTTACAAACGTCCAATTACCCACCCCTTCCCCTTTCCTATGCCTGCCTTCCCCCTTCCCCCACCCGCCATCTCCCTTCCTCCGTCCGCTCTCCCCCCTCCCCCTCCCACCCACCCGCCCCACACCCACGGCAGCTACAGCATAGGCATCCGGCAGCGGGTGGCGCTGTATCTTGCATCGCAGCCTTCTCATGACCCTCTCCCTCCCACTTGCCCTCCCTCTTCCCCTCCCTTTTCCACACCCCCTCCTCCGTCCGCACCACACGCACTGCAGCTACAGCATGGGCATCCGGCAGCGGGTGGCGCTCTACTTTGGCCTTATTTCTTCTCTCATTGCCCACCCCCCTCCCCCTTCCCCCACCCCTCGTCTCCTCTTCCGTCCCTGCCACCCAATACCCGCTGCAGCTACAGCATGGGCATCCGGCAGCGAGTGGCGCTGTACTTTGCATCGCAGCCCAACGTGCAGGGCCACGTGGGACTGCTGTCTCACCCTGACGTCCTCGTGCTGCCAGGGCCCGTCCCCGACTATGCACAACAGGTGGGGGTGTGGAGCGGGCAGAGGGGTTAGGGGGGGAGAATGGTCTGTGACTGTGAGCAGTTGCCGGGAAGCAGAGGGCCGTGCGAAGCTGCTGTCCCGCCCCGACGTGGTCGTGCTGCCAGGGCGCGTCCCTGACTATGCCCAGCAGGTGGGGGACTGAGAGGAGCGGGGGCAGAGTAGAAGTCATGGAAATATGTTCTCGATACTTTTTTCCAGGCGTCAAGAATCCGTCTCACCCCGACTTGCTCGTACTGCCTGGGCCTGTCCCTGACTATGCACAGCACGTGGGGGGCGGATGGGGTAGAGGGGGCAGAAGAAGACTGAGAGCATCCTTCCCCCAGCCTTCCCTCTGTCGTCGCCATAATGTTGTTGCTCTCAGCTGCTCCTTCCATTCCCCCTTGCAACCCAAACCCCCCCACCCCCCCGCGCATCGTGCGGCTTTCACGGGCGCGCTTCTGCGGGGTGTTCCCAGGGGATGGCTTCTGTGCGCGCATGGAGGACAGTACACAGTTCCCCCTTCTCTCCTCTTGCCCAATCTCCTCACTCCCCGTCCCCACTGTGCGTGCTTCCCCAGCTCGCCTCAGCGCGCTTCTGCGGGGTGTTCCCAGGAGATGGCTTCAGTGCACGCATGGAGGACAGCCTGCTGCACGGCTGCATCCCCTGCATCATCCAGGTGCCTCGCCCGCCCACTTCAACTCCAACCACTGAAAACCCCTTGGTTTCTGGTGTTGTGCGAATGTGCTTTTTAGTCGACTCAAAAGTCGCCTCGCCCTGCCCACTTCAACTCCAACCACTAAAAACCCCTTGGTTTCTGGTGTTGCGTGAATGTGCTTTGCCTCTCCTTTGCTTGTGAGCGATTTTTGAGAATTCTCAAAAACCCCTTGGTTTCTGGTGTTGTGCGAATGTGCTTTGCCTCTCCTTTGCTTCTCCTTGGCCCCACCGCCTCCATTTAGCTGAAGAAACATGTTTTTTTCTCCATCTCGTTTCCCTGCTGCTGCGATGCATGGGGTACTGCACTGTATGGGATCTCGCATGGCATCGGTGTGGCATTGATATGGCATGGCACGGGTGTGACGTCGCGTCCCTATGGCATGGCATGGCATGGCAGGATGGCATAGAGCTGCCGTTTGAGAATTTCCTGGACTACCCATCATTCACAGTGCGAATAGCAGAAGCCGACATTCCCAACCTCGTCACCGTTCTCAACTCCTTCTCATCCCGCCAAGTGCGGGCAATGCAGCGGGCGGCGAGCCTTGTCTGGATGCGGTGGTTCTACCGGTCGGCAGTGCTGCTGGAGGCGGGGCGGCAGAGGGCACAGGGGAAGGAGGTGGGAGAGTGGGTGGCGGATTTGGATGGCATGGAAGGGGATGATGCGGTCGACACACTCCTGCAGGTAATTGTTTGGTTTATAATTCTCATTTAAATGGTTGTGGAGCTTGATATATGTTCGTAAATTGTCGCTCATCTGTTAGCATAAGATGTGGACATGCACGGTGCACCTGAGCTCATTTGTTTTTATGTCCACTGGTATTTGTTTTTGTGTGCAGATATTGCATATGAAGCTGTATCATGATGCATGGAGGCTGCAGCACAAGCACAACTACAGAGCTACACACCCTAGTTTTGTACCTGCTTGCAATGCTACAACGAAGTGATAACAGTGTATGGGTGTACCAAGATGAATGGATGTATTAACATTTTTGCCGAGAGGCAAATTCAGTAACCTTGCATCACAGCGAAATATGGTCACCCATTCCAGTTTTCGCGAGAGGTCGTTTCATCGCGCGGCCCTACACAGTGCATGCGCTATCCAGTTCAATCCAACAAACGTGTTGGACTGGATGTTTGCCTGATAAGTGAACGTTTAGGGCGCGCCGAGCTGCTGCACGAATGTCAGCACGGCGCCTGGTTTGACGGCGTGACTCAATCGATAGTCGAGAAGCTTATGGCCACGTCGCTGCGGCTCGATTCACCCACAGGGCACGCCATAACCCTTCTTCGTCCCGATTACATTGATTCCCGCGTTTCCCGCCGCCAAGAGCGTCCACTAACGACAATGTCCACAATAGGTAACAGCGCACTAGCAGCAAGTTCGCTTCTCCGCGCGCCACGTGGCCGTGCAAACACGTGTCAGCGACGATCGGGACCCCGTGTTCCGTTGACCTCCTCCTTCATTCCTCGCCTCTCCCCTGGTTTCACCAGCTCACCTCGCCTTCTGCGGGTTTCCCGGCCGTTAGGATCCCCGTGCCGCGCCGCAAGTTCCGGCGACAGAAGCGGCGAGGATCGCGGAGATGCACCGAGTGACGCCAATAGTAATGCCGGTTCAGGAGCCGGAGGGAGCTCTTTAAAAGCGAAGTCGCTGGATGGGGTAGTGGAGGAGATTAAGGAGGAGTTTAGGACGGACGTCCGCGACGCGCAGATTCTGCTTGCAGCGATCCGAGCAGCCGTGATCGTGGCAGTAGAAAATATTTTCGGGTCTGCCCGCGAGCAAGCAGCAGCAGTGAAGCGGCGCGGCCTGCCAAAGCTGCTGGCTGCGAAGCGGTGGCACAAAGTGGACCAATGGAAGGTGAGTGACGTAGCAGGGAATGCTCTGGCGAAGCAGCATAAAACCGCGGAAGGCGGAAGGCTCAAGGGAACAGCAATGTTGCTAGAGGGGAATCAGGGTTCAGGGTTTTCTCGCTCCACATTGCTTTACAGCGATTCCCGTGCAGCCAAAATCCTCCATTCCCCTCCCCCCACCACCTCGCGTCCACCTCCCTTCCCCCTCCCCTCCAGACCATTACCGTGAGCAGTCAATTTGCAAACGTTTAGGCCTGTCAAATTCCTCTCATCCTCCGTTGCCTCCCCCCTTTTCCCCACCCCTTTCCATCCTCCTTCCCCCTTCCTTCTAATCCCCCCTGACCCCCCACTCTCACTCACTCTCCCTGACTTCCCCCTTCCCTCCTCTGCCTGGGCATTCATGGGGTCATGCTACAGAACCCCCAGTCTTGGACGGCGCTGCGGTGGGTTGTAGCGGCGCTCTACCTCGCCGCTACATCCAAATTGACTCATGATTCCCCCCCTCCCACTACTTCCTTCACCCCGCCTGGTCATGCTACAGAACCCCCAGTCGTGGACGGTGCTACGGTGGGCTGTAGCGGCACTCTACCTCGCTGCTACAGTCGTCTTCTGCCGGGCGGCGGGTCGCACTGTAGCTGCCAGGCTGGCGAGCCGGCCTGCCTCGGTGGAGCGGTTTTTGGAGTTTGCCATCCCAGAACCCACCCCTGAAAACGTCCGCCTGTGAGTCACAGGGCGGTTGGGGAGGGAGGGTGAAGGGAACACGGGGCACAACAAGGGAGAGAGGTGGGCGAGGGGGTGAAGGGCGGTAGGGAGAATCGGATACATGAAGCGTGCGCGAGCAGCGGTGCAGGCCCCGCCAGGATTATTGGTGGTGAAATGGAGGATGGACCGACTTTTGAGGCGCCTCAAAAGCAGCGGTGCAGGCCTGTACCGCTGCTCTCCTGGCCAGGATTATCGGTGGTGAAATGGAGGATGGACCGCGACGGGCAGCGGATGGGTGCATCTTCTCTCCTCAACCACCCCACCTGCTCTCCCATCACGTTTCCCCTCCCTTCTTTCCTTCCCTTCCCTCCATATCTTCTTCTCTCTCGCTCCATCTCGCCCCCTCCCTCTCAGGGTGCGTGAGCAGCGGTGGCGTGCGCAGGCGCCACCGGGGCTATCAGTGGTGAAGTGGAGGATGGACCGTGATGGGCGGTGGGAGAAGGACCCTTCCCCCCTCCAACCAATCCACCAACTCTCCCCTCGCCCTCTTCAACCCCCTGCCTCTCAGTGTGCGGGAGCAGCGGTGGAGGGCGCAGGCGCCGCCAGGGCTATCAGTGGTGAAGTGGAGGATGGACCGCGAAGGGCGGTGGGAGAAGGACCCTTCCTTTGTGGGCGAGACCGCGTGGCAGCATGAGGGAGACCTGGACCGTTCCACATCCACTGGGCTGCTGACACGTGGCAGTGACAATGCTAGTGCTACGAGCGGCAGTGTCACGGCTGCTGCTTCCACCACCATCACCAGCGGCAGTGGCAGCAAGGGCGGGTGGAGGGAGCGGTTGCAGCGGTGGGAGGAAGCAGTGACGGAGGGCGATATCAAGGACCTGTTTGAAGAGCCGTCCAGCCGGTGAGCGCACTGCTTCGTTCTACAGGGTCCTGTTCGAACAGGCCCTCGTGGGATTAGCGACCGGTGAGAGTCCCTGCGGGAGAGAACTGCATGATATATCGGACCTGTTTGGTCGGATCTGGGGACTCATCATGTCTGGGAGCTTGTGGGCCGGCAAGCCGTGGTGGGTGGGGGCCGACACAGCATGAAGGACCTGTTTGAACAACCCACCAGCCGGTGAGATTCCCTGTGGGGAAGGGCTGCCTGATTCATTGAACCCATCTGAACCCATTTGAGTATAAGATAGAGGCTTGGATAGAGGCGTGATGGAGCGCAAAGGGGAGCATGCTCCGTCAAGAGAGCTCATCCGGACCCAGCAGGAGGAGGAGATGGGCCTCTTTCTCTCCCTGCCCACCCGTTCTTCCCCACTTGCCCCCATCCCCCCTCTCTACCCCAGCTACAAGTACGTGTATGACTGGGTTCTGATTCAGGCGCAGCAGCAGGAGGAGAGGTGTTGACCAGCCTGAGATAGCCCCTTCTCTCTCTCTGCCCTTCCCTTTCCTACGTTGCCACCCCTATTCCCTCCCCTCCCTCCTGCTTTCCAGGTACGAGTACGTGTACGATTGGGATCTGATTCAGGCGCAGCAGGAGGAGGAGATGGCGAGGCGGGCGCGGGGGGAGGGCGAGGCGGACAGCCCCGCCGTGTGGCTGCAGCGGCGGTGGTGGAAGTACCGACCAGGCATGCCGTACGTGTGGCTGCTGCACAAGATACAGACCAACGAGGTGGATGCAGCGGTTTTCACGGCTGACATGCGCCGGCTCTATGTCACCATGAAGGAAGGGTTTCCTGCTGAGTTCAAGGTGAGGGGTTCAATGCATGGGCCGTGGGAATGGGCTGAACGCAATGTGATGGGCTTCAGCCGCCACGCTAACTGCTCATTCATGCACCCTCACCCTGTGAAAAAAGAAGAGTTTTGAGACGTCTCAAAACTCATTCGTGCACCCTCACCCTGCCACGTGGACGTCAGTGTCTCTCTAGGCATAGTTTAATCCCCTGCCCCTCCACCCATACCCCCCCCCACCCCTCACGCGTGAACCTGAACCCTAATCCGTGCGCCCGCGCCCGCACCCGCACCCGCACCCGCACCCGCACCCGCACCCGCACCCGCGCCCGCACCCGCGCCCGCACCCGCACCCGCACCCGCACCCGCACCCGCACCCCACCAGGTGGACATCCCAATCGACCCCTTCCTCTACCCCTCGCTGCTGCTCAAGGGCGTCAACGTCGACATGCTGCCCACTTGTGTCCGCATGTCCAATCCCTCATCCACTAGTTACTGAACCCTCATCCATGCGCTCTCTCTCCCTGCACCCCACCAGGTGGACATCCCAATAGACCCCTTCCTCTACCCCTCGCTGTTGCTCAAGGGGGTCAACGTGGACATGCTGCCGCGCTCGCGCCTCTTCTTCCTGCGCGGGGTGGCCGCCCTGCTGCCCTCGCTGATGCTGCTGGGCGGCATCGGGGCGGCGCAGACCGTCTTCAAGCGGCGAGTGGACGAGAAGATCCATGATTACATCTACATGGACCGCTCGCAGCTGCTGCTGGTAGGTGCTATCTGGACAGGTCGCAGCTGCTGCTGGTAGGTGCTATCTGGACAGGTCGCAGCTGCTGCTGGTAGGTGCTATCTGGACAGGTCGCAGCTGCTGCTGGTAGGTGCTATCTGGACAGGTCGCAGCTGCTGCTGGTAGGTGCTATCTGGACAGGTCGCAGCTGCTGGGTGCTATCTGGACAGGTCGCAGCTGCTGCTAGTAGGTGCTATCTGGACAGGTCGCAGCTGCTGCTGGTGGGTGCTATCTGGACAGGTCGCAGCTGCTGCTGGTGGGTGCTATCTGGCCTAGTGCTTAGCCCACCGATTAAGATAGTCATTACTGAGCTTGCAGCAATCTAGCAGGTTTTTCACTAGAAAGGCCTATTTCCGCTCATCACTGCCTCATCACTGCCTCATCACTGCCTCAAACCTCCTGCTCCTCCTTGTCCTCATATTTCCCGTTTTCCCTCCGTCCCTCCACTTCCCTCCCTTCCCACCCTTCCTCAGCCCGAGGACGTGCACAGGGAGGGGCAGCGCAGCGCGTACGACGATGTGGTGATGGCGGATGACATATGCATTCCAAAGCACCCTCTTCCCTTTCTCCCTTCTCCTTTCGCCACGCTCTTCCCAGATCACCATTCCCCTTTCCCCACGCTCCCCCCTCCCTTTCCCTCCCCTCCCTCCCTTCCCCCTCTTCCCCAGCCGGAGGACGTGCACAGGGAGGGGCAGCGCAGTGCATACGACGATGTGGTGATGGCGGATGACATCTGGGAGGTGCTGGAGGAGGTCATGGCGTACATGCGCGACCCCATGGCCTTCCACTCGCAGGGCATCAAGCTTCCCAGAGTGAGTTCCTTCCCTTGTGTCGGGGGCAGTGAGGGGTGTATAGGCCATGGAGGAGCATGGCAGATGGCAACTGGGAATATGAATGGTACGGGAGCAAGGAATGACATGCTGTGCTCCCCAGAGTGACTCTCCTCTCCCTAGGGTGAGCGCCACAATAAGGACACCCTAACCCTTCTCAAGCACACATCCTTCTCAACACCCCAACCCTCCAACTCGGTATGCGCATCCAAGGCAAGCCCCCTCTCCTCCCCACCCCACCCCGCCTGCCTTCCCTTAGGGCAGCATCCTCTTCAGCAGGCCACCTGGCACAGGCAAGCCGCTGAGCTTGGACTGAAATGTCCACGGCTCCCCCACACACTTCCCCACCAAACCAACCACTTGTGCTAAATGCACCCTGCCCCATTCCCCCCAATCCCCTCAGGGCATCTTGATCAGCGGCCCACCCGGCACGGGCAAGACGCTGCTGGCGCGGTCCAATGCGCTTCAAAACCCTATCCTTTTCTCCCCCCTCCCTCCCCACCAAACCCCCCTCCGCCTCCCTCTCAGGGCATCTTGATCAGCGGCCCACCGGGCACGGGCAAGACGCTGCTGGCGCGGTCCATTGCGCGCGAGTGTGGGCTGCCGTTTGTGTTCACGTCGGGGGCGGAGTTTGTGGATTCCACATCGGAGAGTGGGCTGGATAAGGTGTTCAACATCTTCTTCACTGCGCGCGCCAATGTGAGTGAGGGGAGGGGAGGGTGGGGGAAGTGGAAAGGGAGCAATGTGAGTGTAAGGGGCGGGGTTTGTGGATTCCACATCGGAGAGTGGGCTGGATAAGGTGTTCAACATCTTCTTCACTGCACGCGCCAATGTGAGTGGAGAGGGGGATGGAAAGGAGGTGGAAATGGAGCAATGTGAGGGTAGAGAGTGTGGTGGGGTGCCTGCTGTGCTGATTGATTGATGTTGGAGACTGGAGTCGGGGCTGGATAACGTGTTCAAGTCGCCTTAAGAGGCGTCGATGTGGGCCGTACCACACCACCACCCATGCTTGCCTTCATTCCATGTCCCCCTCCTATGTCTCCGTCTTCCCCTCCCACGGCATCTCAACCAGGCGCCGGCATTCCTGTTTGTGGACGAGATCGACGCCCTGGCGGGAAAGAGCGTGCTCAAGGACCCCGAGAGGACCCCACAGCACGCATGCACAACTCATCCCATGCCCCCCTCCTTTGCCACCCCCCTCTTCCTCTTCGTGCATCTTGCCAGGCGCCGGCATTCCTGTTTGTGGACGAGATCGACGCCCTGGCGGGCAAGAGCGTGCTCAAGGACCCCGAGAGGCGCGACGTGTACGAGGAGTTTCTGGCCGAGCTGGACGGCGAGTGAGTGCCCATTCTTTCTCCTAGACTGCTGATCAGCTAGTTTCCATGGCGGAAGGTGTATGAGGCGTTTCTGGCCGAGCTGGACGGCGAGTGAGTTCTGAAAGGGGGGGAGAGGGGAGGGGGTGAGACTGACTGTGCTTTGCTTTCGCTAACAGTTTCCACCAGACTGCTGTTCGCCTAGTGTACATGGCTGAGGGTGTGTATGGGGAGTTCCTGGCCGAGCTGGACGGCGAGTGAGTGCCGGGGGACGGGGGAGACTAGCTGTTCTTTCTTCTGCTACAAGTTCCTTCAAGACTGCTGCTCGCCTTGTTTCCATGGCTGAGGGTGTGTATGAGGAGTTTCTGGCCGAGCCGGGCCTTGAGTGAATGCGAGTGGGGGACATTGAGTGAATGAGGCTAGCATGTTAGGGAGTGAGGGATTGCAAGCAAGCGGGTCTTGTGAGTTTTTTCAGTCGACTCAAAAGTCGCCAGGCCAACTTCCAAAGTGTGCAAGAAAATTCCAACATTCAAATCACAGCACCCATCCATACCCCCACCCCCACCCATCAGGGAGGAGCACACGGATGTGGACCGCTTCTCGCTGCAGCAATTGGTGATCCTGATCGCTGCCACCAACCAGCCGGACGAGCTGGACGAGGGGCTGACCAAGGCGCAACCATCTCATCCATCCCACCCCCTCCCCCTCACCCCACCAGGGAGGAGCACACAGACGTGGACCGCTTTTCTCTTCGACAGTCGGTGATTCTGATAGCGGCCACCAACCGCCCGGACGAGTTGGACGAGGGGCTGACCAAGGCGGGGCGCATCGACCGTGAGATCCACGTGGGGCTGCCCAGCGAGGAGCAGCGCATCGCCATCTTTGGCGTTCACTCCCGCAACCGATTGCTTGATCCTTCTGTGGACTTCTCCAAGGTGTGTGCGATCTGTGCTCTGTGCTTCTGGGTGCAGTGCAATTCGGCTTGACTTGCCTCGGTGTCTGCCAGGTTGACCCACACCACACCACACCACACCACACCACAACTCACCGCTCTCCCCAACCCCCTTGTAAAAAGGGTATGTTTGAGACGTCTCAAAAATTCGGCTTGGCTTGCCTCGGTGTCTGCCAGGTTGTCCCACACCACACCACACCACAACTCACCGCTCTCCCCAACCCCCTCCCTCTCTCCTCACACTCCTTCTCCCAGGTTGCCTTCCGCACAAAAGGGTACTTAGGACCAGGGATGTCGCAAATTGGTGAACGGGGCGGGGGTCATGGCAGTGCGGTTTGTGTTAAGTTGGCCCAAACCACAACCCACCCCTCTCGAAACCCCTACCACCAGGTTGCCTTTCGAACAACAGGCTTCTCCGGAGCGGACATCTGCAATCTGTTGAACGAGGCGGGCATCATGTCGTACAGCTCGATGTGCCAGATTGACCCAAACCACAACACAACCCTTTCCATTTCCCCACCCCCCTCTCCCCCACCCGTGTTTTCAGGTTGCCTTCCGCACGATTGGTTTCTCAGGCGCCGATATCCGCAATCTGGTGAACGAGGCGGGCATCATGGCGGTGAGGCGCGGGCACACAGTGATCGAGCAGGGTGACGTCGTGGCAGCGCTGGACAAGCAGCTCTTCGAGAGCCTCGGGATCTCCATGACTGACGATGAGCAGCAGAGATTGTTTGCCAAGGTGAGTGCAAGGGTGTGGTTTTTGTTGTGTGTGAGTGTGTTGTGTGTGATTGTGTTGTGTGGGATTGTGTTGTGTGTTGCATGTGAGAATGTGTGTGGCAGCGCTGGACAAGCAGCTGTCTGAGAGCCTCGGGATCTCCATGACTGATGATGAACAGCAACGGTTGTTTTCCAAGGAGGGTGTGTGCCCTGTGGATGGCACGTGTGGCGTGTGTGCTTGTGTGGGTGTGTGAGGAGTGAGTCAGTGAGTGTGTGTATCTGCAACTGTTAGTATGTGTATGCCACGCACATACATTCCATCCAGCCAATCCCACACCATGATGCATGGTGCCATCCATTCAGGCAAACACCCCACCATGCATCACGCATGCCCATGCCAGTACCATCTTCCTTCAACACCCCCAGTTGCATCGCTTTCCTGCTCTGCCCTGCAGGTCCCAGCAGAGTTGAGGCGGGTGCTGGCTGGCAGTGCACAAGGCGGGGCACGTGCTGCTCTCACACCTCTTCCCCTCCTTCTGAGTCGGACTCAAATGTCCCAACATTGCATTGCCCACCTGTCTCCCTGCACTTGCCTGCTCTGCCCTGCAGGTCCCAGCGGAGGTGAGGAGGGTGCTGGCAGTGCACGAGGCGGGCCACGTGCTGCTCTCGCACCTCTTCCCCGCCTTCTGAGTCGGACTCAAATGTCCCAACATTGCATTGCCCACCTGTCTCCCTGCACTTGCCTGCTCTTCCCTGCAGGTCCCAGCGGAGGTGAGGAGGGTGCTGGCAGTGCACGAGGCGGGCCACGTGCTGCTCTCGCACCTCTTCCCCGCCTTCTGAGTCGGACTCAAATGTCCCAACATTGCATTGCCCACCTGTCTCCCTGCACTTGCCTGCTCTTCCCTGCAGGTCCCAGCGGAGGTGAGGAGGGTGCTGGCAGTGCACGAGGCGGGCCACGTGCTGCTCTCACACCTCTTCCCCGCCTTCGACTGGCACGCCTTCACCCACATCCTCCCCGGCGGCCAGGTGGGTTATCAGGCGGCCAGGTGGGTTATCAGGCGGCCAGGTGGGTTATCAGGCGGCCAGGTGGGTTATCAGGCGGCCAGGTGGGTTATCAGGCGGCCAGGTGGGTTACCAGGCGGCCAGGTGGGTTACCAGGCGGCCAGGTGGGTTACCAGGCGGCCAGGTGGGTTACCAGGCGGCCAGGTGGGTTACCAGGCGGCCAGGTGGGTTACCAGGCGGCCAGGTGGGTTACCAGGCGGCCAGGTGGGTTACCAGGCGGCCAGTTGGGTTACCTGGGCAGTCAGTTGGGTTGCCAAGCGGTCAGGTAGTCGCCAGGCGGTGAGGTAGAGCTACAGGTGTGCTGGTGGTATTTCAGGTGGACATGTGCGATTCTAAAAAAGCCAACCTCCGTTCTGCTTCACACGGCCTGCTTCTCCCCCAAACTGCTCACTCCTCCTTTCTCCAACCCCACTCGCCTGCTTCTCCTCTCCTCTCCCGCACACCTCCCCTTTGTCAACCCCAGGAGCGGGCACTGTCAGTGTTCTACCCGCGGCAGGAGATGCTACTCAAGGGCAGCACGAGTGTGGGGTACCTGCACATGCAGATGGTGGTGGCGCATGGCGGCATGTGTGCCGAGCGCCTCGTGTTTGGCGACGACCATGTCACGGACAACGGCCAGGACGACCTCATGAAGCTGTCGCAGGTGAGACGCGCTGCTCCAAAGGGAGAGAAAAAAAAAAAAACACACACACACACACACACACACACACACACGCACACACAAATGATTTGAGTGATTTTTGAGACGTCCACCACGTGACTGACATGACTACGGCCAGGACGATCTCATAAGGCTCTCGCAGGCGAAATATGTTGTTTCGAGTGAGAAACGCAACTTGAGTAAGAGTATGATGTTTGTGTTTTGATCCTTCCTCCTGTCCAACCCCTCCACAGCACGAGGCCCCCTTCTTATCCTCTCTTTTCCCCTCCATGCACCCCACGTGCACCCCACGTGCACCCCACGTGCACCCCACGTGCACCCCACGTGCACCCCACGTGCACCCCACGTGCACCCCACGTGCACCCCACGTGCACCCCCACGTGCACGCCACGTGCACCCACGTGCACCCCACGTGCACCCCACGTGCACCCCACGTGCACCCCACGTGCACCCCACGTGCACCCCACGTGCACCCCACGTGCACCCCACGTGCACCCCATGTGCACCCCACGTGCACGCCACGTGCACCCCACGTGCACCCCACGTGCACCCCACGTGCACCCACGTGCACCCCACGTGCACCCCATGTGCACACCACCTGCACCCCACGTGCACCCCACGTGCACCCCACGTGCACCCCACGTGCACCCCACGTGCACCCCACGTGCACCCCATGTGCACACCATCTGCACCCCCACCTGCACCCCACGTGCACCCCATGTGCACACCATCTGCACCCCCACCTGCGTGCACACCACCTGCACCCCCACCTGCACCCCACGTGCACCCCATGTGCACCCCACCAGATCGCACGGGAGATAGCGAGCAGCCATGCGAACCCGCGGTTCGGTTTGCTGCCCATCACGATGCACCCCATCATGGAACCGCCAGGCTTCCCAGATGAAGTCGAACTCATCCCCTCCTCCGTACGTGCCGGGCTTAGGCAGGGGTTCAGGGTTTAGCCTCTGGGTCAGGGTTTAGCCTCTGGGTCAGGGTTTAGCCTCTGGGTCAGGGTTTAGCCTCTGGGTCAGGGTTTAGCCTCTGGGTCAGGGTTTAGCCTCTGGGTCAGGGTTTAGCCTCTGGGTCAGGGTTTAGCCTCTGGGTCAGGGTTTAGCCTCTGGGTCAGGGTTTAGCCTCTGGGTCAGGGTTTAGCCTCTGGGTCAGGGTTTAGCCTCTGGGTCAGGGTTTAGCCTCTGGGTCAGGGTTTAGCCTCTGGGTCAGGGCTTGGAATATGGTTTAGGGTTCGGGTTCTTAAGGTACCTCCGCGGTTTGGGCTGATGCCCATCACGATGCACCCCATCATGGAGCCGCCAGGCTTTCCCGATGAAGTCGAGCTCATCCCCTCCTCTGTACGTTTGGTCTGTATGGTTTGCTGACAGAGTTTATAACGGTATCCAATCTGATGCATGGCATAGCATAGCACTCCTTGGACCTTGTGCCATCACCATGCCCCTCTAGTCAAATGTACTCTTGCCCATCCCTAATCTGCCTTTGCCGTACCTGCCCTGCCCTGCTCCGCCCTACCCTGCCATCCCTTCGCCAGTGGTCGCGGCCGGGCACGCAGGTGGCATCCATGTCAGTGGAAATGTCTGAGATCTTCACACGGGAAGTCACATGGGTGAGTTGTCGCACTCTATTTCAAAACTATCAGGGCCGTTTTGAATCTGTTGATCTCTTCAACGCTTGCTCTGGTTCAATCCAAGTCATATGCTGCATTCTCCTCTCCTCCCCTCCTCCTCTCCTCCTCTCTTCCTCTCCTCTCCTGTTCTTCTCCTTACCTGCTCTCCTGCTCCTGCTCTCCTGCTCTTCCACTCCTACTTCTCTGCTGTTATCCTCCTATCCGCTTCTCCTCGTCACCTGTTCATCTACTCTTCCCCCACTCATCTCCTTCATCTTTCCTTGCCGCATCCTCCCGCATCCGCCCATCATCTCTGTGTGCGTCCATCATGCCATCATGCCATCCCTCCATCCACCAGAACATAGAGCAAACGGAGCTCATGGCAATGGATGCATTGAGGCGCAACAGGGCCATTCTGGATAGAATCACGGACCACCTCGTGGAGCACTTCCGGATCTCCGGCCTCGTAAGTACCCTCTGCTGGTTCGTGCTACTCTGTTGAATTCTCCTCAAAAGTGGTACAAGCAGAGCCAATCTGGCTGGCAGGGCCATTCTGGATAGAATGACGGACCACCTCGTGGAGCACTTCCGCATCTCCGGCCTCGTAAGTGCCCTCTGCTGGTTCGTGCTACTCTGTTGAATTCTCCTCAAAGTGGTACAAGCAGAGCCAATCTGGCTGGCAGGGCCAGCAGTATGTCCAGCAGTATGTCCAGCAGTATGTCCAGCAGCCCCACGGTACTGCCACGGCCGGTATCCTCCTTCAAGTGCATGTTTACATTGGCTTCACATCCCCCCTCTCTCCACTGTCCCCATGCAACCCACACTGGCAGAAGGCGGGGGAGATAGTGCAGTGCACTCCATGCAGCCGCATATGCTGCCAGAGACTTGGTTCTGCCTGTGCACCTGTTCAGCGCATGTCTCCATTGCCTTCACATCTGCCTCCCGTTGCCCCTGTGCAATCCCACACCCACAGGAGGCGGGCGAGATAGTGCACTCCATGCAGCCGCAAATGCTGCCAGACTTGTTGGATCCAGAAACCGAGGCAGATGCGGCAGAGGAAGATGATGCAACAGCCACGCCTCCTGACTGGAACCCGGAGCAGCCAGGGCGGTACCAGTACCTGGATATCTACCCTGCCCCCCTGCACCGCTGCTGATTCCCACTCACATGGAACCTTCATGAGGCAAGACTGTTCAAGGCGGCTCTCAACCAGTATCGAGGCTGCTCAGATTTGTTTTGACACTGCTTCAGTATGGTGCCTGAAGACCATTACACTATGCTCCGCTGCCCATGTGCGGTTGTTACACTTGCTGGTACATCGTATGTTTTTGCGATGAGATGTGCACACGAGTGTTGCTGCTTAGGTGTAAGTTGTCCCTGGAATTTGGGACGGTTCTCGCCTTGTGTGTTCAGTTTCGGTGCAAACCAGGCTGCTGTGCAAACCCACGTACCCGTACCGGACCCCGGTACTGTTCCAGAGAGTGTGTGTATGTGGTGAACAGGTAGGTAGCTTCTTCAGCATGGAGATAGCATGGCTAGAGTTACGGCACATCAATACCACACCACACCACAGGTTGCGATAGTATGACTGTTTTATACCTGGTGGTTGTGGTTTGAGAAGTCCTCTAGTGAGGCATGCCAGGAAACTCAAGGCACATCACATCACCTACACTACTGTCAGGCATCTACACCAAGCTTTCTCTTCACTTGTCTTCCTTAGGCTTCTCTTCCGAATCCTGTAGCACGAGAGCAGGGTACCAGTCACCAGAAGGTGCACAGGGCAGAATCAGTACAAAATGCACGCAACTGCTGAGCAGTGCGGTGGGTGGGAGCGGTGCAGGGTGAAGAGCAAAGGGCAAAGGGCAAAGGGCAAGGGCAAAGGGCAAAGGGCAAGGGCAAAGGGCAAAGGGCAAGGGCAAAGGGCAAAGGGCAAGGGCAAAGGGCAAGGGCAAAGGGCAAAGGGCAAGGGCAAAGGGCAACGGCAAAGGGCAAGGGCAAAGGACAAGGGCAAAGGGCAAAGGGCAAGGGCAAAGGGCAACGGCAAAGGGCAAGGGCAAAGGGCAAGGGCAAAGGGCAAAGGGCAAGGGCAAAGGGCAAGGGCAAAGGGCAAGGGCAAAGGGCAAGGGCAAAGGGCAAGGGCAAAGGGCAAAGGGCAAAGGGCAAAGCGAGCAGACCTTGGGGGGCTGGGAGGGGGCGAGAGAGGCGAGCACGTCCCGCACAGAGGGGTCACTGGGATCCACCCCTGGCAGCTGCATGGGGGGGCACATAGGTTGGTACATGGTTTGGCACATGGGGTGGTACATGGTTTGGCACATGGGGTGGTACATGGTTTGGCACATGGGGTGGTACATGGTTTGGCACATGGGGTGGTACATGGTTTGGCACATGGGGTGGTAGTACATGGGTGGCAGGGACACATGGGTACAGCGGGTGAAAGAGCAAGGGATGGGGGGTACAGGCAAAGGGATGAGGGGTACAGGCAAAGGGATGAGGGGTACAGGCAAAGGGATGAGGGGTACAGGCAAAGGGATGAGGGGTACAGGCAAAGGGATGAGGGGTACAGGCAAAGGGATGAGGGGTACAGGCAAAGGGATGAGGGGTACAGGCAAAGGGATGAGGGGTACAGGCAAAGGGATGAGGGGTACAGGCAAAGGGATGAGGGGTACAGGCAAAGGGATGAGGGGTACAGGCAAAGGGATGAGGGGTACAGGCAAAGGGATGAGGGGTACAGGCAAAGGGATGAGGGGTACAGGCAAAGGGATGAGGGGTACAGGCAAAGGGATGAGGGGTACAGGCAAAGGGATGAGGGGTACAGGCAAAGGGATGAGGGGTACAGGCAAAGGGATGAGGGGTACAGGCAAAGGGATGAGGGGTACAGGTAAAGGGATGGGGGGTACAGGCAAAGGGATGAGGGGTACAGGCAAAGGGATGAGGGGTACAGGCAAAGGGATGAGGGGTACAGGCAAAGGGATGGGGGGTACAGGCAAAGGGATGAGGGGTACAGGCAAAGGGATGAGGGGTACAGGCAAAGGGATGAGGGGTACAGGCAAAGGGATGAGGGGTACAGGCAAAGGGATGGGGGGTACAGGCAAAGGGATGAGGGGTACAGGCAAAGGGATGAGGGGTACAGGCAAAGGGATGAGGGGTACAGGCAAAGGGATGAGGGGTACAGGCAAAGGGATGAGGGGTACAGGCAAAGGGATGAGGGGTACAGGCAAAGGGATGAGGGGTACAGGCAAAGGGATGAGGGGTACAGGCAAAGGGAGCACGGACAGCATACCGAGGAGAGAATGGAGTTGACAAAGGAAGCATCACCCAACACTTGACTCATGTCCACGTCTCCAGGCGCTGCCGCTGCTGCTCCTGCTGCTGGTGCTTCACCTGCCGCCCCTGCTGCTGCCGCTGCAGCCTCCTTCTTGCCTTCCTCTGCTGCCTCCTGCATCGACAGCTGCAGGGCTGGTGGTAAGGAGGGCCAGGGGTGGGAGTAAACTTTTGAGTCGACTCAAAAGTCGCTGCAGCCTCCTTCTTGCCTTCCTCTGCTGCCTCCTGCATCGACAGCTGCAGGGCTGGTGCAAAGGAGAGGCAAGAGGGTGGGAGTAAAGTAGCGTTGTCAATAATATGGTAGCGATTTTCGCCTATGTCACAAAGAAAACAGGAAAATTATGGGGCATGGAAGAGGAGCATATGAGGCGGACCAAACGTGCACAGGAATGGTAAAGCTGGTGCTCAAAGGGCCATTTCGAGGCACATCAAGAACCGTGCGCACGTGCGCACACATGCTTGTGTGAAGGCAATATTGGACCAACTCTCCAAAGTTGTCGCACATAACACGGAGACGCCAGGAGCACACAGAGTGGGTCACTCACCGAGTGCCAGCTCAGCATCCTCCCCTCCAGCAGCAGCATCCAGCATGGCAGCATCTCCCGCCCCTCCTGCTGCCCCTGCTGCCATTGACATGGCCAGTGCTTGCTGCAGCAGCGCTGTCTCGTCGTCCTGGTGTGTGTGAGGAGACAGGGAGAAGGATATGCGATCGAGGGAAATGAGTAGGTGCTGCCAGGTCCCACCCCACCCCACGACTACCAAGTCCCATCCCACATTCCAGCATCCCAGCGCCTCCCGCCCCTCCTGCCGCCCCTGCTGCCATTGACATGGCCAGTGCCTGCTACAGCAGCGCTGTCTCGTCGTCCTGGTGTGTGAGAGGACAGGGAGAAAAACTGGGGGAACAGGGCGGATGAACAGGGGAGAGAAAGATAAGCAAATGCAGATCAGTACTTGCTGCCAAGTCCCACCCCACATTGCATCATGCCAGCACTCACCATCGCAACATCACCAGCAGCAGGAGCAGCAGTGGCCCGCCCCTCCTCCGCCTTCTTCTCCCCCTCGCCCATCGCCACATCCCCCTTCCCCCCCTCTCCCGACCCACCCTCCCCTCCACTCCCTCCCTCACCCCCAGCACCCCCAGCAGCCTGCTGCTCAGCGGCAGCCTTCCTAGCAGCAGCCTCCTGGCGGGCTCTCTCCTCCTCCATGGACACGCGCAGGGCCAGGGCGAGCTCAGGGTCAACGCTGGGGTCAACGCCAAAGTCAAAGTCGCCTCCCAGCCCCCCGCCCCCTGCTGCCGCTGCCGCTGCTGCCCCTGCCGCCGCTGCTGCGGCGAAACCACTGCCGCCCTCCCCGTCTCCTGTGAACACGGGAGAGCTGGAGAGGACGGAAGGGGGGGACGGAGGGAGGGTGTGTGATCAATGCGTAAAGGGGGGTGGGAGAGAGGAAGGCGGGGCCTTCCTAGCAGCAGCCTTCTGCCAGGCTCACTGTGGGAGTGACTTTTGAGAATTCTCAAAAGTCATTCCTAGCAGCAGCCTTCTGCCAGGCTCACTGTGTCAGCCGTCGGCGGGACCTAGCAGGCACTGATATGGCAACAAGAGCCCACCTGATGAGCACGTCGGAGAGCACAGCAGGGCCGGGCGGGACGTGCAGGAGGTGCGAGTTGTCGTTGCTGTTGACGGCGCCCAGCAGCGCCTCCAGCTTGGCCTGCTTCTCCTCGTCCTCGCCGTCCCACCCAAAGCTCACCACGTCCAGCGCCACGTTGTTCTTCTTCAGCCTCTTCCCCGCCTTCACTAGAGTCTCCACATCTGCCGCCACGGGGCTGAAACACAAGGGGTTTGGAAGAGTGCAGAAGTTGGGGGTGGAGAGGTGTTAATCTCGGACTGCAATGAAGCTCACCACGTCCAGCGCCACGTTGTTCTTCTTCAGCCGCTTCCCCGCCTTCACTAGCGTCTCCACATCTGCTGCCACAGGGCTGGGGATAGAAGAGCGAGAGAGTGGGGTGCGTTGGGGGGTGGAGGGGTGAGAATGTATGACTGGAGTGGAGCTCGCCACGTCCAGTGCTGCGTTGTTCCTCTTCAGCCTCTTCCCCGCCTTCACTAATGTCTCCACGCCCCCGAGGTGACTTTTGAGTCGACTCAAAAGTGCTGCGTTGTTCCTCTTCAGCCTCTTTCCCGTCTTCACTAATGTCTCCACGCCCCCGCCGCTACTGGGCTGAGAGTGCGGGGGACGAAAAGTGGGGACGGTGGGGATGAGATGGGGTGGGGGGGTGAGAATGTGTGGGATGCGTTGGGGAGGGGCATGAAGGGGCGAAGCTGTCAGACTCGGAAACAAGCCTCGCCTTCAGCAGCGTTTCCACGTCCGCTGCCACGGGGCTGACATGACAGCACGGCGACCGCAGCAGGGTGGAGAAGAGGGTTAAATATGGGGGAGTTGGTGATCGGCGGGGCGGGACCACGAGGCTGGCCAGTCGATCATGGTTCTGTCGTGAAGCCTACCAGTGGACTCACACGCAACACACCTGCCAATGAAGAGCACGATGCGCTGGCGCTGGTTTTTGAGGCGCCTCAAAAGTCAGTCGATCATGGTTCTGTCGTGAAGCCTACCAGTGGACTCACACGCAACACACCTGCCAATGAAGAGCACGATGCGCTGGCGCTGGTTCTTGTTCTGCCGATGCTTCAACGCCAGCTGAGCCACCTGCAGCCCCGACAGCAGATTCGTGTCACCCCCCACTTCCAGACCTGGTGGGCCACAGTCACAGAATGCACCGGAGAAAGGGAAGGGGTGGGGTGGGGTAAGAATGGTGGCACCTTGCCAGCATCGCATCAACAGTGCCATGGAAGGGGAATGAGCCGTGAGGAATGAACAGGTTAAGAGGCGAGTCAGTAATTGCAGGTTAAGACACGACTCTTGTGGCTCCTAGAAACGCACCGTGCATGGTGGAGAGGATCTTGCCGAGGTCAGCGGTGGGCGTGACGAGCACGCGCACGCCCTTCCCCGCCATTGTCAGAATGCCCACCGTGTTCTCCGGGTTCGACTGTCACCTCATCCAGGCACGGGCGCACGGGGGGGAAAGAGGGGGAGGGGAAGGGGGGAACGGGGGAAAGGGGGAAAGGAGGGGAAGGAGGGGAAGGGGGAGAGGAGTGGGGGGGGAAAGTGTAGAGGGTGGTGAAGTTTGAAGCGCCCGCCTCAGGCATGCCAACAGTGTTCTCTAATAACACGAAACTGAGCGACCTGCCATGTGTCTCACGTGCAAACGTTTCCCCAAGTAGCACACCTGCATCCATTGAGACGTCTCACAAATCGTTACTCAATCACACATAATTCTTCCCGCGCCACTGGCTCACCTGCGTCTCGGCGCGCTGCTCACCTGCGTCTTGGCGCCGCAGATGAGATTAATCGCGTCGGCCTGCGCCTGGAAACGCGACGGCGCGTAGTCGCCATTCCGCATCCACTCGGAGTTGTCCACGCACACCACCGTCGCCTGGGGGGCCAGGGCCGGGGGGAACGGGCGAAGGAGAGATGGGAAAAGACAGGAAAAGGTATCGCCAGAAATGAGCAACTCGTCAACATGAGACGAACACGCATCCACTTGGAGTTGTCCGCGCACACCACCGTCGCCTGGCGCGAGATGGGGGGGCGGAGCGGGCGTGGGATGGGGGGGTGGCGGCAGAAAGATGGGGGTTGGCGGGAGAAAGATGGGGGGTGGCGGGCGAGAGATGGGGGTGTAGCGTGGGAGAGATGGGGGGGATCGTCGACGTGCACGACGGTGGTCTCGAAGTGATTGGGGGAGACAGAAAAAGGAATCACCAGAAGTGACCGGCCTTGCAGCTGCTGTGAGATAATGGACCGAAGCCTATACCGCATAAGAATTGTCGAACAAAATTAACGCGTTTAAGATTCTATTCAAACTTTGAGCGAATCTTGGAGGAGCAATCAATAGCAATCACTTGACAACTGATGGAAGTGACGAGATTCAAGGATCCACTAGCAGAGTACCGAATCCCAGCAGAAAATCCGATGGTAACCAAGCAACGGGTTGAGCGAGGGGCGACAGCACGCGCGACAATCGCAGATACATAATCAGCAGGGGTACGCCTCGGTACAGCATGGTGGTGCCAGGGAACAGCATGATTTCCGAGGCGCCTCAGAAATTATGGGGCGAAGGAATACGATGTATAACGCGAGAGTATAGTCTCTCAGACGCCTTAGATCGCGTTTCGAAACTCCGTGGAAGGTGTCGGTTGCCCTGGATCGCCAGAGCGAGCACGATCATCAGCGCGAGCAGGTTTCGGTTGCAACACAAGTGAAATCGTGGAAGTCTATGAAGAGCATACCTCGAGAACCATGACGGCTACGCTTCGATCGCGGGAATAGCTGGGAGGATGCTAGCCGAATATAGTAGACGCAGAGGCAGACGCTGCACGACGTACACAACTGGTCGGCACAAACTAGCTTCCACTAACTAGCACAGTGACAGATCCGTATGCTAGAATTTTAGCAGATTGGTACAGTTTTCCCTATGCTGCGGCAACGGACCCAGAGATGAAAAGAGCGGGGAGATGTCAGAGCTTCGCCTCGTTATAACCAGTTGAACATCACGAGACTCCAGAACCAGCTTCCCACTTGTCGAGTTCAGCCAATCCGGCTGTTAGTGAATTAGGTGAATACTATCAACCGAATAAATACATGCTTTTTTTTTTTTTATAGCAGACCCACAGTGCCTAAGGTCCGTATTCCGAGTGTACAGCTCAGCACGTATCTACAAAAAGGCGTGGAGAGGACCTTGGGCCCTACACACCCCTCATGCAGCCCACCGCTCAACCCCTCCTAACATCATCCTCCCTACAGCAACTCATATCATGTCATGCGTGTCCATAGAGCCTGCCAGGCCCCAAAAAGGATAGCACAGCACTGCTATCGCAAGCTAGCCATGTAGCAAAGGCATCCTATGCTCACAGTGCCGGTGGTAACCTCAGCAACAGTGATTAAAACCACGATAGATAGAAGCAGGTCGACACTCATGCGAGGTATCAACCTGTTACCTGTCGTCCCTCCACGTGTCAGCGTGTCAGCTGTCCCTGTGTCATCTCGCCAAACCTCCAGGTGTCAAGCTCTCACGGTTTTAGGAGTCAGCAGCATGTCATCTCTTAGGCCACATGGTAACCCCATTGCCCTCTATGCTCTCCCCTCTCTCCCCCCAAACCCTCTTTCCCAAGCCTCCAACACCCTCCCCAACAACAGCAGCGGCAGCAGAAGAGGGGGCCGCAGCAAGGAAGGCAGCAGCAGGCACACCACCGTTGATATCAGCAACGGCCGCACCATAGCTCATATCCGCCACTGCTGCACTGTAACTGCTCTCAGGAACCCTCCCACTCGCACTCCCACTCGCATTCCCACTCCCACTCCCACTCCCGCCCGCACTCGCACTGCCGCTCGCGCCAAAACTCCCAATGCTGATGCCGTTGCTGTGGCTCATAAATACCCTCTCCTGGCCGCGGCTGCTCAGGGCGAGAGGCAGATGACCCGAGGGGGGAGCAGTGGCAATGGAAGGGGCGGTGGCGACAGCAGGGCAGGGTGCGATAGGGAAGAACTGCATCGTTCGGTCTAGGTTGCTGCCTGCCGGTGCTGCTGCCATCATCCCTGGAACCTGCACTCCTGTCATTCCCGTCACTCCTGCCACGCCCTGTGCGTGCATGACTGGCAGGTGCACGGGGAAGGGCATGCTGCTGCCTTGGCCCCTCCCTGCATGGACGGCGGGAGTCATGACTGGTGCGCGAGGCAAGTGCTGCTGCAGCATGGTGGGAGGAGCGGGGGAGGGAGGAGCAGCAGGTGGAGGGGGAGTGGGGGCGAGGGCGGGCTGGCGGACAAACTGGCCTCTGAAGCGCGGCCGCTGCTCTGCCAGTCGCTTGCGGCTCTGGTACCGCACCTGCACACGGTGGAGCAGCCGGAAGGGACAGGTGACGCAAGGAAAGGAGGGGGGGGGGGGGGGGAGGGGGAGGAGAATGGCAAGGGAGGAAGGGAGGTGTGGGGGGAGATTGGGGACGGGGGAAAGGGGGTGGTGCAATTGTTGAAGGCAGACGAGAGGGGTGCGTCAGAAAGGGGAAGTGATGGGAGGTGGGACATGAGGTGCAGGAGATACAGCCTGAGGAGGGCAGACAGCGAGCCAGGGAGTCAAGTGGAGCAAGCAGGGGGACTCTTCTCAATGGATGCGCCAGGGCTGGCAAAGAATGGCAAAGAACGGCAAAGAACGGCAAAGAACGGAAAAGAGTAGAAGCACACCTTCTTTTCAAAGTTCCTCTCTCTGCGCTTGAGCCGGAACTTATTGAGTGCCGCCTCCCTCACCGCCTGCCGACTCATCACCCCGCCACTGCCCTCTGCGCCCTCTGCACTGTATGCACCTTCCACCCCTTCCGCCCCTCGCACTGCTTGCTCCCCTCCCCCATCAGCCCCTTCTACCGCCTCTCCTCCGCGGCCTTCAACAGCAGCAGCAGCGGCGGCAACAGCAGCGGCAGCAGTAGGTGCGATGGCGGGAGGTGCAGGGAAAGGCGTGGTGGCGGGTGCAGAGAGAGAGGCAGATAGAGACAGCAGCCCTGCTGCACCCTCCTCCTGCCCCGCCTCCTCCCTCCCACCTTCCCCACGCTCCTCGCCACCCTCCTCCTTAAAGTGAGGGTGTTTTTGAGACGTCTCAAAAACACCTTCCCCACGCTCCTCGCCACCCTCCTCCCCTTCCCTCTCATCCTCCGTCTCCTCTCCGTCCTCCTCCTGCCGCTTCTCCTCAAAACCCTCCCTCATGTGCACATCCGCACCCTCTCGCCCCTCCTCCTCCTCCTCCTCCTCGTCCGCTTGGCCTTGCTCTTGCCGTTGTGCCTGTATCCGCTGCACCTCTCCAGCTGCCCCTATCCCCTCAGTGAGCCACTCGCGCCTCTTGCTGCTCGTGCCTCCCGCCTCTCCTCCACCCATCCCTGCCATGCCCTCATCCCCTGCCTCCTCCTCTCTGACTCGTTTCCGTCCCACCACGCCCACGGCACCACCCACATCACCCACACCACCCGCACACGCAGCACCACCGTCCTCTCGGCCAACACTGCCCTCCGCCCCCTCTGCCTCGCCACCGCTGCCCTCGCCTCTCAAATCCCTCGCTGCCACATCTAACGCCTCTGTTGCTTCCGACGCACTCCCCCTCCCTCTCTCCCTCATCCCATCCAGCCACCTTTGAGCCTCCCCGTTAGCACCAGCGCCTGCAGCAGCTGTGGCAGAGGCGGGAACGGTACCATCTCTGTTCCTCTCTCCGCCATCCCTGCCCCCCTCTCCGCCATCTCCGCCCATGGCATTCCCCTCGCGCCTCACTGACTGCCCCCCTGACTGCCGCCTCCCCTCCTCCGTCCCGCCACCTCCCATCCCCATTGCCTGCCCCCCTGTCCCCCCTTCCCCTCCGCTACCCTCCCCCCCACTCCCCTCTCCCCCACCACTTCCCCTCCCCGAACCCCCTCCGTTTCCACTCCCCCCACCATCCCCCCCACTGCCTTCCCCTCCCCTGCCCCCTGTTCCTCCTTCTCCTCCACTCCCCATCCCCTCAATACCATTCCCCGCGCCAGTACCTCCCTCCCCGCCACTGCCCCCTCCACCGTTCCCCCGTTGGGGGGACTGGAAGCGCCCGCCCGCGCCTGTCATGCCCGCAGTGTCATGCGCCTGGTCCTTGGACCCCACCGCACTGCCATTGGCGCAAGACAACAGCGCCTGTATCCCCCCACCGCCCCCCGCGCCTCCCCCCGTTCTGCTCCACTCATGCGCCCCATTCGCGCTTGCATCCCCGCGCTTACTCCCCCCACTGCCTCCGCTGCCCCCGCTTCCCCTCCCGCCTCCGCTGCCTCCCCCACTCCCCTGTCCGCTTCCCCCTCCGCCCGATCCTTGCCCGCTGCCACTCCGCCCGCCACTCCCTGCGCGCGCGCTCCCCGCCATGTCTCTCCCCGTGTCCCCACTCTCATTATACTCCGAGCTTCCATTACCATCCCCATTGCCATTCCCGCCGCTGCTGCTGCTGTTGTTAACCCCCTCACGCGCATTCCTTCCCCCTCCGCCGCCGCCGCCACCCTTCGCGTACACGTTGCTGCTCCCGTCGTTCCCAACCTCGCCTCGAGGCACGGCAGCCGCAGCTGCGGCCGAGGCTCGGTGGTGCCCTGAAAGAGCAACCGGACCTGCGCCCGCTGCTGCTGCTGCGCCTGCTGCCCCTGCGGCAGCAGCGGCATTGTGAGGGTTGGAACCTTCCCCCTCCGGACTGCCACTTGCGTTCGCATTCACTTTGGCATCCTCTGCAGCAGCTGCTGCTGCCGCATCAGCACCAGCAGCAGCGGCGGCGGCGGCGGCAGCAGCGGCGCCAGGGTTAGCAGGGGACATGACACTCACACTATGCTGCTGCTGTAAGGACGGGTGGGAGTGCCCGCGATGGTGGTGGCGGTGGTGGTGGTGCCGCTGGTCCCGGTGGTGGTGGTGGTGATGCTGCCGCTGCCCCTGCTGTCCCTGCTGTCCCTGCTGCACCTGCTCCTGCAGCAGCGCCTTAGACTCTTCCACCCAGTGCAGAGCTTCTGTGGACGACACACGCACCTTCCCATGGCTCTCCTGCTGCACCGCTCTCTGCACAGCTTTCCCTGGCTGCCCGGGACCTCTGGGCGACGCAGGAGTCTTGCTCTCCAGACAGGCCGTCTCCGCCCCACCTTCCTTCCCATCATTCTTCCCCTTCCCTCCTGCCGCCGCTCCTCCTCCTTCTTCTCGCCTCTCCTCCTTCCCCTCAGCCCCCACTGCACCATCCAAATACATAATCCGTTCCCCCTGCTCCTCTCCTCCTCTCGCCCTTTCGTCCTTCCCGTCTCTCCTCCCTTCTCTCCTCGCTTCTTTTGGTCTCAGACCCGGGGAGGAACCGGCGACAGGGAGGGGCGGAGGGGGTGGCAGCAGGTGTTTTGCCAGGTGGTGATGTGTCCGCCGCGGCTGCTGCGCTGGCGGCAGCGGTGGGGAGTCGCCTGGTGCTTCTCTCGGTGCTGCTGCATCTTCTGCGGCGCTTGCTACTGCTGCGTCTGGTGCGTCTGGTGCCGTGGCGTTTGCTGCTGCAGGGACCGGCATTTGTTCTTGCTGTTGTGGCCGCTGCTCGTGCCCTTGCTGCTCCGTTTCCTCCAGCCGTTGCTCTTCGCATTGCTCCTGCTTCTGCTCCGGCTGCTGCTCTTGCTGCTGCTGCTGCTGCTGCTGCTGCTGAGCCCCTGGTTTCAACTCGTCTTGTTCGTCTCTGCGCGACCCAGCCAGCAATTGCGCCGGCAGTTGCGCCAGGGCCGGGGGGACGAGAGGTTGGAGAGCAGAGTGCGGGGGCGGGTGCGGGTGCGGGTGCGGATGGGCGAGCGCGTGGGGATGCGGGCGGGGAAGGCCGAGCGGGGGGGCGCGGCTGTGGAGCGCGAAACGGGTGGCGCCGGGGAACGGAGATGCTGGGAAAGAAGGCGCTTCTAGCAAGCGCGCACGCCAATCAGGCTGTTGCTGCTGCGATTGCTGCTGCTGTTGTCGCTGCTGTGACAGGACTGGCACTGGTGGTGGCGGCGGGAATCGCGTGGGAGGGTGGGGAGGCTGCAGTTGCATCTGCTGCTGCCCTCTCGCCTCTCCCTCCTGTTGCGCTTCTTGCATCTGCTGGTCATGCTGCTGCTCTTGCTGCGGCTGTTCTTGCTGCAACATCTGCTGCTGTTGTTGTTGTTGCTGCTGGGGCTGCTGCTGTGGGGTGGGCCGCTGAGAGGAGGGGGGAGGGGGAGGGCACGTCCACGGGGGAGGCACACCCGCTGCCACCGCCGCAGCTGCCGCCGCAGCCGCTGCCGCAGCAGCAGCCGCATAGTAGAGCGGCGATTGCAGGTACATCCCAGTTGCGGCTAGACTCGGGTCGAACGGGCGAGCGAACAACCCCGCAGCAGCCGCAGCTGCTGTGGCTGCCGCGGTGGCAGCAGCAGGCGGAGCAGGAGGAGCGACAGCTGCCGGGGAGAAAGGAACGATAGGGGCTCCAGGAGTGTGAGCCGCGGGAGTAGCAGCAGCAGCAGGTGCAGCAGGTGCAGTGGGAACAGCAGGGGCGGCAGCAGGGGCAGCAGGGGCAGCAGGGGCAGTCGGGGCAATAGGGGCGGTGGGGACGGTAGTAGGGGCAAGAGGGAGGCGAGTGACAGCCGAGGTGCTGCCATTGCGGTGGGTGTGACCTCCCCCAGTTATACCTCCCGTCACTGACGCTGCTGTTGCCTCTGTCAACTCCCCACCCGCACCAGAACGATCCGTCCTCCCATTCCCGCCACTTCCGTTGCCCCCGCTCCCGTTCCCCCCACTGCCGTTCCCCCCACTTCCGTTCCCCCCGCCACCGCTTCCGTTCCCCCCACTGCCTCCCCCACCACTACCACCCTCCCCTCTGCTTCCTCCCCCACTTCCCCCACCTCCGCTTCCCCCTCCCCCGCTCCCTCCTCCGCCGCTTCCCCCACCTCCGCTTCCCCCTCCGCCGCTTCCCCCGCCCTCTCTCCCCCCAGGGCAACCCGAGGTGCTGAGCAGCAGGCCCCCGCCGCGCGCATCCACGGGCGAATGCGAGAGCGCGCCAGGTGTGCCGCTAGCAGCAGGAGGCGCGGCGCAAACAGGGGCGGCGGGGAAAGCTGGGACTGACCCAGCCGCACCAGCGGCGGCAGCAGCAGCGGTTGCTGCAGTGGAGGGAGGCTCTAGGCTTGCCGCGGCGGTGGCGGACGGGAGAGCCCCGGAGGCGGAAGGGACAGTGTCAGTACCGGTGGCAGCGCGAGCAGCAGCAGCAGCAGCAGCAGCAGCTGCTGCGGCGGCAGATACGGAAGCAGAAGCGGTGGCGCCGGTAGCGGCGGTGGCAGCAGGGAGAGCGCCGCTTGCTCGAGCAGTAGTGACGCCGCTCACCCCTCCAAAGGTCGCTGCGGACGCACCGGCTCCCATGCTCCCTTCTACGCCTCGCATCCCTGCAGCAGACGCACCAGCAGCGGCGGCATCTGCGCCCGCGCACACGCAAGCAGCATCGCCTTTCCCCGCAGCAGCAGCAACAGGTAGCGGCTTACACAGCATCTGCTGCTGCTGTTGCTGCGACTGTTGCGGTTGGCCCACAAGCACGTGACCCACGCGGACAGCAGCAGCAGCAGCACCAGCGCCCATCGCACCCAGTGCGGGCGGGAAGGCGCGCGCGTCTTTCTGCACGAGGCCTCCCGGCACGGCGTCACAGAAGCCTACCACTCTGCCTGCATGCGCCCCTCCTTTCCCCCCCTGCGCCCCTTTCCCCCCGTGCGCCCCAGTCGCCCCGCCGTGCGCCACGTGCACCGTTTTCGCGCCCTTGCCATGGGCGCCAGCGGCGAGCGCGCCGTGTGACGTCGTGAGAGCGGACGAGACGTTGCCCGACGCCGCATGCTGCGCGGCGGAAGCGTGGCGGTCAGGGCGCGAGGTGATAGGCGCGTGCGGGGCAAGCAGCGGATGAGCACAAGACGTGGGCGGGAAGGCGCTGTGTGGGCTTCCCAAGGCATGCGCGCGTGGCAGCGGGTCGCACGGCGCTTGGTGCGTGAATGGGGGCGGCGGATGTGCGCCTGCGCGCTGCGCTGCTGCGCCCGTGGCGGCAGCTGCTGCGGCTGTGCCGGATGGCGGTGCAGCTGGTGGTGGTCCAGGTGGCAGGCTGTGATTGGCTGTCGCAATGGTTGTTTGGCCGGCCGTGTGGTAGCTGGAACGGGCGAGGCAGGGAAGGAAGGAACGGGCAAAGGGGAGAAAGGATGGAGGGCAGTGAGTGTAAGGGCGGACGACGAGGACGAATGCAGAGAGCAAAATGTGTCCAAGTGCGAGACGATTTGAAACTTGGGAAGTATAAGAGAGCACACAGGGGAGGGGGGCGGCAAGGGGGGAGAGGAAGGTATGTGGGTAACGTAGTGGAGGGAGGGTGGAGAGGAGAGGAACTGCGGGAAGATGTGTGGGGAAGGTGCGGGGGGAAGGGGTGGCTGGCTTACCGTGAGAAGGCGGATGCTTTTAGAGGATGTGTTGGGTGATGCCCGCGTTGCTCTTGCCGCTGCTCTTGCCGCTGCGCTTGCTGCTCCGCAACGCCCTTCCCACCTTCGCCCCCCACCATCCCCCGCTCCTCCCCACCTGCTCCGACCCCTCCCCTCCCTCCCCCCAACCCCCCACCTGCGTCTTTCCCCTCGCCCCTCCGCCCTTCCTCTCCCCCTTCCACCTCCATACCCCCATCCCATCCGCGCCTCTTCTCCTCCTCCTCTTCCCCCTCCCCCATCTCCACATCCTCCCCTGCGCGCCCTTCTTGCGCCGTTTCGAGATTTATCCGCCCCTCAATCACTCGCCTGCTCGGTCCCGTGCAAGCGGCGCCATCCCTATCCGCCCCTCTCCGCGCCGCCCCGCCCCCCCCATCATCCCGTATCTCCGCCTCCCCGGGCATTACCTTTTCCGCCACCCCCTTGCCTCTCCCCCTCCCTCCCCCCACTCTCCCCCACCGCGCAGCACCGCCCCCAACGCCACCAACCCTGTCGCCAACTTGGTTCGGAACCCCTTCGCCTGCAGGTCCGGAAGCAGCTACGGCAGCCAATCCAAAAGCTCCGCCAGCAGCCGCTCCAGCAGCGGCGGCGGCGGCGGCGGCGTCCGGAGCTGCGGCTTTGCCCGCGAGCGTGAGGCCCCCCAGCAGCATGGCTTCCGCGGACGCCTCGCGCGTGGACTCGGCGGACGTGCCCTCGTTCTCGCGGTCCTCCTCCGCGCGCGGCGTCGCGCCCTCCTCGCTCTCGTTGCCGATCTGCAGCGCCGCCTCCTCCGACGCCAGAGTGGGCGCCGTCGTCACGCGCGCGCCCGACACCAGATGGTGCTCCGCGGCTGTAGCCGCCGCGGCTGTAGCGCCGGCTGTAGCGCCGGCTGCAGCGGCCGCTGTAGCGGCGGCTGTGGCAGCAGCAGCAACGCCATCCGCGGCAGCCGCTGTAGCCGCCGCCAGCGCCGCCGCCGCAGCAGCAGCAGCGGCGGAGCCGCGTCCGCCGTGAGTTGCTTGCCTTGCATGCTCCAATCGCCGCTCCCTTTCCTTCTCAAACTCCCTCTCCTCCTCCTCCTCCTCCTCCCCTCCCCTCATGCGCCAACTCGTCGCGCCCCCAATCTCCGCCACGCCCTTCCTCTCCGCGTGCCTCCCGCCCTCCACTCCCCCGCGCGCATCCTCCTCCTGCCGCTGCGCCGACCTGAGGGGAGCTGTCAGCACGTGCGGGGATGCATCCGCGCCTTTTCCCCCTCCCCCTGCCACTCCCCCTCCCCCGCCTCCCCCATCATACACCAACTCGTCAGGCCTTTTGATAGTCGAGCCTTCCCCCGATGCTTGCATGGCCGCCGCGCCGCCCATCGCCATCATGCCAAACGCGAACGCCGCTCCCATAACCATGCCGCCGCCGCCGCCGCCAATCGCGGCGCCGATAGCGCCGCCACCAGCAACTGCAACTCTTCCTCCCCCTCCCCTTTCGCACCCTCCCCCTTCCCCTCCTCCGCCACCACCCGCAGGGAGAACAGCAGCAGTCGCAACAGCAGCGGCGGCAGCGACGGCGGCGGCAGCGGCGGTGTTGGCGGGTAAGGGGCCGGATCCGGCGGCAGCGCCGGCGGTAGTGTGGGGCAGAGCGGAGTGCGAGCCAACCATGGTGCCGCCTGCTGCTGTTACCGTGAGAGACGCGCGCGCAGGAGAAGAGGAGAGCAGATGAGTTTAAAAGGACGGCGCACACGAGTGCGAGCAGACGAAACGAGAGCGAGAAAAAAAGAGGGGCCGAATGGGGTGGCGGGGTGCGGTGGAAGCGGTGGGGGGAATAGGGAGGGAAGGGGGAAGGCGAGGGAAGGGGAAGGGGAGGGCAAGCATTGGTGGAAGAGGGCAGACATGGATACAAGCCAATGGTGCAGAAATGGCTGGAATAGAAAATAAAATTAACAGCCGAAAGCAGGTGAGAGAATGTGAGCAAGAGGGAGAGAAAGAGAGAGAGAGAGAGAGAGAGAGAGAGAGAGAGAGAGAGAGAGAGAGAGAGAGAGAGAGAGAGAGAGAGAGAGAGAGAGAGAGAGAGAGAGAGAGAGATTATCAATACAGGACTGCTTGAGAGAGAGAGAGAGAGAGAGAGAGAGAGAGAGAGAGAGAGAGAGAGAGAGAGAGTTACCAGACGGTGCCATTACCTAGGTCGTTCCCTGTGCCGTCGCAGTTGCCCTCTCCCTCTGCCTGCCTCTCCCTCTCGCGCTCATTCTCCCTCTCCCTCTCCCTCTCCTGCTTCTCCCGCGCGTGTGCCTTGGTGGCATTAGCGTTGACCTGTTCCCCCCCCGCACCCCCACCCCCACCAATCAGGGTGCCCCAAGGGAGGGACACAGGCACACGCACAGCGCAGCAGAGCAGAGCAGATAGAGAGAATGCGGTGAGACGGCGATCGACCAACTAAGGCATGAGGAGAAGGAGACGGGGTAGGAGAGGGAGACGGAATGGAGGTGGCGCGGGGGAGGCTATCCATGGCGCGCTATCACTCCGCGAGAAGCGTGAGAAGCGGCGCCACAGGAGGGTGAGGCGCGCGGAGAGGAGGCGGCGCAGGAGCGCGGGGAGCGGAGAGGAGGGCGGAAGACAAACCACCACGCGTCTTCCCACCATCGCCCGAGCCTAAGCCCCCCTTCAAGAAAGAATCCGAGCCCGAGCCCGAGCCCGAGCCGGAGGCCGAGCCTGACGCCGAGCCTGAAGCCCAGCCTGGATCTGGACGTGAGGGAGCGCCAGCCTCGGGGCTTCTGGGTCGTTTACCAAGAGGGTCAGTGCGCGGGGACGTGCGCCCCAGGCTGCATGTAAAGCCGTCCGTTCGGCACTGCGACCGGCGGCCGATGCTGCCACGGACAGGCGAGCACGTGCGACTGCCAGCATCCCTCCCAACATCCTTCTCGAAATCACTCCCAGCATCACTCCCAGCATCGTTCCCAGCAGCAGCACGGGGGCCGATACGAACCTGAGTGCCACTGCCGTTGTCGCTGCCGCCGTTCACGTTGAAGCTGCACCCCACTCCGTCGCCCTCGTACGCGCCCCGCTTCTCTCGTAACACCTTGCCGTTCGTGCCGCTGCCGCTGCCACTGCCGCTGCCCGTAGACTGCCAATCCAGAAGAAGAAAAAAAAGGGGGGAAGCAGGGTTTAGGATCTCCATAATAGGGGCATTTTGAGGTGGAAAGACAGGCGAGAACGCCGGTGGAATTCGAAGACAGGGCAAGGGAGCCAGAGCGGCGCAGAACAGAGGCGCACAACTCCGCTCCGCGCGCTTCAGGGAAGCCAGCAGAGCGGAGCACGACGCAGAGCAGAACGGCGCAGCGCAGAGCGGCGGGGTGCAGAGGCGCGGAGCGGAGGAGCAGGAGCGCGGAGCAGCGGCGCAGCGGCGCGGCGTACCGAGTGGCATCGGCGCCAGACGTGCTGCCAGAGGTTCTTGAGCTCGTTCTTGCGCACGGGCTTCACGAGAAAGTCCGCCGCGCCCTTCTGAAAACACTTTAGCACCATCTCCATGCTGTCGTGTGATGACATCACTGCGAGGGGGGAAGGGGGAGGGGGTGGAAAGGTTGGAGGGCGAATGGGGAGGGACGGCGGGAGGAGACTGTGAGAAGAGGACTTTTGAAAACACTTACGACATCACTTCAGCGCGCACGGGAAGGAGGAGGTTGGAGCGTAAGAAGCACGTGGTGTCAAATGCAGCAAGAACGAAAAGACGGCAAGCGAAATCTGAAGCAGACAACGGCGCCGGTAAAGACGGCGTGAGGGGAAGGAACGGTACGCACTGATGACGGGCATGCCGCGGAGCGCCTCGCGCGTCATGATGCGCGTGAGCAGCCCGATGCCTGATAGCCCCGGCATCACCACGTCCGTCAGCACCAGGTCGAACCGAGCTGCACCGCTCGCCGTCAGCAGCTCCCACGCGTGCACGCCGTTGGACGCGGGTGTGACTGTTGGGCACAAAGGGGCGAGGGAGAAAGGGGCGAGGGGGGAAGGAGGGGAGAGATAGATGAGGGGAAGGGGGAAACACTAGCGGGTTACCGAGTACAAAATGTGGGGGAAGGGAAGGACAGGAATGGAGAACAGCGAGGACCAAGGAACAAAGGAAAGGTCAGAAAATTTTCGCGGAAGTAGTAATTTCACCGCGGCATATATGCCGCTATTGTTGACGGCTGCTCGTGAAATAGCTAGAGAAAAAGCCCTGAGTGCAACTGGGGAGGGCGCTGGATTTGAAACGAGGAAGCGCACGGTGCAGCTGGGAAAGAACGCCGGAAACGTCGGTAAACGAATGAATGCAGCGAGTCGAATCCCCGACAATACTCGTTCGTACGGCTGCGCGAAGTTCAAGCCGGCGAGGGAGCGCGTACTGGAAGCAATCGCATATAGACTCGCTTAGGCAGAGATTACGCTAAAAAACACGGTAATTTATGCTGCGCTGCACCGTAACAGAACTCGATGATGCGTTGCCGTGCTAAGCCGCTAAAGACTTCCTACGAGGCTTGAGAATGAAACGGCCTAAGAAAAATAGAAGAAAAAAAAAAGTACGGTCGATGATGCCGTGTCGTTTCTAAAAGCGCATCCTAGAAAACGCGGGACAGCTACCGAAAATTCGCATTTTTTCTAATCGCGCGTCCAAACCTTCTGGACCTCCTTCGAACAGATCTGGACGGAGCTTCACAAGAGAGACACACTACGGACCTTCGTAAGAACAGTTTCTCAGCAGCGCGCCGACGACGTGGCGGGTGGAGTCGTCGTCTTCGACCAGCAAAACCCTCAGACTACCCTGAGGTAAGAACGCCTCCCACCCGGGCCCTCCCGCTGAGATGCCGCCGCCGTCATTGTTAATCGGCCCGTCGTGCAGCTCGAAATCGTCGCCCGTCTCCTCCCCGTCTTCATCGTCTTCGTTTCGATTTCTATTGTCCTCATCGTCCTCCGCTGCAGGCTCCTGAACCCCGCAGAACTCCGCCGCGACTCCCGGACAATCCATGTCCATATTCACTGCATCGTCTAATTGTTGCGGCTGTAATGGCTGTGGCTGCTGAGGCTGTTGCTGCTGCTCGGGCAGTATCTCCTGCACATGTTCCTGACGACTCTGAGGCTCATAATTTCGATCGTTTTCAAGAGTCGGTCCAGCGACGCCCAAGCCTTCGTTCGGTCCCCTCTTATTCTCAAGATCGATTTTCCTAAACTCTTGATGGATCCCATGGCTCCCACAGTGCTCTAATCGATCCGACGGTTGACAAGGCCAGTCATCATTTCCGTCCGCTGGCCCTAAACGTTCTCCAAATTCGCCAGCCATACCAAAACATGAAGCTATTAGCAATGTAACCAAGGGATTCTTAAATTAGCGTAGTCCCCTAAAAAACGTGCATTAATCCTGTAAGCACGCAGAAACGACGAAAAATCCTGACGCGACAGGGCGTTGAGGATTCAGATTAGCTATTCTTGCTAGGAGCTAGGCCAGCCAAGGGATTACTGAAGAGCTGAACGCTAGGGCCACCTTGCTTGAGACCAGCTTCAGGAAATCTTTCGTGGAGCCACGAAACCCTCACCATCAGTTGCCGTGCTCCTATTGGCTGTACGCAGAACCAAACCCTAGCCGCAGGCCAAGCAGAACGAAGATGTGGATTGCAGATGCCTCCACATCTGGGCGGAAAGGTGTACGCGGAGAACAGCGTAGGCGGAACTTTCGCGAAGCTGATCCCGCGCAAATCATTTTTTGCACGGGCATGGACGACCGAAAACCGCCAACACAGCACTCTGTTCCGCCAACTGTGTTGTGTCGCCTCGGCGCAAGTCCGCTCGATTTGCTTGCTTTGGGAACTGCTGCTTTATCAGGGCATGGTCAGAATGACCGCTGAAACTGGAGATTCATGTAGCGATATGTTCAGACAATTCCCAGGAACCGTTCGATACGCTGAGGTGGACAAAAGCGAGCGAGCGGGTATCCGGTGTTGCTTCAACGCCTCTCGTTCCAGAATGTCATCCCGTGCCTGCGCGTGATAAAGCAATCTTTATCTCTTTCCCAAACCTCGTCTGGGGCAGGCACCATGACATTCTCTGCACTCTGGACCCACTGCTTGATGATTGTTACCCGTATACCCTCTCCTTGGGCAGCTGGCACTCACTTACCGAAATCACTACATAGTTGGTTAAAAGTTTTGGTGTTTTTGTGCGAATGTCATGCAGTAGGTTTACGGGGAGTGGGATCATGGAAGGTCCATCTAAATGCCGGTTGTACTAAAAAGAACCAGACTAGCAAGGGGGTGCTTTCAGTGTTGGGGCAGCAATGAACCCTGTCCACTACCCAATAGCGAGGTGATGGTATCCACGTGACCATACTGCCCATGGAATCCCATCGTTGCCCGTGAAGGTTCCCCAGCCTCAGAAAGCCACCATAGACGAGGTCACTGGAGATGGCAGCCAAGGGATGTGCCCAGATATTCCGAGTTGCCCGCTTCGCTGCCCTCACAAGTGGTTGGGATGCAACAACCATAACCCACGCACAGTGCAGGAACCCGCCACGAGCCACCACTAGGGTGAAAGCAACGGCATGACGCAATCCCGTGATAGGCTGTGCTGGCAATAGATATTCGTCGAAGCAATACCAAAAAAATCCCAGACGTTCGGCCCGAACCAGAGTCCACAGCTTCGGCTCAGCATCTTTTGTGAGTGATCACTAGTTCGCTCGGCAGTGTAACGTAACGTGGCGACAATTGTGGAACCACGTCAATCATCGGTAGCTTTCGCCCAGTAACCACATCCTTCCCGCTCCACCGCCGTGATTTATGGCGGTGATGCCGCAGCCGCGTTCTAAAGTACCCCTGCCCTTATTTTCATACCTATTGTGGATCATGTGCTTCTATCATCCCCGCAGTCTCAGTTCTGCACGCTACTATGGGCGGATTATTCAGCCGACCGTTCAGCACCCAGAAAACGACGACGCATTCCAGTCCGGTGGTGCTAATAACGGGATGCTCCCAAGGCGGCATCGGCTATGCTCTCGCGGAGTAAGCTCCTTACACGGCCAGGTAACGTTTAATTAAATCTCTTAAGGACGCGAGGTGATTTGACTGTGAGAAATTCCGACATCATCATATCATGCTCCACAAGGCAGGCAGCCTCGAGCTGTGCTGCTGAATCGGCATTGCGGTTCGTGTAGTATTAGCGCTGGTGTGAGATCGATTCGACTCGATTTCTCGAAACATTGGTCTGTCCCTGTCGCTTCGTAGGCGATACCTCATTTCGTGGAATTGGTCCTTTGCCTTAGAAAATTTTCCGGTTTCCGCCGCCATTCCGGAAGGCTTTTGCCGCCATGCCGCCTCCGGTTTTTTCCGTCCTCGCTTCCCAGGCCTTTCTCTTGCTCGTCACGGATTGGAAGAACCTCTTCTCACGCTCTCCGCCTTCCGAACATGCGAATTCGTCCCCGTGGCATCCCTTCGCGTGTCGCGAAGTTTCAGCATTTGCAAAGTTCTACGAATGTAGTTTTTGGTACGTTTCATCCTTCGTTCCGTTATGCGTGGCATTCGTCTCCGTCACTCCGACTCCAGGGAGATGGCGCGCAGAGGCGCGCGGGTGTATGCGAGTGCGGTGAAGGCGGCGGAAATGGAGGGACTAAGTGTCAGCGCTGGGATTCGAACCCTCGAGCTTGACGTCACAAGCGAAGAATCTATTCAGGTAGCTCAGAGAATGAACTCGTTCGAACTGGAGAATTTGAGTTGGGTGGTTGGAAATATTGGAATGATGCAGGTGATTGGTGATTTACATTCACACCTCCCCTGCTGATCCCTGATGTTCCCAGTAGCCATGCTTTTCACTCGACTCCAACTCATCGGCACGCCATTCCGAGGAGAAAGTGTGATGTCTTTCTCTTTTGAAAAGCTTATGAGAGGAGGGGGGGTGGACGTGCTGGTATGGTAACCACCGCAGGCACCGGCGTGCCGTGCCCCGTGGTAGATTTGAATCAACTTTAGTTTCCTCCCACCCCTGTAGACCTTCTCTCCTGCCCCCTCTCGGGCGGCAGTGGCCCACCGGGTGGCAAGGGATGGGCGGGTGGACGTGCTGGTGAGCAACGCGCGCAGCAGCATGCCGTGTCCCATGGTCCAAGTGCCTTTTGTGTCACTCAAATCTCTTCCTCCCCGCCCGCCCACCCCTTTTCTCTGGCCTTTTCAGGTGGCAGTGGCCCGCGTTGTGGCAGAGGAGGGGCGGGTGGACGTCCTAGTGAACAACGCAGGCATCGGCATGCCATGCCCCATGGCCGCCGTGCTTTTCTTGTCCACTACAACCCCCCTTCCAACCTCCCTCTTTCTTTGGCCTTCTCAGGCGGCAGTGGCCCAATTGGTGGCAGAGGAGGGGCGGGTGGACATTCTAGTGAACAACGCAGGCATCGGCATGCCATGCCCCATGGCTGATGTCTCTTCTGAGTCAACACAAAGTCCCTTCCTCCCTCCTGCCTCCTGCCCCTTGTCAGGCGGCAGTGGCCCACCTAGTGGCAGAGGAGGGGCGGGTGGACGTCTTAGTGAACAATGCAGGCATCGGCATGCCATGCCCCGTGGCTGATGTGCCCTTGGACCAACTCCGCCAGGTGCTCGACGTCAATCTCTATGGCGCCGTCGCCATGGCGCGAGCCGTCTTCCCGGTCATGGCACAGCAGCAGTGAGTGGCTCTTCTTTTGTAATGGGCATTCGCAGCAGCGAATGCCCCGTGGCCGATGTGCCCTTGGACCAGCTCCGCCAGGTGCTCGACGTCAATATCTTTGGCGCCGTCGCCGTGGCGCCAGCTGTCTTCCCCGTGCTGTCATGGCGCAGCAGCAGTGAGTGGCTCTTACCCCGCCGGTTTGTGCTTCGCTGGTAACAGGTGTGGCCCACGTACCCTTGGACCAGCTCCGCCAGGTGCTGGAATCTGGATGTCAATCTCTATGGCGCTGTCGCCGTGTCGCTGTCGCCGTGTTGCTGTCGCTGTGTCGCTGTCGCCATCTTCCGGTCATGGCACAGCCGCAGTGAGGGGCTCTTGGTGGTTTTGAGGCCTCTTGAAGCAGTGAGCTGTCTTCGTGGCTCTTATATGGTGCACGAGGTTGTCGGAACAAGAGCACGAGGTGCACGAGGTTGTCGGAACAAGAGCAGCAGCAATAGGACATATCTGCGATTGTGAGTCGATGCATTTGCCTGGACTTCCCTGTCTCTGCGAGCTTGCTGTGCTGTCACCATGGCTCGAGCTGCCTTTTCCCACATGGCGCACTGGCACTTCCTTTTCCGTGGGCATACGTAAAAGCTCTGCGATTGATTCGCCACCTACCTTAACATAAGATGCATCTTTTCGAATTCGTGTGCCTTGGCAAGCGGCACTAATACTAGCTTGTTGCTGATACGGAGAGTAGCAGTAACAGCAAGCACGTGAGGCCACGTAGGAAACTAATTATCTGTGTGAGACCATCTAAAAAACAGATTCTTTACGTGCTCTTCCTGCTGCTTGCCTCCTCTTCCTCTGCCTGCTCGTCACAGGACTCGCTCTCGCATTTTGAACATGGCGAGTGTTGCGGCATATGTCAACAGGTAAGCTGCTCGCCTCTCAATCATCGTTCATGCTTATTGCTTTTCATCCCTTCCCTGCCTCTCTGACGTACGTTCCATAGTCTGTGCACTCGTCTTTCTTTGCCCTCCTTGTGGGACAAGCTAACAACCAATCACTCTGATCAAGCCCTTTCTTATCTTTTTAACCTGCCTTCAAATCATATAATGAGTTGAACTGAATCGTCAAAATTCCCCTTCACGGAGGCAGGCCGTGGAGCTGTGCCTACTCTGCCAGCAAGGCGGCGCTCGCAGCGGCCACCAGCTGCATGCGCATGGAGATGCGGCCCTTCGGCATCGATGTCGTGCTCGTCACACCAGGCTATATCAAGTCGCGCATCTTCCGGTCAGTTGACTGTTTGACTGTTTGCTGCTAATCCACTATGAGCCTGGATTCTTGGGACATTGAAAGTGCATGGAGATGCGCCCCTTCGGCATCGACGTGGTGCTTGTCACACCCGGCTACATCAAGTCACGCATCTTCCGTTCAGCTCATTGTTTGTTCTGGAGGTGATTCAGAAAACGCCTAAATTTCTGTGTGTCTCTGTTGTGCCAGAAAACCTGGCTGTTGAGGAGGTGACTGTTTTTTTATGCGCCTGTTTGTACCATCGCACATTGCGCACTCCTCCATCATTGCAAAATTTCCCCATTTTGCCATTTCCTCTCACATCCACGTGTGTGCCACGTTGCACGTTCCTGCCACACTCCACATGGAGCCACATTGCAGTGCAGCAAGTGTCAATACCCTCATGCCGGCACTCCACTCTACTGCTCGTCTCTCCCTGATTTCTGCAGTAACGCTCTAGCCAGCGCCCCCATCCTTCCCAGTTCAAGTCATTACAAGCCCTACGAGGCGTCCTACAGAGAGCAGTTCGCTGATAGTGCGGACAATTCTTGGGCGACCAACACTGCTAATTTTGCTACACAACTTGCTGACGTGGCACTGGGCAAAAGCAGTCCTCCGTGGCAGGTTCTGTATGGCCACCAAGCACTCTTTGCTGTACTCATGTCCTACCTTCCTGCAACAATTCTCGATTCGTTGCTGTGGGCTGCATTTGCAAAAAGAAAGTAGCTTCTCAATTACTCTTTGTGGTGTGTGTGTGGTACATGATCAGCTCCAAAAACAAGTACTACTACAAGCAAGTTGTTCATGAATCATGACCCAGGGATGATAAGTTTTGCTTCCAGAATAAGACCTTGAAGCCCCTACCCTAGGGGCTTCTATCTCTGGGTGACCTGAACGTGATCAAGCTTTTAGTTGGTGGTGGATTCTTTATAACCCCTTCTTGTACGTCCAGTATTTTGTTCAGATTGTTTTAGTATGGTTGGTAAAGGTGGGTGGCACCCAGGGCCCTCGCTAGTCTCTGAACCCCCCTGAGGCGTCAGACGGGCCCTTCGGGCCCGTCTGACTGGTCAGAAAATTTTCACGCCCCTGTCTTTCGCATCAGAAATTCTAACATTACTTGGCTTAAAAATCAGATTTTGTAACCCGTCCCTACTGTAACTACAACTACTACTCAGCTATTCTCTACAAAGAAAACATATCAAGAATAACTATCTAGCTATCTGAGTCAGAGGCAGATGCCTCATTGTCACTCAGTGTAACAGTTGCACGCACATCCACTCCTTCATCCTCACTGTCGCTATCTACTATGTGAGTTTTGGCTTTCTTCCTCTTGGCTTCTCCGTCGTCATTGGACGGCGCTTTCTGAGCTGTCGTGTTAGGTGCTAGATCCTCCCTGTCTCCCTGCCTCCCTGCCGCTTTCGTCTCTGCCTCCCTGCGCTTCGCAGTTGCCACTCCACTGACTTCTTTGTGTCAGATTTATATGACAGAGCTACTGTAGGCTATAGTGGGGTAGCACATATGGGGTACAGTTTTCTAGGGTTTGCATTTTTGTACCCAACCTTCCCTTAGTCATTGCCATTCCTCGTTTCTTCTCATGGTATCGAGCAGGTTCCCTAGTGGGAACGATTCCTAGGGCCCACCACCACGAAATTTTTTTTTCCTGCCCGGAGCGCGCTTCGCTCAGGCCCGAGTCGCGCCCTGGGTGCTCCCCCCTACCGTCGCGCCCTCGCTAGGCCCCTCACGGCCCCGTCGCGTCGCCCTTAGCGGCCCCCTCACGGCTCGTCGCGCCGCCCCTTACGGCCCTTCGTGCCGCCCTTACGGCCCGTCGCGCCCGTCGCGCCGCCCTTACGGCCCCTCGTGCCGCCCCTTACGGCCCCTCGCGCCGTCCCTTACGGCCCCTCGCGCGGCCCCTTACGCCCCTTACGGCCCCTCTCGCGGCCCCTCACGGCCCCCCCTACGGCTCGTCGCCGCCCTCCGCGGCCCCGCCACCTACCTGTGCGGCCCCACCACCTACCTGTGCGGCCCCGCCACCTACCTGCGGCCCCGCCACCTACTAGCGGCCCCGCCACCTACCTGCGGCCCCGCCACCTACTAGCGGCCCCGCCACCTACCTGCGGCCCCGCCACCTACCTGCGGCCCCGCCACCTCCTAGCAGCCCCGCCACCTACCTGCGGCCCCGCCACCTACCAGCGGCCCCGCCACCTACCCGCGGCCCCGCCACCTACCTGTGCTGGCCCCGCCACCTACCTGCGGCCCCGCCACCTACCAGCGGTCCCGCCACCTACCGGCGGCCCCGCCACCTACTAACGGCCCCGCCACCTACCTGCGCCCCCCCCCACCCCCGCCTCCTCTCAGCGGCCTCGCCGCCTCCTCCCAGCGGCCCCGGACGCCGCCCTCTCAGCGGCCCCGCCGCGCCGCCGAGCAGCCGAGCCGCCCAGCAGCCGAGCCGCCGAGCAGCCCAGCAGCCGAGCCGCCGAGCCGCCCAGCAGCCGAGCCGCCGAGCCGCCCAGCAGCCGCGCCGCCGAGCCGCCCTGCAGCCGAGCCGCCGAGCCGCCCAGCAGCCGAGCCGCCGAGCCGCCCTGCAACCGAGCCACCCGAGCCGCCCTGTCCGGTAAGAGCAGCGCCTCTTTCACAGCACTGCCCTCACCCTACTGTTTGCGCTGCTAGACTACTGCTGTCATGGCTACCCCTAGTGTCCTCGCTTTTGATGCTGAGGGTCGGGCCATTGACTTTGACGTCTGGATAGATGACCTGCAGCTTTTCTTACAGTGCGACAGAGCAGACGGCCTCTCCCTCTTTGACCTCACTTCTGGTGCCTCCCCTGCCCCCGCTGCTGATGCTGACGCCACTGTTCGCTCACAGTGGGCCACGCGCGATGCTGCTGCACGTCTTGCTGTGCGTCGCCACCTGCCTACCTCTGAGCGTGCGCACTTTAGCCAGTACAAGAGTGCTCACACCTTGTACGACGCTGTAGTTGCGCGCTACTCCTCCCCTGCCACTGCTGCACTGAGCCGCCTCATGCTACCGTACCTCTTCCCTGACCTTGCTGCCTTTCCCACAGTCGCTGACCTCATTACGCACCTCCGCACTAGTGACACTCGCTACCGCGCTGCGCTTCCTGCTGAGTTCTGCGCCAAGAACCCCCCCCCCATGTACATCACCCTCTACTACATAGTCACCCGGCTCCCTGACTCCCTTCGCGTAGTCAGGGACCACTTCCTCTCAGTTTGCCCCACCACTCTCACCGTTGACCTCCTCGAGAAGTCCCTCCTAGCGGCAGAGAAGAGCATAGTCGCTGTAGGAGCCTCTCGTGGTGACCCTCGCACCCCCATCTTTGAGGGGTGTTCCCCCTCCCCCCTTTTGCCCTCTGTTGCCTCTGCTGCTGCGGCCGACCTCGTTGGGCTTGAGTCGGTCGGTGCGGCGTCTACCCCTAGCGGGAGACGCCGCCCTGGCAAGGGCAAGGGGGGCAGGGGCACTGGAGGAGCTAGTGGGGGCGGTGGAGGCGGCGGTGGAGGCAGTGGAGGGGGTGGGGGTGGCGGTGGGGGTGGTGGTGGGGGTGGAGGTGTCGGTGGCGGCGGTGGAGGCGGAGGCGGCGGCGGCGGTGGCGGTGGGAGCGGAGGTAGCGGCGGTGGAGGAGGCGGCGGCGGAGGAGGTGGAGCTGGTCGGGGTGGCGCTGCGCAGAGGGTCGGCTCCGGTGGTGGTCAGCGCCAGCAGCAGCAGCAGCAGCAGCGCACTCGTGACATCCCCCCCCCTCAGCAGCTCCGTGAGTGGTATGCTGCACGCCAGCGGGGTGGGGGTACTGGTCCGTGCACCTACGTCCTCCGTACCGGCGACCGCGCGGGTGACCAGTGCGGGGGGGCGCACTCCACCCAGCGCTGCTTTGGCCGCCTGACGGACGCTTGGCGTCACCAGTTCCCTGAGGCCACTGAGATCCCCCGCTGGGGTGAGCTGTCTAGGGCGGGTGTCGCTGTCTTTGACCTTGACTTTGATGCTATTCTTGCTGCTATGTATACTGTGACTATTAGTGATGAGGGTGACTGTTACCGGTGTTTTCCGCCCGGCCCGGGCATTGAGACTGCTGCTCTAGGTACTGGTGAGGCTGCTGCTCTAGGTGCTAGCGAGGCTGCTGCTCTAGGTGCGTCTGCTCCCTCAGGTGCTGGTGAGTCTGCTCTCTCAGGTTCTGCGTCGGCTTCGGCCTCCCACACCTTCACCCTTGACTCGGGGGCTTCTCGCTCCTTCTTTCGAGACCGCACCACACTCACGCCGCTTGGCCGGCCAGTTGCGGTCTCTCTGGCAGACCCCTCTGGGGGTCCTGTCCTTGCTCACTTCTCCACTGTCCTCCCGTGTCCGGCGGCCCCCTCTGGCACCCTGTCTGGTCTTTACCTCCCCTCGTTCTCTACGAACTTGGTGAGTGGTGCTGACCTACAGGATGCGGGGGTTCACCAGTTCACTCCTGCGAGTCAGCGGGTGACCCACTGCACGGACGCTCGGACTGGCCGACACCTGGCCACGTTTACCCGTCGGCCGGGGTCGAGCCTGTACACCCTGACCACTGCGTCTCCTCCAGTCACTGCGTCTGGTCAGGTAGCTGCGTTGGGTCAGGTGTTTGCTGCAGCGTCCAGGTCTGGTCCTGAGTCTGCCCCCTGCTCGTGTCGCCTCCTGTCTCACGAGACTCTCCTCTGGCACCACCGCCTTGGTCACCCCTCCCTGCTTCGTCTCCGAGGCATGGCCTCCCGTGTCCTTGTCTCTGGTCTTCCCCGGTCCCTCCCTCCCCTTCCTCCGGGGCCTGGCCCTACCTGCGTCCCCTGTGTCGAGGGGCGGCAGCGGGCTGCCCCTCACTCCTCCCAGTTTCCTCCGACAGAGGCCCCGCTGCAGACGCTTCACATGGACGTGTGGGGCCCGGCCCGCGTCCGTGGACAGGGTCACGAGCGCTACTTCCTGCTGGTGGTTGACGACTACTCGCGTTACACCACAGTCTTCCCCTTGCGCAGCAAGGGTGATGTCACTGAGGTGTTGATCGACTGGATCCGCGCAGCTCGTCTCCAGCTCAGGCAGAGCTTCGGCTCGGACTTTCCTGTTCTGCGTCTGCACTCTGACAGAGGTGGAGAGTTCTCCTCTGGCCTTCTGCGAGCCTACTGTCGTGCGCGAGGCATCCGCCAGACCTTCACGCTTCCGGACTCTCCGCAGCAAAATGGGATTGCTGAGCGCCGCATTGGCATGGTCATGGACGTCGCCCGTACGTCCATGATGCATGCGGCTGCCCCCCATATTCTGTGGCCGTTTGCGGTTCGGTACGCGGCGCATCAGATCAACCTTCACCCTAGGGTCTCCAGGCCGCAGACCTCCCCAGCTTTGCTGTGGACGGGGAAGGTTGGCGATGCGTCTGCGTTCCGTGTCTGGGGATCTCGGGCGTTTGTCCGCGACTTGTCTGCGGACAAGCTGTCCCCTCGTGCTGCTCCTTGCGTCTTCCTTGGCTTCCCCCCTGACGCGCCAGGGTGGCAGTTCTACCACCCCACCTCTCGCCGTGTTCTGTCCTCCCAGGACGTCACGTTTGACGAGTCGGTCCCCTACTACCGCCTCTTTCCCTACCGCACTCCGTCCCTCCCCCCACCACCGCTCTTCCTTGTGCCAGGTCCCCCCCCGGTAGACCCCCTCCCCCCTCAGGGTCCTGCCCCTTCAGGTGTGTCCCAGGTAGACGCAGTCGAGCCTGTCGAGGTTACTGGTGACTCTGGTGCTGCTGAGGGTGCTGAGCCTGGGGGTGCTGACGCTGGGGGTGCTGAGCGTGTGGGTGCTACGCCTGGGGGTGCTGAGCCTGAGGGTGCTACTACTGGGGGTGCTGAGCCTGGGGGTACTGAGCCTGGAGGTGCTACTAATGGGGGTGCTGAGCCTGGGGGTGCTGAGCCTGGGGGTGCTGAGCCTGGGGGTGCTGAGCCTGGGGGTGCTACGCCTGGAGGTACTGAGCCTGGGGGTGCGGAGCCTGAGGGAGCTGGGCCTGCTTGTGTGGCGTCTGGTGGTGCTGAGCCTGGAGGTTCTCCGGGTGCTTCGTCTCGGCGGGAGCCACTCTCTCCACAGGAGCTGCGCGAGTGGTTTGCCCGGCGCTGGAGGCGTGCTGCTGGTGCTAGAGGTTCTTCGGCTACTGAGGGTACTGGTGCCGCGGGTCCCGGAGGTGCTCGTACTGGGAGTACTGGAGCTGCTGGGCCTACGGGTACGACTGGAGCTGGAGCTGCGGAGGGTGTTGACGCTGAGGCTACTGCTGTCGTTCCTGGAGGCGGTTCTGCTGGGGGTGCTACTGGTGCTGCTGGAGGTACTGGAGCTGGAGGTGCTGCTGGCGCTGGTGCTGCCGCTGGGGGTACTGGTGCTGTCCCTGCTGTGTCTGGAGTCGCCGCGCGGCCTCGGCCGTACTTCGTTCCGCTCCTTCAGCAGGTTCTTGGTCTCCCGCCTTCTACTGGTCCTCCTCCTCCCTTAGAGTGTCCACAGCCTGTCCTGTCACAGTTACAGTTACAGCCGGCCTCCCCACTGCCCGCTCCTTCTCCCTACACTGGTCCTACTGGAGGTCTTGCTGAGCGTCGTGAGCCTGCGTCGCGTCCTGCGTCGCCTGTCCGTACTGCTCGCGCTAGTGGTCGTGGTTCGCGTCAGCGTCCTCCTCCTGTCCCTGGCACGCACCGGATGTCTCTGCGTCCGTCCACTGCTCCTCTGCGTGCCCCTTTGCCTTCTCCTCCAGAGTCCTCTCTTCCTGCTCTTCCCGACCCGGAGTCGGACTCTCTTCGTGCTGCCAGTCCTACTGTCACGCGTCTCCTTGCTACTGTCGTCACTGACCCTTCCTTTGCGTCCACTGCTGCGTCTGCCCTAGTTGCTGAGCTCGTCGACTTTGCTGCTCGCTGTCGTCTAGACTACGCTGCTTGTCTTGTCGCTGAGTCTGAGTCTGTCTGTCCTCCGTCCGTCGGGGGTGAGTGTGCCCTTGGCACGGACGTCCTTGAGGACAGGCAGGAGGAGTTCCAGTGTTTGGCTGCTGCTTCACCTCATCTCGTGTCCGTACTGCTTACCCCTGAGGGAGACCCGGATGCACTTGACATCCCGACTCCGCGCTCTTACGCGGAGGCGATAGAGGGTCCCTACTCCTCTCAGTGGCAGGCAGCTATGGACACAGGTATGGCTTCCTGGAAGTCCACAGGCACCTACGTTGACGAGGTTCCCCCGCCTGGGGCGAACATCGTCAGTGGCATGTGGATTTTCAGGGTGAAGCGGCCGCCGGGTTCTCCGCCTGTCTTCAAGGCGCGTTACGTGGCTCGTGGCTTCAGTCAACGGCAGGGAGTTGACTACTTTCAGACCTTCTCTCCCACCCCGAAGATGACCACTCTTCGGGTACTGCTGCACATAGCTGCTCACCGCGACTACGAGCTGCACTCTCTTGACTTCAGCACTGCTTTCTTGCAGGGCAGCCTGCACGAGGAGATCTGGCTGCGTCGCCCACCTGGCTTCACTGGGTCTTTTCCTCCTGGCACCCAGTGGAGCCTCCGGCGGCCAGTCTACGGTCTCCGCCAGGCACCGCGTGAGTGGCACGACACACTGAGGACTACACTTGCGGCTCTTGGGTTTGCTCCCTCTACTGCCGACCCGTCGCTGTTTCTGCGCACCGACACTTCTTTGCCGCCGTTCTACATCCTCGTGTACGTCGACGACTTGGTCTTTGCCACAGCTGACACTGCTGGACTCGCCCACGTGAAGTCCGAGCTGCAGAAGAGACACACGTGCACAGACCTGGGTGAACTGCGCAGCTACCTTGGCTTGCAGATCACCCGGGACAGAGCACGCCGCACCATTACCCTGACTCAGTCACACATGGTGCAGCAGGTCCTTCAGCGCTTCGGCTTCACGTACTCCTCGCCTCAGGCCACTCCTCTGTCTACTCGCCACTCGCTCTCAGCTCTGCCTTCGGATGAGTCCGTAGAGTCGAGTGGCCCGTACCCAGAGCTTGTTGGCTGCCTCATGTACCTGATGACCTGCACACGACCTGACCTCGCATACCCTCTTAGCATTCTCGCACGCTATGTTGCTCCTGGGAGACACAGACCGGAGCACATGGCTGCAGCGAAGAGGGTGTTGCGTTACTTGTGCAGTACGTCGGGCATGGGGCTTGTGCTTGGAGGGCAGAGTCCAGTGGTCCTCACTGGGCACGCAGACGCTTCTTGGGCTGACGACCAGGCTACGCAGCGGTCGTCACAGGGTTACACCTTCAGCCTTGGTTCCAGCTCTGTTTCGTGGCGGGCTACCCGCTCGTCTTCTGTTCTCGGCTCCAGTTGTGAGGCTGAGATCTACGCCGGGGCCATGGCTGCACAGGAGCTTCGCTGGCTCACCTACCTGCTGACTGACCTCGGAGAGCCGCCTCGTTCTCCTCCAGTGCTGTACGTAGACAACAAGGCCATGCTGGCCTTGTGTCGAGAGCAGAGACTGGAGCACAGAACGAAGCACATTGCTCTCCGCTACTTCCTTGCTCGTGAGCTACAGCAGCATGGTCAGCTGCGGCTTGCGTACGTGGCCTCTCAGGCCAACACTGCTGATATCTTCACCAAGGCACTTGCGCCTTGTGATCATCAGCGTTTCTGTACTCAGCTGGGCCTTGTGCCTACCTTGCCTCACTTGCTCACCCCTTGACCTTGTTTGTACTGTTGCATATATATATACTCCTGCTCTTGCTTGTCTAGCCTTATATATATATGTAATCCTGCATGTGAACTGGCCTTGTGGCCTTGAACCTGTGCTCGGAATGTGTGGTGACTTTGTGATCCACCCTGAGCTTGCTTTGCTTTGCTTGACTGGTCTTGTGACCCCTTGTTCTCCCCCACTTTGCCTATGGGGGTGTGTCGGATTTATATGACAGAGCTACTGTAGGCTATAGTGGGGTAGCACATATGGGGTACAGTTTTCTAGGGTTTGCATTTTTGTACCCAACCTTCCCTTAGTCATTGCCATTCCTCGTTTCTTCTCACTTTGGCAGGGCGCCTCTTCTTTGCCCCGCGCCACAGCTTCACCACGTTGCCCAGTCTGGTTCGTAGTCAAGCAGGGAGATGCACATGAGGTCGGAGAGTCGCGCATTGCAGAGGTTGTTCCTGAGCCACGACTTGATTACGTTTTGGCGACTGAACCCTCGCTCGCACTCCACAGTGCTGAGCGGAAGAACAGCCACTGCCACCCAAAGTCGAACCAGATTGGGGAAAGAAGACTCCCAATCCCCGCTCCTGAGCATGTTCTTAAGTGCCACGTGGAAGGATTGATCCTTGTACTGTGACACCATCACGCGGGTGAAACGTGGAAGCTCCCGCTCGGCCTTCTTCCAGTTGACTCCTGCAAGCACACAGCACATCTAGTTAGCATCCCACTATGTAGACGGATCGTTACACAAACAAGGGATTAGGGACAACGCGGAATTTGAAAACACGTACCTGGCAGAGCGCACTGCTCGGCGTTGAACATCTTGCGAAGGGAGCTGAACCACTCCGCGCACAGACGGTCGCGCTTGTTCACGCCATCCGGATAGGCGTCTGGCAGAAATAGCTTGGACCCAACGAGGGACTTCAAGCTTCGCATGCGGTACTGTAGCCTGCCGATCACCTCCTTCGCAAACAGGGTGGCGAGGGACACGCAGGACTCGACGTCACCCGAGGGATCCTCTTTCTTCTTCGCATCCAGCTCGTGCAGCTTGAAGGTGTGTTTGACGGCGTTGCCGTCTCCATCCATCCCCTCCACCTGGACCACCCGCTTGGACGGATGGGAGTGCGCTTCGAGGAAGGCAGTGAGGTGCTCGCTGTCCTCCGCGAAGTTCACCCCGTACTCCACATAGCGCGCGTTCAACTTCTCGCAGGTGTTTTGCACCTGCCCCATGACACGGGTGATGTCCACCTGCGACATCACGCACAAACACAATGTTAATCACTGACATTCGGGACTAGAGCGAATTTCAAAATCGGCGACCGTTAATTACACGCTCACCGATCGTCGCTGAAACCGCTTGTTGAGCTCGTTCAATTCCTTCAGGACATCAGCGAGAAAAAAAAGAAAGAAATGAAACTTGAGGCTCGTAACCAGGTGATACGTCGTGCTGTCTTTCTCGTGGAGCAGCACTATGGCAGCCGGCAGAACAGCGACAAGTCTCGAAACAGCATCGCCCCGCGACAGCCAGCGAACATTGAAAATCCCCTGCATCTCCAAGTTCGTGGCGTGAATCACGGTTTGCAGCTCGTGGAACCTCTGGTGGACGACGCAGCTTCCGCCAATGAGGGTCGCGATGGCGCGGATCCCTTGGTCGACGATGTTGAAGGCGGGGATGTTCGTCGCGGCATCCCTGGCTGCGAGAGCCTCTCTGTTAGATGATGGAAAAAAAAACCAAGTGAGTAGGGGGAGATGTATCTGACAACAATACTGCAAAATTTGAAGTGCAAAATACCTCACCGGTGAGCAAGGCAATGACACGCGACAAGATGCGGAACTCGCATCTTCAGCTGAACCACCAGCCCATTCTGACTGCCCAGCATGACGTTCGCGCCATCCGTGCTGATGCCGGAGATCTTGTGCATGTCAACCCCGTTGCAGTCCAGATGCGTCAGCAAGACGGCGAGCAGAGATGAAGCGTCGCCCTTCTCCACGGTTAGGTGCCCGAAAAGCTCGGTCACCGCCTTCTCCTCCTTCATGAAGGTTAGGTAGACGATGAGATGCTTGCCCTTCCTCCGATCAGTCGACTCGTCGAGCTGAATCCCAAGAAAGGGCGACTCTTGGATGTATTGCATCTGACGGGCCTTCAGGTGCTGCACCATGGCTTCGGTCATCTCCCGAAACCCATATCTGCCATAATGAAAAGCACGACAATAAGTCAATGATGATGAGTACCTAAACATCACATCACGTTGCATTACTCACTCTGTCTGGTAGGTGCCGATGGCCTTGTCGGGAATGTTGGGGGTCTTCAGAACGTGTAGCAGGTGCACAAGGCCAACAAAGAGCGCAATAGGTGCATCCGACTTGCATATGAAAAGCACCACTAATAGAAGTTGTTTCAAACGCTCAATCTCCCCCACCCCGTCCTCATACTCATCAATCCCTCGTTGAGCAACTTTACCTCCTTCGGCTCGGGCTTTACGATCGAGGGCGTCCTGATGCTTGCGACTCAGACCATGCTTGCACATGGTCTGCTTCTGGATGTCCACGCCACCCTCGCCCGCCTTGCCGTACTGCCAGTGTGGCGGTCCGTATCTGATGCAGACACTGCACTTCATGCACGGGCGACCATCCTTCCTTTGTGATATCAGCAGCCAGGGGAAACGACGTTGCCAGATGTCGGTGCACTTCTTCTTCAGTTCTTCGAGAAGCGCTTCAGGATCCGGAACCAAAATAGACGGCCTGGACGGCCCTGGATCCGAAGGCACCCTGCTCGTGCCAGTCGCTGGAGTCAGCGGAGTAGCAGCAGCTGCGGGAGAGGGCGACCTTCCTTGCGTGAGGCGCACATGAGGTACGCGAGTTCGAGCAAACCGAATAGTCGATTGAGTGAACTTCCCGAACTTTGGGAACCGGGAGACGCCTGCGCTTCGGACAGCACTGACCGTGGGAGTTGCGACGCGCCCGGTCGCTCTAGTGGGCGACTCTTCCACAGGCGGATCGCTCAGCTGTTGCCGCTGATTAAAATCCGGCCAGGGCTCCGTGCTTGCCGTTGGTTCGTTGTTGGTAACTGGGGGCTGCACAGGCGGATCTCTTTCAGGCGTGGCGGTAGGCGGACCGCCTCTCAGAAAGTCGAGACCAGTAAGTGGACGATGCGACATAGCAGGGTCATCATCGTCCCTACAATCCATGGCTACAGGGCCCTAGGAGGATGTTGTCAAGACGGTAGAGAGAGCAGGGGAAAGAATTCCCCTGTGCTAGCGAGTGAAAGGAGCGTTGGAGAGGGAGGGGGAGCCAGCCGAGCATTATCAGCTGAACAAGGTGCATGCATGATCTTACAACTCACCGCGGTGCCCCACTCCATCCTTCGTCCAGCGGGACGTTGGGCAACAGTCGGTGCGAGTCGCGCGAGGCTCTGCAATCCACACAACTCATGCGCTGGCGTGAAAGTGGACCAGTAACAGAAAGACTTGCTCCACTTTCGTCTCAATGTGGCCCAAGTTGGCCAGACGTGCGCCAGATTGCCAGCACTTGACTTCTGTCAGTGCGCTCCGCTGCGCTGTCACCGCAATCACGCATACAGGTCTACTGATCGTGCTGTGATTGGCGCAGCTAACCCATATCACGCATCAATCACGGCAGACTGTATAAAAGTCGGTTTCAGACGGAACTGATACAAGTGCCTGGAAAATCAGAGGAATAGCTACACGCACGTCTTTTTCATCAGACAAAATGGGAATCTCATATCTTATTCATCAGATTTCCCAAACGTTCCATTTCTTAAAAATCAGATTACGTAAAAAAAATCCGTCTTATTCCTCAGAAAAACAGACAAAAATGTCTGATAGCGAGGGCCCTGGTGGCACCCTCCGTGAGTCCCTCCCTCCCTCGCTTACACTCCACAAAAGTCCAGGCGTGGTAGCGCTGTGTAATGCTCACTACCGTACCATGTCGGACTGGAAGCAGTTCTGAATGACCACCAGACCCTTATCTTCCAGATGACTAATCGCAAGTCTGACAAACCAGACCACCGTGAAATGAATTTGAGGTCCTGGTCAAATCACTGTAAATGTTCACAAGGGTATACGTTGGTTCTGAGAGTGAGAATGGAGGGTAACATCACAGAGAAGAGCCGGAGAAGGGACAGCGGTACAGGGATGAGCAAAGAAGGCAACATCATGGTGGCTTCTCAAAGGTGCCTGGACTGGACTGCATCCATTGTCAGGTCACAATCATCTTCACGCCTTCCACCACGCTGTGTGATACCGTACGCATTGCACGTCTCAGTATATTATACGTGCTGTGCGGTGCTGTGTATCTCAAAACAGGACAGAAATGATGCCTCCTTTCCTATTCTGCTCAATTCACGGAATTCGCGGTAGGTCTCTGCTTACACTAGAGCCTGTATACCCTCAGATTTGTATCAAGAGCCCAGAAGCTCGCTAGCATCTTTCGATCGGATCACGCTAATTGCGATCAGTACAAGCGCGGGACTGTCAAACAAGAACCGATAAAAAAGTCCTGATATGGCGTCTGGATTACTGTGAACGAATGCAGTAATGCCAAGGTAGTGCCTGCTTTGCTGGCTGATCAAGGTACCAAGATACTGATCCACGAACAATTGCAAAAATGTATTTATATTAGAAAGCTACGTCGACAAGTAATTCCAACCCTGATTTAGGGCTTGTGGACAATGAAAGACATGCACTGGACCTGCTTCACATTGTCGAAGCCCAGAACACGGATGAAGCAACCGGGGTAGGAAGACTTGCACTCGTTGATCTCCCTGAGCACCTGGGAGGCATCAGTGCAGCCGAAGAGGGGCAGCTTCCACATCGTCCAGTAGCGACCATCATAGTAACCGGGGCCGCTGTTGTTCTCCCTGTACACGACACCGCTGGCGTCGAACTCAATAGCGGGGACCCAGCCGTTCTTGAGCATGTACCGGATCTCCTTGACGATCATGTCGTCGGTGAGAGCGGGGAGGTAGGACAGGGTCTCGAACCTGGGGTTACCGATGGGGTTCCACACCTGCACATTTCAACGAACCGATGTGAGCACTTGTTCCAAGGGAAATCTCGAGGTATTGGGAAGGGAGGTGTACATTGTCCAAGGTAAAACTAGTCATGCAAGTACGCCACTAAACCACTGACCTTCATGCAAGAGACACGGCTGCCGTTGGACACGGTCTTAGCGGCGAAGCCATTGGAGGCAACACCGGAGAAAGACACGGACTTGGAGGAGGCAGTGGAGGACTGCACAGCTGCCTTGAAGGCAACGGGGGCAACAACGGCAGAGGAGGTGATGGAAGCCATTTTCCTTTTCTGAAGTGAAAAGGAGCAGAGGAACTTAGTGAGAAAGCTTGCACTAATTGATTGTAAAAGGAGATCTCTGGGTGTTATAAGTGCTTGCTTGATGGGTGGTGGATTGGTTGGAGATGAAAGTTATCCAGTCAACCGCGCCAACTAAGCATGTCCACCCATGTGAAATGAAAGGTACGCTTATGTGGCAGACTCTGGGAGCGCCGATCGCTATTCTGCGGGCAGGGTACTGCCTATGTGGCAACACATATCACTTTGTAGCACACAGCTGTCCACGGTGGGAAATGCTGACTTTTCGCGCTCCTTTTGGCTATCTGCGCCAGCCACGTCTGAGTGACTCAGTGGCAGTTGAGTTGCGATCTCCACCAAATGCTACACACGTCAGCAGAGTCCGCAACAGCACGTACCTCAAACACCAAGGCTCATCGGAAGATATTATGCCATGTCGCATGTGTGATGAGATTGCTCATATCCGTCGGATTATTCAGAAACAAAGCATCCGACGACTGTAACGTTATAGGCAAAATAGCCGCTTTGGGCTCTAGTGTACTTCTCACCAAATTCCTGTTTACAACCAGGAAGAAAACTAGAATCATAACTCCTTAGTAGCATGAATCAACTCTCGTTTACTTCTCACCAAATGCTCTTTAGTAGCATAAATCAACTCAAATTATTCCATTCATGCTCGCTAGTTATTTGTTGAGGCCAAAGCATGCATTTACCAACTTAATTTAAATACATAGGGCACTATTAAATTCACAAAATAACGCCATGCTTAACTAGTTGTCTCACTCTAGGCCTCATTAAGTGACTTTAAATATCAAGGGGTGCATAATATGCGCACTACAGAATGGGATGCATGGATAGATACGCCAAAATTGGTGGGGATCAAGCTTGTTTCGAAGATAGGCTTTATGTTTAGGTTTTATGAAATGCACAGATCCTCGTATAGTAGTATATACTGACCAATTAAATCAGGGATCATTACTGTAGAAAAGCTTGTAAGGTGTACCAGTTTTTCCTACAGTGCTTTGTCCTGGTTCAACGATCAGTGGCCCCCACCTCGGCACTACAGTTCCTGCCTGAGGGTCTGGGGGTGAACTGTGTGATAGTGAGAGTACAGAAGCACCATCAGCCAACTGAAACTGAGTACAAAACATGAAACATTTACAAAAGCGAGTTGGGTGGTAAATATACGGTACTGAACAGCACATGGGCGAGCGACCTGTGAAGTTGGGTAGTTCAAAATTCGTTCAAGGATTTGAAGGTCAGTGAAAGAAAGTCCGTGAGGATGAAGTGTTGACTTGGCCAAGGCTGGTTTGGGAGGAGACCAAACCAAGCGTCAGATTGTTCATGCTCAGAGATACGAATATCCACGTCATAGTCTGTGCGTCGCATGGCTGAAGAGGCGCCACCTGTCATTGTCTTGAGATTCACGCACAGTATCTGTAAACTTCTGGACACGGTTTGCCTCATCCACAGCTGGCGCTGAAAGCGCGGGTACAGATGAATCGGCCTTGGTGTACAATGCATAGCTTGGACACCCGCAAGAGTCGATCGAGACGAGACAGCCCAAGTTCTAACGGAACATATCCCCGCGCTCCTTGCTCCAAGAGATCCGTGTGGCTGACCTCTCATCTCAAGGCCTAGCTACAGCACAGCAAGAGTGCAGTGGGGCCAACATATGACTGGTGCTGGAGAAGAACGACCTGCAGCACTGACTCACTGAGCCACAGACACACACACCAGCCGAGGGTACTGTTGCATTGCGTTCGCCTTCCCGGACCAAACGACTTCGTGAATCCCAAACCTCATTCCAAGCTGAAACCGAGCCTCCTCTGGCACCTGCCCAAGCTTTCCCTGGACCTCTCTCCCCCCCCCCCCCCACCCCCCAGCGCTTCTCTTTCAGCCTCCGCTTCCGCGTCTTCAGGACCTTCCCCCGAACCCTAGGAAGCAAGTGTGCCAGTGCCATTTGACTACCTTGTGCTTCCCTTCCTGTCCCATCACCTTGATTTGCACAAGGAGGTGATCCTAACACCCTGCATCAATCCAAAGCTAGAGAGATCTCAGACTGCCTTCGGTTATCTCGTTTATTGGAGCGTTTTTGTCCTTAACACGATATTAATTACTGTTCTAGTCTGTGAGCCATCTTTAGCATCGTCAGAGCAGATATCACGCAGCCATGCCGCACAGGTTAGGAGATCCGGTTCCCCGCCTGTCGGAGAACCAGAAGACAGTCTACAAGGCCTATGGCTCAATCCCGCTTTGGGTGGATGAGCACAATAACATCGTCTGCCAGTACTGCAATGGCGCCACGGCATGCGAACCAAGGTTAGGCGGCTGTACAGCTTGACATTTAGACTTCGTGCGGTTGTTGTGTTGGAACTGGGATAGCTCACTCTACTCATGTATCTAGTGCACTAAATCGCTCGTCGCTGGGTCCTGCTATGCGCCCTCTAGTTCACAGCTTATCGTCGCTCCCGTCAGCCTTTTCTCATCCAAAGATTCGCTCAGCTTCTTTGATTCATCGCTTTTATCTGTTCCGTTCCGGCTCGTTATTTTTCTAACAATAGCAGCTGATAGCAGCCGTGATGGTTCTGAACACCTGCTGATTGAAACCGTTGTTACATCCCTGTCCAAATCCCTGCACATCCACTTTCCACTTTTGCAGTGAATTCTCCACTACCCTTTTGCTCTTTAGTCTCCTTAATATTTGGTCTTCCGACCGTACGATTATACTATGTCGTTTTCAGCTGCCTGCTGGCCGGGGTGATGGACAACATGCGCAAGGACGTGGGGTTCCTTGATGCTGAGGACGCACGGCAAGGCGTGCCCGTCACGCCAGAAGAGCTGAAGGACAACTTTCGGCTCTTCTGCGAGAGGGATGACGTCGCGTCCCTCGTCAGCAGCCAGCGGCTCTTCGAGGATTTCGTTGACGCCAAGAGCATAGTTCTTGTCCTGCAGGTCCGTCTTGTCCGTTCTTACCTGCTTGCTTCGTCGGTCTGTTCCTCGTTCAACATCCAATCTCGTCGTCACTGCGGTTCGGTTGGTAGCCGGCTGCACCATCACGTCATGTCGCTCAGTTTCTTTTCCTTGGACACTTCCTCTCCTGCAGAGCCTTGGCCCGTGGCTAGTATCCGAGGCACAGCGCTATGCGGAGGCGGGAGGGGTGCACAACCAGCCGCGCGACCGCCTGGCACTGAAGTGCACTCGTGCGGTGACACTGTTCCTGCGTCTTGACCTGAATGCGCTGTCACTGGAGGACACTATCATCCTGAGCAACGTGGTTGAGAGCTCGGGGATTATGGAGGAGTTCGACCCAGTCATGCAGAACAACATCCAGATTGTCATGGACCTTCTCAGCATCGTCCACGCCTTCCGCGAGATGCAGGTGCGTAGGTGTACATGCTCTCTTTTCTTCTTTTTCATCCGTGCTTCGTGTGTTGATTCAGCGAGGTGGTCATGGTTTACCTCGACCTTCGTCTTTGTCTGAAATCTGTCCTTGTTTTGCGTACTCCAGGGCAAGGATGGAGGCCTCAAAGCCCTTCTTACTGGTGAACCGGCTGCTGAAGTTGGAGGGAGTGGTGGTCGCGCCCCTCCTCCCAGCGTCAGCGGTAAGAAGCAGCCAGGTGTTAGTGTTGCTCGTACCGCCACCACCTTTGAGGACGACCCCACAGCCCCTCGGCGATGCCATGGACGTACACAGAGCGGAGCCCGATGCAAGCTGACAGAGGAGTCAGTGAACAAGCTGCATGGCCGCTGTGCTGATGCTGCTCGGCCGCTGGCACGAGGAGCCAAGTATTGCAAGTTCCACCGTGATCAACAATTCATGGGCGTGTGACAGTAATGAGGTCCTCATGGAGCCAGGAGCTGTCGACTCTATTGTTTCAGCATTCCTGCTCTATTTGTATGTTGCAACATTTCCCAGCTGCAGCAGTAAAGCCCCGGTCAGGCTTGCTGGGTGTGTGTTTACCCAACTAGACTTGCCATCAAGGCAACCCTTATGTTTATTCCTTCCCATTACCTGACTCACTGGACTTCTACCGTATATTTCGTAACAGGCCATTGTTCAGTGCGTTGTTAGTGGAACGGTAGCCTGTTCTGCCCTTGCTTCTTTAATGGCATTGTTATTTCATGTCTTTCGTAAGGTCACTTGTGTGACTGATTTCATAAATGCTTGTTTGATTCCGGTTAAGTGAATCTATTATCTATGGGAAACAGTGTGTGGTACCGATATCAGAAACCAGTAGCGAAGTGTATCGTTATCCGGGATGGTCGAGAGCCCGCGTGGCGAATTGACCTGTGCGCACTTTGCCAGATCACACACACCGCCCTTGAAACCACAAAGCATTTGCCACCTGTGCTTCACCACAAGGCCCCGCTGTTGAGCCAAGTCACCACCACCACCCAGCCATCCGATACGCATGGCGCCAGCGCTAGGAAATGACCCCTCTGCGTGATTTGGAAACTGAGGACAGCATACAGCCACAGGTGGTCACAACAACACACAAAGGAGCATTGGTACGGTATCATCAGCTAGCATCCATCGGCTGACAGATTTGCTTGTTTCTTCACAGATTCCTCGTGACTTGTCCAAGCGCAGATTTGTCAAGTTATCACCCGAGGAATCAGTGTGAAACGTCACTTCTGCCTTCAGCCATGGCAACTGCTAACATCACCATGAATGCCATATCCGCTGGCAGCGCTGCGAAGCTGCACTGCCCTGCCTCTGGTAAATAGGATGATGACATTGTTCGCTCACCATGAGGTTATTCACCGCGTGACTTTCGTCACATTGCGTTCTCTCACTGTGGCAATAAGAACATAAATGACATTTTTGGTAACCATGAGACATGAGATGGACGTTTGCTATCGTCATTGCTAGCGTAACGCAATGTCATTATCATTATCTTACGGAGACATTGCATTCACGATAAGTATCCGAATGCCCGTTGTTCCAGGCAAGGTGGCGTCGGTGTCAACCCCGGCCCTGACCTCCTCCCTCTTTGGCGCGCGTCTTGCCGCTAAGCCCGCCGCGAATGTCTCGGCGGCATCCACTGCGTCGAACACGGTGGTGATGACGTCAGAGTTCGAGAAGACGAATCCTTACACGGAGGAGCTGAAGAAGACGGCGGCGTACATTGCGGCTCCCGGCAAGGGCATTCTCGCGTCCGACGAGAGCAACGCCACCACCGGGAAGAGGTGCGTTCTGAGTACCACGATACGAAACGGGAAACGGTTGGCATTGCTGAACATGTTCAAAAGACTTGACATGGCCGGCGTTCCCGCATTCGCGTTACCATCGGATATCTTTCTTGTGCAAAATACACGTTTCAACACGAGTAATGAACCTGCGTCGCCTTTCTCCGTGCGTCTCTGTCCGTGTGTGTGTGGGGGCGCCGTGCGTGTCACCAGGCTGAACAGCGTGGGGGTGGAGAACACGGAGGACAACAGGCGCGACTGGAGAGAGCTGCTCTACACCGCCCCTGGCCTCGGCAACGTACGTCGCTTCGCTCTCCAGCAACCTTGCGCCTGGCATTCTGCTGTTGCCCCCTCCGCCTCCCACCTCCCGCCTGCCGTTGCATCTCATTCCTCTTTCATCTCATCCCTTCCTTCGGACCCACTTCCCCACGCCTTACGCTCTCTCTTCCCTTTTTCCGTGTCAACCCCTCCCTGCGCTCTCCAATCCTTTTTGTCTCTCTCCCTCCCCCCTTCCATTCCTCCCCGCGCCCCACCCCCACCCCCCTTCTCCCTTCTTTCCCCTCCCCCTCACCACTCCCCCGCTCCCCCCGGCAGTACATCAGCGGCGCCATTCTGTTCGACGAGACGCTGTACCAGTCGACGGCGGGCGGGGAGCAGTTCGTGGACGTGCTGCGCGCGCAGGGCATCGTGCCGGGCATCAAGGTGGACACGGGCCTGCAGCCCATCGACGGCACCGACGGCGAGACCGCCACGCAGGGGCTGGACGGCCTTGCCGACCGCTGCAAGAGGTGCGCGCCTGCGTGGAGTGGTGCTGGGGAATGGATGTGGGAAGGAATGCGTAGACTTGTGGAAGAAAGAAGGGGTTTGTTTCGCCCCCGTGAGTGCCACTGATGGTGAGATAGCTGCATGACGTCTGGGAAGCAAATTTTCAGATGTTACCCGTACCCACTGCCCGTATTAACCCTCCCCTCGACCCTCTCCCCATTTCAGGTACTACCAGCAGGGAGCGCGGTTCGCCAAGTGGCGCGCGGTGATCAAGGTGGACGACGCCAAGCACCCCACCTCGTGCGCCGTCGTCGAGAACGTCCACGGGCTCGCCAGATACGCGCAGATCGCCCAGGTGCGTGCCTCCACATGCCTCCTCCCCTCCCCATGACCCCTCCCAAGCTGCTGCTTACAGCATCCCTGTGACAGGTCACTGTCTTTTTCTGTAAAGCCCCGGATTCGTTTCCCAACGGTTTTCACGATTCTCCTGGATGCATCCCGTTTGCACCCTTGACCCTTGTCTCTTCAGGCGAACGGGCTGGTGCCCATCGTGGAGCCTGAGGTGACTCTGGGCGACGGCGACTACAGCATTGAGCGTACGGCCTATGTGTCGGAGATGGTCTACTCGCATGTGTTCCGCATGCTCAACGAGTACAAGTGAGTCGCGCCATGTGGCATGTGCATGCTGCATGTCAGAGGCGAATGGGGAGATTGATTGTGAAGGGACTGAACCGGGCAGGTGGAGGGGAGTGGATATGCATGCCATTGGGGATTCTTTGGCTGCAAAAGTAATCACACATGAAGCCACACCCACAGCCATCCCATGTGGGAGTAGAACCATCATCACAATCAAATCATAGAGGAAGAATGTGCAAGGGTGAGCAAGTGCAGCACTTACACACATATCGGAAGCATGTTTTCAACTGTACTGTTCCTCCCCCACCCATTGTGATGTTCTCCATCCACGCAGCATCATCCTGGAGGGCATTCTGCTCAAGCCCAACATGATCCTCCCAGGTATGCATACCCATTCCGCCTAATTGCAATTTCTGCCTCCAATATTGGAAGCCCATCCAATGAAAGCGTGTGCTGTCAGGCACAATTGTACTTGCTGTCAAGCTGTTATTGCTCATTTGTCCTCGCTGCTTGAACCATTCAACCTTCGTACTTCGTGATGTGTCCTTAAACCTCTTTTTAACCTTCCTCCCCTCCATGTGTGCCCTCTGCAGGCCTTGACGCCCCGAACGCGTCTCCAGAGGATGTGGCGCGCTATTCGGTGCGCACCATGCGCCGTTGCGTGCCTGCCGCTGTGCCCGGCGTGCACTTCCTGTCGGGGGGCATGAGTGAGGAGGAGGCCACGAACAACCTCAACGCCCTGCAGGTGAGCCTGAGTGCAGTGGCCCATGGCATTATCGTGCCGCTTGATAGCATCACGCTTGATATGAACTTGCTTTCAGACTGTGTCCCATGCTGACATACTAATTCTCATCACCTCATCTCGTTCTTTCCCATGCGTTCAGGCTTATGGCCCCCACCCCTGGTCGCTCACCTTCTCGTACGGCCGGGCTCTCCAGGCTTCCACCCTCAAGATCTGGTCCGGCAAGGTACTGCTCTCTTCAATGCCTCTGCTTTGCATTACTGTATGCTTACCTGTCATCTCACTCCATTCGTTCTTCTCTCCAAAGTCTCCTGCATGGTCCTCTTCCATCTCGCACTTTCCCAGTAATCACATTCAAACTGCTCCCTGGTTCGTAGATCTACCTTTTTTGTGCTACCTGGTGCGGACAAGTGTGCACACTCATACTCTTGCTCCGAGGCTCATTACTGTTTCTGCCTGTCAGTATAGTCACCAGTGCCATTACAGCACCATGACGTTTGCCCCTTACCCTGTAACTCTCCACCATTACCTTCCGCTTTCAGCCGAAGAACAAGGCAGCGGCTCAGGAGAGGTTGGTGGCGCTGGCAAAGGCCAACTCAGAGGCTCAGCTTGGGAAGTACAAGGGCCCGCACCCATCCCCCGGGGGGGGGCGCATTCTCCAGGCCCTGCGCCTTGGCGGCGGTGCTGGAAAGTAAATACTGGATTGATGTTTTTGTGTCACTTGTTTTGTCCCGAGTGCAAGATATAGTATTCTAATGTGCAATTCAAGCGTGCAACAGACATACATACCAATGTGCAATTCTATCATTAAACCAAGCAGCACTGATATGCACAACAATGAGGAAATTAGAGCGTTGTGAAAGCTCACTTGGTAGTCCTCTTGCAAAGGCAGCGTGCTTCATTCCAAATGGCAAAGGCAGCGTGCTTCATTCCAAATGGGTAGTACATTGTTCTCGTCCATAACAATGATACACAATGGGGTGGGTGGCGGGAAAGTAGAACTACAATTAGACATGAACAACGTGGGTGAGGCGAATAGCCACACGTCCCTCTTTTGTAGACGAAAAGAGGGGTGAGTAGCATCGCACCGCTTCCTTTGCTGCGCTGGCCACGTCCTCGCTTTCACAATACGAAATTTTAGAAAGTACACTACCAAAATTTTTAATATTGTGAAAGCTCACTTAGTCCTCTTGCAAAGGCAGCGTGCTTCATTCCAAATGGGTCTTCTGATGCATGTGCGTTCTTGGTCGGCGGTGTCTCTCGATGGACTGCTGGTGCCTGGTGGGTGATGGGGCTGCGGATGTATCCTGCAGCTGGGTGGATAGGTTGATGAGTTGGTCTTGGGCAATTGTGACGTAGAGTTCCTTTGCACCATCGCTTCGCCATCGTCGGCCCATGCGTTTGAAGAGCCGATCAGGAACGCCGAGGCTGGCTGCTGCTGTCGCTGCACCCTTCTTGAAGGAGTGGGTCCCGATGTGCGTGGCATCCAGTCCCGCCTTGCTGCAAGCCTCGAGGCACCAATTTCTGATGGTTGGGTAAGAGGGTGACTTGTCGTGCGGCGTTGCTTGTGCCCCTTTGGTAAACACTCGTATCAGCGGCCCGTGCGGCATCTTAGCGAGGCCTGCGAGTCGAATGAAATTCCTTGTGCATCTGACTGCACAGTAGGGCCCTGTAGTCGCCGCCACCGGGATTTAGGTGCCCCTTCCTTCTTGGTCTGTCTTGGAGTATGGGATGAGGAGCCACATCGCCTCTTCCTCGAACTGTATGTCATTCCATTGTAGGGAGATGAGGTCGGAGTAGCGCAAGAATGCTGCGAACATGAGCAAGGGGATCAAACCCATTTGATATTCTGCTGGGACTGCTGATTCAAGGAAGGGTCGTGCCATGTCGTGCACCTGGTGAAGTGACACTAGCTCCTTGGTCCTTGTGGGTCGAGGGCCATGTCGTTTGGCAAACTCTCTCACTTGCAGGGTGAGTGGGCCGCTAGTGGGGGAGGTTTCGCCTGTCATCCGATGGGCGAACGCCACCGCAGAACACGTGAGGCTGATTGCTGATATGGTTGCCTTGTTGTTCAGCGCGTGGATGAGGTAGAGTGCTAACGTCAAGTCTGTCGCTGGCAGGAACGTGTGTTTGACTTGAACACAGAAGTTTCTGAATTTTTGCCAGTATGGCCGGTACGTCTCGATCGTAGACGATGCACGGACATTATGGATGACTCTCAACAACTGTTGTTTGAGCTTGGACAATAGTCCTGAACAGAGATACACGGGGTCATGGTTAAGTACGATGTATATTTATTACATATATTTTACATGCAAGGCAATTATTGGGCTATGTGGCATTCCGAGTCCAGATAATGCTGCTGCATGAGAGCCTGGTTTGAGGCATTGACTTGCGTGGGCGTGTGGTAGGTGGGCCACCACCTCTGGGGCCCATATCTGTGGCGATGGCTGTAGTAGTGGCCACCATGCTGCTCCATGCCACTGGGGTACAATCAGCGTCATCCGGTCTGCATACGCTTTGCGTGACTAAGCGTCGCCGGGATCAGGTTGGGGGGTGGAAACGCGAAGCAACGTTCGCCGTTCCAAGAGATCGAGAACGCGTCGATGGCGATGGCGTCTGGATGTGGTATTTTGGAGCAAAAACGTTCCAGTTTCTTGCTGTGGACGTTTGCGAACAAGTCAATTGTATGGGGTCCCCATCGGTGTTCCAGGAGGCGAAACCAGGGAACATGCAAGGAGTAATCGTCGATATCCTGGATCTTGGAGAGTTCATCAGCGTAGGCGTTTAGCTCCCTAGGAATCGATTCAATCGCCAGGCGGGAGCGATTGAGACAGAACTGTATAATTGCTTGGCATGTCCTTGTTAGCCGGGGTTGGCGGGACCCCCCTTTGCGCAGGATGAACATAACTCCTTGGTTGTCTACGCGGACGAGGACATGGTCGTTCACGATCTGGGTTGCGAATGTCTTTAGAGCCCACAGGACTCCCTCAAGCTCTCGTTGGGTGCTGGAGGTTGGGAGGAGCTCGCTTGGCATGCAAGCGCTTCCGTCACAAGATTTACCGGCAAACTTGGTCAGTTTTGCACCCCAGTTGTGTGCGCTGACATCTACGTGGATGACCGCATCGAATTGGTGATTGATGTGGAACCGGCCACCGTTAAATTGTTCGAAGTGCGCTTGCCAGAAAATTAACTCTTCTACTGCAGCTAGTGGCAGTTGAACCTTGGAGTGCCAAGATGTTGTTGTATTGATCAGCTGTAGCAATTCCTGGCTGAAGGCACGCGCTGTTGTGCCCAGTGCGAGTGCCATAGAGCTCAGCATTCCGGTGATCCGAGCTATGTGCCGAATGGGAACCTGTTGGCCGCGGTGTCCCTTGGAGATGAGCATCTGGAGTGTCTGCAGGAGCTGCTCACACCGTTCAGCTCCGACACGAAACATTCCAGATATGGTGTCGAGCTCCAACCCCAAGAAGCGTAGTTGGCGCGACGGGTGGAGGTGCGACTTCTTTGCATTGATCACAAAGCCAGCTGCCTCGAGATCGTGTAGCACTTCTATGCACGTCGCACGTGCCTTCTTCTCGGAGTTGCACAAGAACAACATGTCGTCCACGTAGGGGACCATGCGGATGCCGCGTGCGCGCCATCTTCTAGCTAGTTGTTTAATTAGCTGGGTGAAGAAGAAAGGTGCTGTCGCCAGGCCGAAAGGCAGAGATCGGAAGCAGTAGAAGTCGCCATCAAGCTGGAAACCCAGGAACTTCCAGCACGAGGGGTGCATCTCGACGTGGTGGTATCCGGACTTAAGGTCGATTGTGAACATCCAATCGTCGCAACGAATTAGTTCCGAGACCCGATTCAGTCCTTCGTACTTGAATCTGGGGACTTGAAGGTGTTGATTGACTTTCCGTAGGTCGAGGATAAGTCGACACTTGTCGCGCTGTTCCACCACATTAAGTGGGCTTATGCAGGAGAGTGCGGCCCTTGATGCGACCTTCAGTGCGGCGCCCGAGGATATGAGATCGCGAATGGCAAACATCTCGCGTGAACGTCTTGTGTGCGTGGACCCCTGCGTGGTTTGTTGCCTCAAATGGCAGGGGTTCCATGTTCTTCCATGGCAACCAGGAGCCTCTTGCAATGATTGAGGTGATAAAACTGCTCTCGCACCATGATAGCCACCAGTGTAGCCGGTTTCGCAACCGGTTGCACATAATCGTCACTTCATCGTCCGTGATTGCGTACTCGTATGGATCCCACTCCATGTCGGTCCCCTCGCATCCCGCCCCTGCATATAGGAAGGTGGCCAGGGTGGGGCATATTTAGGTGGTGAATATCATGGTTAATCAATGACTTCAGAAGGTCTCTTCGTTCCCCCTTTTTGATTTTTTTTTTTTTTTTTTTCACCTCTTCTTTGTAAGTCGTGTACTGCTTGCTTGTGTACCCTCCATCCCGTTTGGCCGTCTGCCATCCAACAAACCAGCCACATGCGCTCTCTCTCACTCTCTCTCTCTCTCTCACTCTCTCTCTCTCTCACACACACTCTCTCTCTCTCCCTCTCTCTCTCTCCTCTCTCTCTCACTCTCTCTCTCTCTCTCTCTCTCTCTCTCTCTCTCTCTCTCTCTCTCTCTCTCTCTCGTCTTTGTCAATTAATGGCAGCTGGTTGTTCATGGGTACCTAGCGTATGCCTCCGCCCCCCCCTTTTTTTTCTTTTTTTTTGGTGGCTCTCTGGCCTATACCTCTGTCCGTGAGGTAGCTCCCTCTCTGGTTATGAGCTCTTCTTTCTATATATACATATATATATATATATATCTTTGTTTTGTAAAGCTTTCAATAATCAAACTCAACACCCGGGTACATGGCCTATGCCTACCCCCATCCTGCCCCTACGGCAAGGATGTGTAAGGCTCTGAAGCACACACATGGCTAACTACTAGCCCACACACCCATGGCTAACTACAAGCCAATAAACACATATGGCTAACTACGAGCCAATAAACACACGTGGCTAACTACGAGCCAATAAACACACATGGCTAACTACGAGCCAATAAAATACGTGGCTAACTACGAGCCAATAAACACACGTGGCTAACTACGAGCCAAGCACCATCGGTGCATCCACCTACGCCCCCCGGCATAGTGGCAAGGGGCGCCGCCCCATGTACTGTCAGAATCCCAACCACTAGACCATTGGGATAAAAGGGCTTGTTTGTGTAGCGGGTAAGTGCGCCCATAACCCCCCAGGCCAACGTGCCTGTAACCCTTCCCTAGGATCAATCGGGGATCACCAGTGGACCTCTGACATGTACCTCCTCACACCACGTGTGAGGGGCCTTGCGCGCCACGCCCTCCCATAGGGCAAGCGTTTGCCATGTGGCCGGGCTGGCCGCAGCGAAAGCACACTCCCTTGAAGCGGGTCTCGTGGCAGCTTGTGGGTGGCATGCTCTTGCCGTTCGTATCGCCATCCCGAGTAGGCATGCGTGCGCCGCGAGTGTAGCCAGTGCGAGCACGCTTGAGCGCCGCCACGTCGGCCACCGCAAGCTTGTAGGAGCGTGACGTAAGGACGCTCTTGGACTGGTACAACTGGAAACGATCAGCGGCTTCAAAACCGGCTTTGTCCGCCACCAAGAGGACCTCAAAGCGCTTATTAATGAGTGTGTCGATATCGGCTACGTTGGTGAGGGCGCCTTCGATGTCGCCG